GTTACAAAACTATTCAGAGGGAAGAAAGTTTTTTATGTGAAGCTGAAGGAAGAAAACAAGCCCAGACAAGATAAGATAAGGTGGTTCTGCAGTACATGATGGGGATACTAATACTTTTATTTGTTGGACTCGGGCTGTTAAACAATAGTTTTTTCATTTGCCATCAATGGTTGGATTTAGGTAGTAAATCCTTGTTAATCCCACTTTGATTTACTATTCAATAGTTTAATTCTACTTAGTTTAACTACTTTAATTTGCATTGAAAAACTCCTTAGATGGTGAATTTAATGAATGCAATAACACATAGTACTGTCTAAACCACTGTCGATATAGCATGGAGAGGTTTACCTGAGGTTTACCTGAAAGATGGGCAGATAAAGCCTCTTAAAGATTTGGACTTAAAGTTTGTGCCACTGGTCTACCATAGTAATGCAAGCCTCTGAGCTCAGGTGGCATGTGCCCATCTCTTATCGCTTGTTTTCTTTCTCGTTGTTGGACATTTTTGACTCTGACAATCCTTAGTTTCACCCTTTCAATCATTTGGTTATTAAATCTGAAGTTAAATCTCTAATTTTGGGGATTTGAGGGTATAGCTAAAAGGTAAACAGCTGCTTTTTAAAGAATTACAGAATTAAAAATTATTCTTCCCATGAGTCTGGACAGGTCAAAAGAGTTCACAAACTTTGTAAAAAGGTTGCATGAAACTTGGAATGTTCTGGCAGAGCCTGTGAGTAAAAAGCTGCATTTTCAAGTTTTAAGGTTGTTAAGAGATTCTCTGACCCAAAGACCACGGGTTAGAGGGCGAGCAAGCCTTCAGTTGGACCTGACTAGCGTGGTGGTGAGAGCCAGAATCAACAGTGAAGAAATTATCCATCAGGGTTTTGGGAGGAGGTTTGGAAAATGAAACGTTTTTGATCAAAGTAATCTAGAATCTTTTAGAATTGGTGGAATAGACAGTATTACTAAGCAGTATTTAAACAAAGCAACTGCAAATGTTGGGAAGAAGTCCTGTGTATAGTTCTTCAACACTAATGAGACGATGGCTGTGCCAGGTTTTTAATAAAAAGTCTATACTATAGAGTTTTAAAACATAGTTTTTAGGCAAAGGAGTCTCCATTTAGTGCAATTTAACACTCAAATGAAAATAAATCGTAAGGACAATAATTTTCTTACTCAAGTGGATCACAACTTTCCATCACCCATACATTCACTTGTTATTTTAAATGAATATAAATGACCTACATGTTTGCCTGTGTATATTTAAAGCCTGCTGCACTGTTCTCAGGACACTCAAACTCCTTCCACCCCTGTTAACATGTCTCATTGAGATCAAATTAATGATCCTTATCCCTAATCATTGATAAGTAACAATCACTGATAATTAGCTCTGCTCCAGTTGTTTAAAAGCACCACAAGCCTGGTGGCAGCTCATTTAATCGAGATTAGTTAATCAGTGCAACTCTATCGGTGCTAAAGTAAAGAGGCCCCCATCAGTGAGTGAGTGTGTGTATGTGTGTGGATGTGTGTATTTGTTTGTCTGTGTTTAAATCTCTGTCTGTGTGTTGATATGTTTCCCAAGTAGAAGTAGCTCCCTGGGTGACTAGGCCTGGCTGCCCGCCCTCTCGCTGGAGATCTTCCCGATTGCTTTAAGAAATTACCCCCAGATTGCTCTACATTCTGTACCCTAAAGTACCATTAGTGTGATTGTGCACAAAGACCTCTCCCACAGGATTACCACATGCATGTAAGAAAGACTGTTTCTTTCTTTCTTTCTTTAAACAACTAGAGTTTGAGAATCTACTAATGGAATATTAATGCCCAAGTTTACATCAATTTCAGCACTTTTGCTTTATATCTCTATAAGTCAGCCCTCATTGTTTTACCAACTGCCAAGTGCCTTCAACCAAACCTAAAGAAAAGGAGAGAGGGAACATGGACCACAAGCTGTGAAGTGATTTATTGGACACTTTTCCATCCAAAACACACAATGCCACAGTGAAAGTGTGTCCAATTTTTCAAAGGTAATCCCTTTGGAGAAGAGAACTGTACAACCAGGAAGAAAGATCTCTGCTTCTCTATGACTGCAGATAAAAATGTCAAACGTCCACAATCTTCTCCTGTTTACATTTTACAAATACTACCACAATACTGAGGAGAGGGAGAAGTGGCACCTCCCAGGGTGGTATACTTTTGAAAACCACTTAACAGCAAATCTTGCCTTTCTGCAGCTTTCCACCTCATCCATAGTCAGTGGCTGATCCCCCTTAATGGAGGATCACCTGGATAACAGCTTTACAGGAATGAATCTGGATTTAGGGCCAAGTCATTGGTTTTCTTTATCATGTCCTGCACTGCGAAGTCCTCTCATTTTACTCACACTCTATATATCAAGAGATTAGGATAGAAATACACTAAAGAGCAGCACACGAGTAGTGCAAATGGGAGGAAATACAATAAGAACATGTGTCTGTGCGTGTTGTGTACGTGCATGTGTAATTATCAGCCTATTGCTGTAATCAAAAAAGACTAAAATTAAGTCAAATTATATTATTACAGGATTTGCTGTGTAGTTTGCTGAAAAACCTCAACAGACATTTGTTTCAAGCTAATGTCTCTTGAAGGAATCTGAACAACATGTTTCTCTTCCCTTAGATCTCAATTAACAGCTCTTACTGATAATTGGATGGATGGACCCCTTGCTGGGCAGTTCTTGGACTTTGCTCCAGATTTTTAAATAACTTGGCAGATGTTCTGGGGGGCACTGCCAAAATTCTCTTGAACTCTACCCCACACATTAGTCTTGGTTAATTATTTACAAAAAAGAGACAATGTAATGACAGCCACGCAATTTTCTGAATTTTTAAAAAACTTTTTTTTTAATTTGTTTTAGTCATTTTAGTATTTCCAGTCCTACAATCACCTACTTTTGTACAACACTTGGCCATTTGAGACTACCTCCTATAAGCTGTAATTTCACAAATCATAAATGCAGACAAAAAAAACTACAAAAAAAAACCCCTCACTTTTTTAAGACTCAAGATTGTGAAATGGAACCTAGTAAACTTTTAACCTTTGGCCTGTATCATTGAACAAAAGTGGGGTGTGTGGGTGTGTGTTGGTTAGGAAACACACACCCCTGAAAGCAAGGGTGGATACTTTTTTAACCTGCCAACCTATGACCTGATCCAGTCCCATCCCACTGAAGATACACACCCAAACCTAGAGCAGGAATAGTTTAATTACCTCCAGAGGGCAATAACAAACAAATCTCATCTTCTCCCACAAAGTGGATGCACTGCACTTCTCTTTCCTCTCCAGCCCTACAGCTCTCATCTCATATGAATTTGACCTCTGCATGTACTTGGCTCAAACCCTTCTATAAGGAAAATAAAAGCTGTGGATTTGGACTGACTCATGTCTGCGTGTGGATGTAGGAGTGTGCCAAAGAAATCTATGTTTACCTCAAAATCAAGCTGGGAATTTGGACCGCACGCTCCTTTTTGAGAAGACACGCGGCACAGGCATCCCACCCTGCAGGATCTGCTGCCTAAAACCTAAATACAGCAGCCGGTTCAGTCCTCTCACCAGCGCCCGAGGAGCAAACATCAGGCTTATATGGATAATCAGCACAGGTCTTGACTGGACATGCTCAAATATGTTACACATATGGGATTCTCAAAGAGGTATGACACGTTTGAATGCTCAAATCCACTTCAGTCACTCCTAAAAAGTTAAGTTCGGCAAAGCTTTTCTTCTCCACCCCTATAATATGTGTGTCTCGTGAAGGTTCGATGTAAGGTGGTAGGATAATTCTAATGATGAGAAACAGCAGGATGGAGACGGATAACTTTCTTAGCAGCACTTTTACTCTTCAGCCATCTTGTCCCTCCTGCAACATAACCCCAAAAACTTAACATCCTGGACAACCCTGATCACATGTCACAGCACTTCGCAATCAGAGGCTAGGACCCCAAAATAAATGTAAATGAACCTCAGAAACACATTCTGCATAATCTGCTTACCCCTACAAACAGCTGCAGAAAAAAGCATTTAAACTTGTAAATATGAAAATAGTTCTCTGTATGAATTCTATAAAACACATTTTTTTAGCTTAACTTAGAGACAGTTAACTGAAATATTTATAACAGAAATATATGTGGTATTCAGCCAGGCTGAGGGTGAACACCCACCAGCATGCAGCAGCAGAGTTTTTAGGTGTTGTGTCATTCGCGAACGATTCGTTCAAAAGAACCGAATCTTTTAAGTGAACGTACTGAACCGAATGAATTGAACTGAATCTTGAACTGTTCAGCTGTGTATCAGTTCAGAGGGTCGGAGTCGCAGGCTTCTTCCGCTAAATGATTCCGTGATTTGGTGAACGAATCTTTTAAACAAATCTTTTTAGTGAATTGATTCTAGTGATTCCGTACATCTAAAAGAACTGCCATGCCCATCATTATTTCAGGGAACTTCAGTGGGGGGTACAGTGGGTGGGTGGGATTGATTGTAGCAGGTGTTTTTATTTTTCTATTTTGCAAAACAAATTACAACAAATAATTTATGGAGTGATTCTCTATAATTCCCTGAGTTCAACTGGCGTTTTACTACCACTCCAGACATGAACCTATCAGTCAAATTGAACATGAAGTATGCTAAAGGTCAGAATTACTTGCTTTACTACCCACCATGAATGTAAAGTTACATGTAAAGTTATATTTAGGCCTACAGTGAGTATATTTACATATTTTGGTCAATTCTCAGCTGTGTCTCTACTTAAGTGCCTTTTATTTTGGGGGGTTTAGACTAATAGCACTCTGGACTGCTTTTATAAATCAAATATGCAGTGTTAAGAAGTTGAAGAAAGTGTAAGAAGTGTAAGAAAATTATTAAGATGACCTCGACCGGCCTGGCCTGGCAGCAGTACAGATGCTGAGGGCCCCTCCCCTCCAGCAGCAGCAGCGTAATTGGGAGTTTACTGTCTGTCCTTCCCGGAGCGAGCTGCCACAGAGGAAGCAGCCATCCAGCACACACACACACCCACACCCACACACACGCAGCAGAGTGCACCGAGAGTTCAAGAGCGCGAGTGTGCGTTCTAACTACAATTAAGAGGAGTGGAAGTATCATTTTGGGGGAGATTTCTGTTGATTCATCCACTTTACTCTGGGTCGGGACGCGGTTGCGCGGGTGTCACAGAGTTTTTTCGTGACTTTTCTGGTTGAGTCAGCCAATTAAAGGAGAGTGACGCAGCGGTCCATGTGCGTGCGAGAGAGGAGACAGCTGGATGCACAGGTAGGACCAGACACGACAAAACACCAGCAAATACATGACAAATATTCACCAGTTTGTTCAAGACTTAGCTACAACTTTCTATTGCCTACATTGCAGCTTGAGTAGATGTACCTTCTGTAGTTTCCCATCTGTTGCATTATTAAAATCAAGCTTAACGAAGCTGTACGGTCTTTACCAGCCTTGAAGTTATTAAATAGGGTTTATTTACATGAAGGATATACAGGAGGACACCGACATTTTTCATCAGACTTTTTTGCTTTAAGTTTGCAGAATTGTGTCTCTGGCTTTCTTAAATCAGCATTTGTCTTTGATATGACATTCCTGTTATGAAGCCTGTATTTGATATTGAGTATGAGTCCTCTAACTAATAGTTATGTGGGAGTAAAATATCTTGAATTCAGCTTTTGAAAAAGTGTCTTTGACCCCTTAGAAAACCCTGTGGAAAAAATGATGTGTTCCTAACTTTAAAAACCACACAGTGCGGTCTGAAAGACACATGTAATCCCTTTAAAAGAATGCAATAAATAATCTTCATATAACAGTGTTGTTCTTAGGCAGGGATGATGTGTTTCTCAACTGTGCAAACTAGATTGGGCTAAGAAGCGCATTAAAAGTATTAATCTTTCCATTTTATACAGCTGTACGTAAAATTGTGGAGTTGCATTAAGTTCAATTTTTAAAACATTTATACATTTCTGGTGGTATTTACAATGTTTACAAGAAGTTATTGAACAGAAGATGTTTGACTTACAGTAAAAATGAGTCCAAATATTCTCAAACTAAAACCAACTTGGCTCACTTCCAACAACTTTTATGTTGCTTTTACGCAGTATATTCAACATGTTCCTATGAATATTTTGCTCTATTTATTTGTAGATTTTATTGGTTAAAATTCCCCATCATGTGTCTCACTATCTTGCTGTTTCTCTTATATGTATTTCTAACATTCATAAAGACCAACCATGCACTGACTCTGAAGGTATACTGAGCTCCCTACGAGGAAATGAAGTTGAGGGAGTGGCAGGACAGACTTAAAGGTTGGATTTATTTGGAATTGTTTTCGGGAGCGGTGATACTAGGGAAAACAAAGATTGATGTTCTGCACCACAGAAAGACAAGTCATAAAATGCCTGATTTTTCTCCTCCGGTTAATTAGTGGGTATCTTGGTGGAGTCTGCTGGGTGTGCTGAAGGAGACTGCTGCAAAAAACACAAGCACTTACAGGTTTTCTGCAGATGCAGCTTCTGAAATCAAAGCCCTGAGAGCTGTACTTTGTGTGCTTAGGAGACTTTCATGAAGTGACACCACGCTTTGAAGATGAAACTTTGCCTTAATCTCATGTCTGTGACTTTGGATTTGGTAATTATATATACTGTAAGACTCAATGAAGGGATTTAGACAGTTGTGTGGCTGAGTTTGTTCACTGTTTTAGTTGCATCGGCTATAGAAAGTGTGGAGCCTCCTGTGTGCTGTGATTTCCTCCTGTTCTTTATGGCATGTTGACACACACAGCATCATACTCAGCTGTGTTTTGAGTGGCCTACAGTACTGATCCTGTGCTCCGAGGCAGTCTGACACAGCTCATGCTTAGGCTCTTTTCTGGACAGTGATGAAAACTAAAAACTAATTGAATGCTTTCTCAATACTCAACAGGATTTGGGTGAAAGTGTTATTAAAACATACTTGTAGCCATGCTGCACACTAGCCAAGCCTTTTATGGTCATGTCTCCAGAATCCCTCTGCGCAGACAGACAAAGCTGCTCAGCCACCTTTTGTGCAGTGCTGATGTTAGTGTGTTTAGAGAGTCTACAACAGCTAGGTGCCAATGACTTGCAGACAGACGGCTTGGCTAGGTTGGCCTGCCCTGCAGCTCCGAGGCCTCTGTGCTTCCTCTGTCTGTACTGAGCTGTATTGAAGCCAGCACGGAGGTAACCACATTAGTAAATCCTTCCCAGGACTGAGGAAGAACAATAGAGCCCACTTTCTACATCTCTGGAAGACTAATACTCTTAAGAGGAGCTGATGCATAGCATGCTTGGGTGTACCCCTGTATCCTCAGGCCACTAGGAGACAAGTGAGAGCACTCCTGACTGTCACTCAATGTTTTCATATCCTCTTGCTCCCATCTGCCCACCAAGCAATGGTATTAGCTTACACATGCACATATGCTCATGCATGAAGCCACATGCACACTCAGTGCTGTATGCCCGGGTCATGACTCATTCAGCACATGTAGTGGTACTTGTTTTGTTGTCCCTTATCGACAGACCTATCTGCATGTTTTTCTATGTGTTGTTGTCTCAGTTGCACAGATGCTTCTTGGTTTCGAATAGTCCCTCCTCTTTGTTTCCACTTGTTTATCTGTTTCCATTCTCTCCATTGAGAGAGAGAGTTACACTGCAGATCCAGTATCACTTCTCCCTAACACTCTGCCACTTCGCAGCAGTAGAAGAGCAGGCGAGTCTCAAACAGAGGTAGCACTATGATTTCAGTCAGTCAATCAGTTTTATATGTGCTGCCCCAAATCGAAAGTTATCTCATTGTACCTTCCTTATAGAGCCAGTTTAGACTGTTCAACTTAGAATATATCCTGGAGAGGTCTACACTTACTCCATAAATGGGCATACTGTGTGTAACAGTGGTGAGAGACTGCTTGTTTTAACAGGCAGCAAGCTCAAACGGAACCAGACTCCATGGTGGTCAGCCATCTGTCCAAACTGGATATGCTGAAAAAAAGTTAGATAGAGGAGACAGAAAGAGTCTGTTTGTCTTTATTTTTGTCTTTGGTGTATCTTGTTACCTTGCCAGTAGTTGCCCTAAGTATTGTCTTACCAGTGTTTTCAGCAAACAGCATGAGGAAGATCAGGAGGGACGAAATGTAGACAGACAGGACCTCAGGGCTGGAATTTTATCCATCTCCTTTGGGTTTTCCCCAAAGACATACTCTATACTTCCAAAACGGAAGGAATTCAACTGGAATGTCCTCTGGTCCTGGCAATCCATTTCATTGGTTTTCCACTTAGAGGTTTAAAGCCAAATGCAATTGTTATGAGAAGTCTGTGAGCTGTTGTGGCTTCACTTATATGATGCAAAGGGTTGGTGGTAAATGGTTTGTGTGAAGAGAAACTTTAGCTAATCCCTCTAACTAGGGCAGTAGGTTTTACTGTCAGGGCTGTTGCTGAGTTGTGTGAGTAGGTGCTTTTTAAAACTGCCTCTAGTTTTCAGATGTATAGGATTTATTAGAGAGGGAACTGCTGCAGGTGATACAGACGTTCCTAATAGCTAAGGGATCAAGTGTTCTGCTTCATGGGAGGTATCAGGTAACATTTTTTGAGCTATGCAATCTTTCCTTATTTAGAAGTAAGTTAGTTTAATTTAATCTTTTCAACTTAAGCCCATCACATCTTTATCCCAATCTGAGCGTAAGGGGATACTTATTTTGCTTTCATTCTACTTCTGATATGTAATTTCCCAAGAGATCCGCTTGCCATATGTTACACACAGATAAGTTGAGGGTAAAATCCAAAATGAAGCTGATAATGTTTACTTTATAACCAGAGTAAACAAATGAAAATGAAGGAAAGGGCGATTATGATTCTTTTTGAATGGCCCAAAAAACTGAAGTATATGTAGGTTATGGTTTTTGATCTCAGTCCAGAATAATCTTACATCCCTACAGGGATCACATGTTTCATATTTACCACAGCAGTTCATTCTCAGTGTACAGTTAAACACAGTGAGATCTGCACTAAATAAGTCATGTTAACATTGTTAAGCTAAATGGTTCTGACAGGAGCTGGGAGATATATTGACGTTGGAACCTTCAAATTTATAATACCTGTTTTTATTAGTAGCCTGTGGACGTGGAGCTGACAGTTGTTTTCTTTTAGCTTGTCATGAAAAGTGAAATAAAATGCCCTCTCTCTGAAGTATACGCTGTGTAACAGTGCCAAAACACAAAGAAAAAGAGTGGTGCTAGTCTGTGTTTGAACAGTGCTGTGTTTCCTTCTTTATTGCCATCTTTAACTTGAGTTATAGCTACTGGAGCAACTTAAAAACCCAACGCTCCTTGTATATTCTTTATAGTTTGTATGCAGTGAAAACACAAACAGTGTGGTTGTCCTGTATTTTCCTTGTGAGACATGAACTCACGCAGCCTCACTTGGGAGTTACATGCTTTCTTTAATGCAATGTGAAAAAAGATGATTGACTGTAGCCAAGAAAAACAACTAATGTCCCGAGAGTTTGAAACAATTACCTATGTTGTTCTGCCAGGTCAGTGCCTGTGGCCAGGGAATAAAGACAAATAACTGCACTAATGCACTCTGTCCTGTGGAGATGGAGGGTTTGATAATAGAGTGCTCTGCAGGACACCTGGGTGCCGCTAAATGCCTCATTAGGGGTGGCCTCTGTGTTTGAATGCCCATGGCCGAAGCACTTCTTCACCATCTGCTCCATCCTCATGTCTGTAACCTCTCCTGGGAATATCGTGTCTTTTAAAAGTTCAATTTCACAAAACTTCAAGTGCAGCGTTTCACAGTTTTAATTTTGCATCCTTATCCTTCGCTGATCTAATTTGATTTTGGCTTCAAACTCGAACAAGGCAATATATTTGACGAGCTGACATATATGAGATCCTGTATGGCTGAGATCAGAGGCCAGCAGCACCATATCGGCTGCTGGCTTTAAATCTGTCACCATCACCATCAGGGTTGTTTCCCATCACCCCCTGCACCGTGTGCCGGCCATGCTGCCAAAGACAACAGGGACTCTAGCAGCCAGGAAACAGGGGTGTTAGCATAACCCACATGGCACAAGCTGTCTGTTTCTTCTCTTTTACACTTTTCTCTTTTTTAAGCTCTATCTCTCTTTCCATCTCTATTAACCGCCCCTCTGTAAGTATTGACTTACTAGCAACACATTGTGTCTTTCTCTGTGTGTGACAATCTGCTCTTGTCATCCAACTCTCACCAGATGACAAGGTTTTTATGCCCTTTTTTTTCTCCTTTTATCTGGCGTGCTGCATGGGTTTCTATTCCTAATAGATGTGGGCACTCAAGCTGAGACGTGCATTACTCAAACACCACTCATAAGATTGAAGTCATGTCACCGCTCCCTTGAAGAAAGTGTAGTGAAGGTGAACCCCACCATTTGCACTATCACTGTCACACACAGACGGCACAGATTTTAAGCTTCACACTTCCTCACTCTCTTTCCTTGGTGCTCATCCATCACTCACAGCTCTATATCTGTATTTCTAACCCCGAAGGTGTGAAGGTGCTTAAATTTGTCATCTTGAATAAGCAGGAGTGTGTTTATCAGGGTCTAATCCTCTCTGGTTTGAAGCTACAGAACACTGAGATGGGTGCCACTCTGTGCTGGTTTAATCATTACTGTGTTTTCTCTGGGGTTCAACTGGTTCAATCGCTCCAAGCAACATGCTTTGTTTCAGTGTTTGGGATGTGTGGGGTGCTCTGGATCAATTAATCTGAGTCAACGCTGTTTACATTGAAACAAGACAGGCTGAAGTGTGTTATCTGAGACGAGTGGCAGGAAGGTGTAGCTGTAGCAATCTGGTCTTTTGGGCGGGAGGCAAACTGATAAATTTCTTCATCGATCACTTAGTTGGTAGTCAGGCGGCTGTTGAAAATGTGTGGGTTTGAAAACACTCTCAAAGCTTATTTGGGGAGGTGAGAAATGCGATTAAGGATAGGGTGACAATGCTTTAAAAATGCATTTCAAGCAACCACTTTGTGAAACGGTCTTTTTTTTTTTGTTCCCAAAACAACAACAAACTTAATAAAACAAATTTAATGCAGTACCATCGAGAGCTACTCATGGGTTTCGGTCACGTTGCTACCATCTTTAGAGCTGAGCACCATCAGCCGGCTTGTGCTTTCAATGCCCGGTTCTAGAGAAAATCCTGTCTCGGATAAAAACACTAATCTTTCTGCTGCTAATAATGAAACTAACACTACTTAGAAAAGTAAGATATCAGGGTTTGGAGAGTTTTTAACCACCATTTTAACCTGGTGGTTCACCAATCAGACTCTGAATGGTGCTGGAATTTTTTTCCCCACTATCTTTGTACCCTGTTTACAGTCCATAACAGTCCCTCATGACAATAAAGAGCTCTGAGGATTACCGCTACTTTACTGCAGGATGGAAAAATGATCCTCAAGTTTATCTTGTGAGATGGAGAAACACTCATTTATCAGAAGGAAGGATAGGAAATTGCTCGAAGGTTTAACTCATGTTTATGATCATGCCACTCACTAGATTGTCATTTAAACTTGACGTTATGTGAACTAGTGTAATAACAGTTAAGGTTGAAAAAAATGCCAGCTGCCAAAAATGATGTTGTTTTTTGGTAGATCTTAAACAATATGGGTTAAGATATATTTTTTATCTGAAAGTTTAAGACAATGGACAGAAACCCCAAAGTAAAATTGCATGAATTAATATTGATTTAATATTAAATATTTATTATTATCATTGTTACAATATAAATTCATACAATTGGAATGCCTCAATTTTAGTGAGGTTAGTACACAGTCATAGCCATCAACGCAATGGTACTAATATTTGGCATAATAATTTCTTTCGGTGATTCCATTTTTAGGCCTTAGTTTCCTCATTTTCGGTTTTAGGTTTGGGCCAACAATTTTCGTTTCAGTGCATCCCTGATTTAAATGTTAAAGTTACGGTGCTAAAATTAAACCAGTTTGTGCCACTGTAATTCCAGTCTGTCCCATGTCTAATAAGTGCACATCACTCAAGTTCTTCTTGCTTGTTAGTAACAGAAAAGCCCAGCAAGTCTTCCCATGACTGTTTCCTCATACGCCTCACTTTTCATTCAAAGTGAATTAATGTCTGTGCTTCAAGCCTCTTTAACGCACTGTGAGTCCTAACAAGGACACGGTCAATTTATTACGGGACATAAAGAGAGAGCTGACAGGGTCATCCGCCAATTCTAAAACTATTGGCAAGTATCATTTAGCTGAAGAATCAAATGAGTTATCCCAGTCAAAAGATGACAGAGGAGAGAGGGACACTGAAAGAGGGCATGGCGGGGTGAAAGATAGCAGAATGTGAGTGTTTTGTTAGCCTGACCTTTGTTTTGGGCAAACAGATTTAAAGTCGACACAAAGGGAAAAGGCAGTGACGGGCAACAGCTGATGTATGATGGGTAAAGAGAGGGGACATGCCTGCAGGGCTCCATGGTGAAATAGCTCAATAGTCCTAACACAAACCTGTATGCACATCCTGGGAGAAGTTAGATGAGACTGCACACACACTCATACACACTCATGCACACCCACACCCAAACACACACACACACATGATTGCTCCTCCCTAGCTTAACTCTCTTCTCGGGTCTCCCTCCAGGGTTTGCAGAGAAGGACAGAGTAAAAGGGAACAAGATCACTCCACGCACCATGAAGGAAGAAGACTCTTTTAATCAAAGTCTGGATGAAGTTGGGGCTCCATGCTGCATGTCTGGAAGTAATTATGGTAGTAAGGGGAAGAGGATTAAGGTACAGTCCCATCCAGGGGTCCCATTAGTGGGATTGATGCTGCTGGCTACCCTCCCTTTTGGAGCGAGCATCAAACAGAGTGTCCCCAGGGTCACACTCAGCCACAGAGGTAAGAAGTGAAATATTTCTGATTTTTCTGTTAAATTATGGTTGTTTTACGTTTTTTTAATGTACTTAAAAACTTCTATATTTGTGTCCATGATAGTTAGCGAGTAAAATGAAGTCATCCTGAAATTTTTACATCAAGCAGACATCATACATCATGGTGCACTTGCCCTCGCTGGGGTTATATTTACAGTGACACATGATGTACGACTACTTTGACCCACCTGATTCCCTTAAATTTTCTTCCCTTAATCCCATTTGCTGTTCATATTTCAGCCATTCATACATCCTGATGATTTGTCTTTCTCTCCAATGTTCTGTCTCCACTCGTCTCTATTTCTCTTGTGGCTTTGTGCACACAGCCAAGAGGAAAAATAAAGAGGGATTAGTGGACTCAGTTGCACTGTTAAAATAAATGGTCTCTAAAACACCACTGTAAAGTGTGAGTACAGTGAGAGATTTGAGACACACTTACTAATCTAACTCAGTCGTTTAGTTTGTCACATTTGATGGGCAACAGAGCAGTTTTAGTGAAACAAGAATACCATGTCTTAAATCTGTTACTGACATATCCTATTACATTAACCTTCAGTAAGTTTGATGAAGAATAAATGCAGTTGTGTCTTATATGTACTCCACATCTAGAGGACACTGAATCTCTTGTGTATACATCAGCCAGTCCCTTCACTGAGCGTCCTTGCGCTCAGTTTTGCATTTACTTAGTCTATTTGCTTTGTGCCACTGGAGGAAAGCAAAATTATTGCTCCCCTTAAAACCCGTTCTACACTTCAGTGCAAACTTGACTTCAAAGTCTCCATCCCTCATGCTATGTATCTTCCACAAAGAACCACACAAATGAACTTCAGTCGTGCTCCATAAAAGTGAATCCCCACTGTGACCTAAAAGTAAACTTGCAATGACTCGTACTTCTGAGAGCTCTCCTCTGGTCAAAGGCTTCCAAATCCCAGTATGGCTGCAAACAGACATATGTCATGTGTGTCCTGGGTTTCCAACATAAATACATGAAAGTAGCTGCAGAAGAAATGATTGCTGGGGACAGTGTTTACTCGGCATACTCGGCTAGTATGAAGCTCTACACTTCGTCTGATTGTATGTTTGTTCCAGAGCAACCAGCAGATAAAACAAAGCAGTTCATCATCTCACACATGACTGCATTTTAATGAGGTCACAAATTTGGGACAGATTTTTTTTAAACCCTGTCAGGGTGTGTCTCTTGGCTTTGACTGAGCACTGCTGACAAAACTTTACAGTTCATTCAGGAGGACAATTGTCTGACCATGTGTTGGTTTCCGTTGGATCTCCAATTAAAAACAGTAGAACATTGTCCATCTTTGGTCCTTTCAGACCGAATGACTGAAACATAAGAGAAACAATCAAAGAAAAAATCACCTCCAACCCACTGCACACATCATGCACACATCATGTCATCATCTCATCAACACACACGCTTCAAAAGCAACAGCAGCCAGCAGTGCTCACTCTTCAAACATCACTTCAGATCGGCCCTCTGTGAAAAGCACGGCTTCAGTGAGTGAGGAGGGAAACGATCAAAGAGAAATCATTCCTGTTTGAGTGAACACCTCCAAAACAACTACTCTTCACTCCAAACTTGTAGATTTTCCTCTGAAAAACAAACCGTAAGGCACAGGTTCAAGTTTCACCCAGGGTCAGACCGCAGACATGTGGCCTCCTGCCAAGTTAAAAGCATAATCATAAGGGTTCTGGCATAGTTTTAATATCCTACACATACAGATTGGTATTATGCCCCTTATTCTTGAGTTCCACCGCATGCATTCTCCTCATAGTTTTGTGGCTTATTTAATTAAAAGCAACAGTTTGTTGATTATTACTCTTGAAAGACAATCTACAGAGCGTATTTCTTCTACTTGTTAACAGTTGCTTGATACTTAATCTCCATTCTATTGGAAAATAAGCTTAGAAACAAGATACCAAAACATATTTGTGACTGCACATGTGCTCTTAGATTCTCATGGCCATTGCTGTTTGTTTAACATGTCTAACTGGCTGTGACGTCTCTGAAACCGCATTCAGAACATCCTACGCTGCATATTGATGTCAGACTGACGCTGCAGAGAGACACTGACCTCATCTCAGCTAGCTTACATGTAGCGTACAGTCACCAGTTTGACTTATTCATGCTAAGATGATTTCACTTTTCCACCTGCAAGTAAATCCAGACCCGTCGCATTTTTGTTTCTTTTCCATTTCTTGCTCTTGCTTGATCCTCTCTGTCTTTGGTCAAAGCATTAGCTCACTCATCGTAATTTAGGTGGCTTAGAAGTCTGAAAAGTAGGTTTTAAAGTATTACACAGTTTGGATTTACTCCATCATTGGAGTCTGAACTTTTTTTGGTAGCGAGCCAGCGCAGTAACATCTTACTCAAACAGTGCTCCGTGGTGGAGCTCCAGCAGTGAAGCTAATCAGGGGTGGTTTAGCTGTTTGAAGGCCCTCTCTTTTGCAGAAAGGTCTGGCGCTCTGTGTGAAGTGGCAACAGCTAAGCAGGCTGCTTGAATGGCCTCACAGTGCAGCCTGTTTACAGAACCGATTAGCGTTAGCTCAGGGCTAGCAGGCCTAATCTCTCTGTAGGGTTTAGTCTGCATGGGGCATGATGTATGTGTGGGAGATATGTGCATGTGTGGGGGGCCCGAGTGTGTGTGTGTGAGCTTGTGTATAGGAGGAGGTATTAAGTAGGATTGCGTGGTGTGGAGGGCTCCTTGAAGTTCAAATATTGAAGGTTGGTAACCTCTCCAATCCTTCACACCAAGAGGGTAATCACAATGTCAATCCTTTCAGAGTGACTCCCACAGGACTCCCCCGCATTGAGCCTGTGTTTATCCAGGGCATGTTGCTATACTGGAGCAGTGAAAAGAAGCTGGTGATAGAGGAGATTTCCTCCAGATCAGCCAGATCAAGGACACAATAGTCAACTGAAAATGCAGTCCGTCTTCAGCTCCTTGAAAGAGAGAACAAAATGGATCATATTTTACTTTTTGAAAACGCAGTGAACAGTAAATTAAATTCTTTAAAAACTGTTTATCCAAAATGTTGCCGCTCTGTTGTGGTTAAAGATGCAGAACATCACAGCAAGTTTTACAAAATACATGAAATCAACTGTATCATCTTCATGGCCAATGGGATAGTTGTGAAAATACCCTCATAATGATATCTGATAACGCATACACTAAAATACTACAGTTCTCAGCCACTGTGTCTCCTCTCTATCAGCATCTCTGGCGAAAGGTGTTAAACCACAGAGGATTAAACAGCTTCACGTCAAGCCAAGTTGCATTTTTGCTCTGAAAGAGGAAACCCAGCGCTTGTTTTGGGGATTTTTTTCTATCATGAGTGGTCTTGAGAGAATAACAAAGCTTGACAGAGTAATCTTATCAAAATATCAGCATAACTGTTATTCAGGATATTGGAAATGTGCTGCAGAGATTTATTAATCTCTTTCTCTCTCTGTCTGTTGCGCTCGCTTGACTAGAACTGCTGCAAGCCGGCAGCCTGTCTCTGTTTTTAGGCCCCGCTGATGGCCTGCACTCCCATTCTCTGCTACTGGACGAGGAGAGAGGTCGTCTTCTTTTTGGAGCCCGGGATCACATCTACTTGCTTGACCCTGACAATTTGGCCAGAGACCCCAGAAAGGTACGTGAAGCTGTTAGAGTGAACAATCACATCTTGGTTTTTAGGGCGACACAAACAAGGTCAAAACTGAGTTTGGTGTGATAGAGTAATCTGGTGGTATTTTGTAATGTCGCTATTTGGGCCATTTACTCCACTTGAAGGGTTGTTTAGGTAGACTTTGGAGTGTTTACAGCAGTTTCAAGACTCTCCACACCCTGTGAGGTTAGCCCTGGAAGAAATTCAAGTTCGAACAGGAGACAGAGTATCTTCCCCACACAGCAGTCCCCAGACATGCGAACTCAGGCTTGGAGTCACTTGAGACATGCTAATAACCTCTGTTATTTACTGGGTTTAGCTCATTATTAAAGAGACACTCATTTAGCTCAGTCTCAGAGCACTTACATACCTGTCTCTCCATTAAGTCGGGTGATGTAAGCTATTTTCCTCCATTACAGCGTGGTGTTTCTGAGCTGAAATGCACTCAGCCTTGTTTTGTTTTATTGAAGAGCTCCTCTCTCAGTCAACAGCAGTCTGAAAGTGTCTGTCTGGTAGGGTCAGGGCCATCTCGTCGGAGGGCACACGCACACACGAACACATTTGCGGTGTGAGTGCACGCTCGTGCTCAAACATAAACACAAGCACACAAATGCACTTGGACTGATGCCATATGTTGAAGTTTGTAGATGTGAGTGTGTGTTTATGCAGCTGAGGTTGATACTGAAGAGGGGGGGGACTGTGTGTTTATTTGATTTTTATCTGGTTGTTTTAACTCTCTGTCTCGCTCTCAAAGTGTTGCCTTTCTGTTGCTTCTCCGGTCATTGATACTGATGCCATGAAGATATGAACCTAAAAGTCCTGCTCTCTCTGTCTGCTGGAGCTGGCCCGTGACAGTGAATGTGATCTAGAAGCACAAGCTCTGTGTTTATTAGCTAACGAAGAGGCATACCTGAAAAAGAGACCCTGGGGCACTTCGACACACTCAAATATACCGCTCTCAGGCATTCCAGCTGTTCCTACCTTGATTTTACTGAGATAGGTGCTTCATTAAAAACATTTTCCGCAGTCTTTGAATACTTAAGTTTGCTGTGGTGAAACTAGGCCACTGACCGTCTCTTATTTCAACATTTGAAAACCCCAAATTTCATAGGCCACTCACACATCACACTGCACAATGCTTTTCTCTACGAATTCCTCAGCGGCAGCTATGATTTGAAATAATGAGATGTTTCAATAATTGCTCTGATGCATTTACATGCGTATCCTGCCTCTGTTGACCCATGAGTAAGTCTGGCGATAGCTCTCCGTGGTAGGATTTAGGCGAGGTAACAGGCTAAGCACATAAGCCTGTTATAACACATGTGTGAACATAGACGGTGGGGTACATCGAGGGGATGCTAGATGTTATACCCGTACCAGCACCGAGAGGAGTCAGTTATCGCATTATTGGGATCAGTTCTTTGATAATCCTCATGGTGTTTTAGAGAGACATGGAGGGAAAATTTTGCAGAAAGTCTTTTTTTGAACAAAACACTCTAAAATATTGAATACTGGAACTCAAAAATTGGACATTACACAGCATCCCTTGTTAATTTTGGGTGGACCTTAGTTGTAAAAGGAAATCCAGCCTGAGTACCAGAGTTGAGGAGCCCCATTCTCTCATCACTATAAAGGAGCTTCTGCAGGATTTGAGCTGCACTCAGGCTCCTATTAGTTTTGGGGTCAGGAACTTTGTCAGTGGTACCTTTAAGTGCTCCATAAAATTTTATATTGTTTCTACAGAGCACTGGTACTTTGGTTAAAGTAACCAAAGTATCATACAGTTTTATTTCAGGAATTGTGATTCTAGCTAATAAATTTTGAATAAATTGGAGCGACTATTTTATTAGCTTTACCAGGTGTGTAGTAGAGTATGACTCCCTGGATGTTGTTTGTAGATAAAGTCCTCACCTTAAGATGTAAATTATTGCCAGATACAATTAGAAAATAAGCTTATTGTGGCTATGAAATGCTTTGTGATGAGATTTGAATATAAACCACCTTTAGATTCACTGGCCTGCTCCCCGGGACCGAGTGGAAATGTGCAGACTGGCGGGCAAAAATGCAAATGTAAGTACTCCTGAGGACTTATGGTTCTGGACAAAACCCTCACATAGATTCTTACGGTACTGTTTCTTAATGTACAGTACACTCCCATGTATCAGACTCAGTGTAATCCTTCATCTTTGCTCTTTTTCTGCCCCCGCTGTGCTAGTTGGAATGTGCTAACTTTATCAGGGTCCTTCACAACTATAATCGCACACATGTCTATGCTTGTGGAACTGGAGCCTTCCACCCCAGCTGTGCTTTTGTTGAAGTCTCTGGACGCAGAGAGGTAAAGTGAATATAGGTCTGCAAAACTGAGCAGAAATGGTTACAATCGTGAGTTTTGGAGTTTGAAAATGTAAAATGTCCTCCTTTTTCTCCCAGGATGGTGTATTCCAACTGCTGTCTCATACAGTAGAGTCTGGCAGATTGAAATGTCCTTTTGATCCCTTGCAGCCGTTCACCTCAATCCTCACAGGTAAGATGAGTCGTCACACAACACTTCAGCAGTCCTCTGCGGCCTTATCTTTCGTACTCCAGAATTTCTCTCAAGCTAACAGTGAAATTCTCCTCATATCTCCTCTAAGTTGTCTGAGTGAATCCATTTTCCCCAAAAATATTTCTGCAAATACTTTTGGCCTTGTTAGACTCCAGCAGAAATTTCCCAGGCTGCAACAGAAGTCAAATGACAGGGAACGATAAACAGCGAGTTTTCGCTCTTACCTCATTTTGAAGCTTGTTGCTTTTAACGCTTTTCAAGCTGTGTTTTTTTATGTGAAACAGAGATACTGCCTATTTGTACGACAGTATTAGTGCCACATTAAGAAAAAATAAGACTTTGAGATGTAAGTCATTACTAACGAGAATAAAGTCGTAGGAAAATCATCAGTTACGGGAACAAGGTCGTAATAAAATCATTACTTATGAGAATAAAGTCGTAAAGTAAATAAAGTCTTAAAGCTGCTTTTGTGGAGGAGGAAATGTCTGAACTGGACAACTGCAGATTATCTGTGGGTGCATCAGTGGGTCATTCAGAGAGCTTTTGTGGTTTCTCAAAAAACAATCCAACTGATGATCAACATTTACGATTCAGAGGGAGTCGAGCTCCGACGAGCACCGCATCTGTCTCTGATGCCGGCACAACACCGGCAACAATCTACACCTGCAGAGGCACCAACACCTTATGGCATATAGATTTATACGATAAACTAAAGGCATATGAAACTATTGCTATTGCTATAAACGACTGCATTAAGGGATTTAGCCTCTGCACAGCCATTTCCAGCCATTTCCCCTCCTCAAAAACAGCGATTCCCTACAAGTCCGCCTGGTTCTTTCTGTGGAAAAGATGCATTTCTTGCATATGTCCTGATACTACCTGACAATGTGATGCTGAATTTCCAAAGGATATATCTCCTTGTTTGTGAAACCTAGCTACTGAGGTTCCTAGCGCCTAGCTAAATGCTCCACAGCGCTCATTTAAACAACTAACAAAAGGTTAGAATAGCTATTAGCTACGACTTTATTCTCGCAAGTAATGATTTTATTACGACTTTATTCTCATAAGTATTTACGGTCTTTTTTTTTTCTCTTAATGTGGCCCTAATACTCCGTTGTATGTTTGTGATTTTTCATGTATATCTTGTTTCTTTGCTGAATATTTAAAAGTCGTGAATGATTGCGTTTACTGTTCATTTGGTCCAGATCAGTACCTGTATGCGGGGACATCTTCAGACTTCCTGGGCAAAGACACCACATTCACACGCTCTCTTGGACCTCCACCCGACCAGCACTACATACGCACAGACATCTCTGAAGACTACTGGATCAACGGTACTCACATACCTACACATAAACATGAACGTGCTGAGTGCACTTAAAACTGGTCGTAGCTTTTTTTTCTTTTGCTCCAAACTTCCAGCCGCTCTTCTGATACAAAGAGGCTCTCTGTGCCCTCTGGTTGGTTATTGGCATTCCTGTGTGGAGGAAACAGCCCACTTATTCATTTCTCTGGAACTTTTATATGAATGCCAAAGCTGAACAGGGACCACACCTACAGGGGAATTTACAGTGTGCCACAAAGTTCACGACTTAACCCTTAGTCACACAACCGCGTCACACACGAGCAAGTACACATTCAGGCAAACACATTCATCACAGACAGGGGTGTCTCCTCTTTTTGTATACATCTCTTCAGTCTCCAACGTTTTACAGCCAGTGATGGGTTGTCGTGTATCAACGGTCGTCACTGGCATCTAAATCCTTACACATGGTCTCCACATTTCACAACCGCACAGTCAGAGATGTTTGGAGCAATTACGTCTTTCTCCCCCAGTGTGTGTGTATACAGCATGTGTTGGCCCAGGGCGGGCGAGCAGAGAGAAAAAAAAAAAAAAGAGGGTGTAATTTCTTGCTGTGTATCTGTTCCCTGTGAGTCCATGGAATATCTCTCTCACAATGACCCCCTGTCCTAAGTGTTAGCAGTTGTACACTAACTTGTTCCAGTCAGGGAATCACCCTCTGGTTCTTGGCTCAGTTCTTAGGAGTTGAGAAAATGTTGATGTAATGTCATTGCAAGACTCAAACTTTTGGACTTGTCCCTCCCTTCCTTAATGAGGACATCGATGATAACCATGCTGCTCATAGTCCCCTTTTCACACTGATATGAACAGGATGTATTTTTCTTGATCTAAAAATACCATGTTACATCAGGCTGTGTCTCAATCCACACAATTTCAGTCTAGAAAAATTGAAAAAAACATTCCTACCCGTGCTCATGTCAGTATTAGCTCCCCCTGTGGATAAAACTGAGCCTCTGCTGAGTCTGTCCTGTTTATGTGCAAGTCATGTTTAATGGAGCTTTAAACCACCAGTCCATCTATAAAGCCTAACAGCAAGTTTAGAATATACTATATGTGTAGCTCAAGCTTAAACTTAGTATAAAAAAGTGGTTGTAAATCTGTCCTTTGTGTAAAACAAGGCGATATTGTAACCGAACAAGTGTTGAAAAGAGTGTCACCTCAAGGCTCCAGCTCATGGCAAAGTCATTACCTGGTTTAACACTCTGTCTTCCTCCTCTTTTTTCCGCCCTGTGTCTTCAGAGGCCAGGTTTATATCCGCTCATCCCATAGCAGACACCTACAACCCAGACGATGACAAGATATACTTTTTCTTCCGTGAGGTGTCGTGGGAAGGAAGCGACAAGAGCATCGTGTCTCGGGTGGCTCGTGTGTGCAAGGTGAGATATTACACAAAAGAAGTGGTGAGAGTTCGGGGGGTGTTCGGAGTAGGCGGGTCAGGATCTGATGAATGGATGGACAAACAGGAGAAAGAAGTGGATGGAGCTGTACAAGACTCAATTGGGATACTGTAGGATCATAAAAATGTGAGTTGAAGCTCAGTTGATAACAAGAGACTTGATGCTTTAGAGCTCTGTATCGTTATGGGACAACGGTGGGGCGTAACAGTGGGACTGTAACACCTCTTCCAGTCTGTGGTTGATTCATCACTCCTGCAGCGGACCGATCAGATAAGGATCTTTGTGTTTGGCCCCTGCGGGACTGTTTTATGTCCCCCGGTTGGAGATTTTCCAGATCCACTCTTTCCTTGTAGTCATCTGAAAGAGTCTGTCAGGGGCACTAAATCAGGCTTTCAGCTTTTTTGTGCTCTGCTGACGGGGCAGTGGTTGTGCCTACGTGGCCAATAGGGTTGATGTGGTTGAGAGACCTTTGTCAGTGTCTACAATAAAAAATAGATTCACAAAGAACATAATGGTGCAGCACTTTACAAATCAGTGAAACAATACTGCATTAAAGAAATGTGATTTGCCTGATTAAGATAACCTTTTGTAGCACTATTGTATCACACTTTGTGTGGGACACTATGTGCCATTAGTCCACCAAATGGGATTTGCCCAAACAGAGTTTGCTCAGCATTCAGAGGCCTATTGCTACATTCTTTAAGAAAAGCTCTCAGCATCTTTATGACTTGGGAGTAAGCTGTAAAACAGACTGGATGGAGAATCCTTTCTCTCCCTTCTATCTCTCTCTTCTGCTCTTCTTCTTTACCTCCTTCACTTTCATTATTTTTGAGTGTTTTTTCCCCGTGTGTAAGAGGAATCAGGGGCACTTCACTTCAGTCCTCTTTGAAGATTATTACCATTGTGAAACACTCTCATTAAGTGCTTACATTTTTTGTCTTCTTGATCACAACTGCAGTATTGTGTGTGTCGAACCCGAACCGTCTTTGAAATACTGCTGAGTAGGTGCACAGGCCAACTTTAATAAGGAGGCTCTCTTAAGTTTCCTCAACATCACAAAGAGGAGCACTTGAATTCTCTAACCAGAGCTCAATCAGAGGTCGCTACTTGTAAAACAGCAATTCATATGCTAAGATAACAAGGTTTTAGGCTTGCTTCCAATGCTGCACTTCCACTTGTTTCTCTTTTCCTTTGATGTCGCCCCTCTTCTCACGATGTTTCCGCTCCATCTTTTTCTTCTACCTCTGCAATTACTCCACACTGTCATTATCCTAACAAGAAGGGCTCCTTTGTGCCAGATAATAAGCAGATCCACTCTCGAGTTATGTGTTTCACCTGTTTATTTTCCTAATGAGTGCAGGAAATCAGAGTCAGGCTGCAGTGCTTTGAGTTGTCTCTGTGTTTAAGTCGATTAAATGGATTACTGTCAAATTGTGGTCCAGAAAGTGTACTATTTATTGTGGTTGTCTCTGGGCCATATTGGACAGCTGCACAATACTGAGTGAGTATTTTGTTACAATGTTTGTTTTTGTGTTTCAGAATGATGTAGGTGGGCTGAGGAGTCTGACTAATAAGTGGACCACCTTCCTCAAAACCAGACTGGTGTGTTCCATCCCTGGGCTGGATGGAGTAGACACACACTTTGATGAGCTCCGTAAGTGACAGTGAGGCTCTAAATAAAAAATAGAGGCCAAGAAATTGAGTTTTGTACTCCAGGAACGACGTAATGAGAAGGAATTCCTACTGTCATTGAACCAGCAGTGGCTTAAAAGTAGCAGAAGTCTTTGCACCACCATCTTTATTTAACCTAAAACAACAATTACAGTCTAATATATACACAAAATTGCTGCTTGCTGGTTGCACAATAAAGACCCCTCGGTGCACAGAAAGGTCACAGGATAACCCTTATCCTCCTTTTCTTCTTTGTAACAGAGGATGTTTTCCTGCTCCCCACCAGAGATGACAAAAACCCCAAAGTGTATGCGATCTTCACCACCTCCAGGTGAGTGTTGTTTATCACACTGTAATCAGCACCACTGTAACTTCATGAATACTTAACTGTTGTCTGCTTTTTGCTTTGCGCCTAGCTCTGTTTTCCGTGGGTCAGCGGTGTGCGTGTACAGCATGGCAGACATACGAGCAGCGTTTAACGGACCTTATGCCCACAAAGAAGGGCCTGACCACCGATGGGTTGAGTACGAGGGGAGGATACCTTACCCTCGCCCTGGAACGGTACGTTGTTCAATCAAGAGACAAGCCTGTTAATAACTCACACTGAGAACCTTTTACTTTTCAGATGGAACAAATCCTCAATTTTCTAGCTAATTACAAAAAAACAAACATGGACCGAATGAAAAAGACTGGATTCAAGGGTGAAATGTTCATGATGCTGCAGGCTACACATGCAACCTCATGATGCATGACACAACCTTGGATTTGATGAGGTTCCTCCACATGTTAATCAGACTTTTGTGTTATTTGTTTAAAAATGTAATCAAGGAGAGGAAAGGGATTATATAGATTGCTCTGTGTGTAAAGCAGAGTGCACCGTAGTCCACACGGGGAAAAAAAGGATCAGGACTGACACAGATGTTCCAGATGTGTGCCACCTCACTTTGTTCTTCATTTGGCCACTAGAGGGAGACATTCACTAACAAATGGGTAGAAAATAAGGGTGACTACTGAGAAAGTTATGGAGTGACCAAACACCAGACAGGGTGGTAACTCATCTTAAAAATGTGAAATGCTAACACGAGATCATTTTTGTTTTCTTCTTCAGTGTCCCAGTAAGACGTACGATCCCAGAATCAAGACCACCAAAGACTTCCCAGATGATGTGATCAGTTTCATTCGATTTCATCCTCTGATGTATCGGTCCGTCTACCCCCTGACTGGACAACCTGTGTTCACACGAGTCCGAGTGGACTACACCCTGACTCAGATTGTGGTGGATAGGGTTCTGGCTGAGGATGGACAATATGAAGTCATGTTTCTGGGAACAGGTGAGACATTACCTCCACAGGCGCTCTTGAAGTTTCATATTTGACCAGCAGAGGGCAGTAGGTCATCAGGAGTTGACTTCAGCCTTTGACAGACTTTGTTGACACGGTTTCGGTTTGCTGTTGCGAATTTTAACTCTTTTAAAGATGAATACTTAACTCTGATTGTTATTGATCAAAACTAAAAATAAATGTAAGATTTCTCTACCTTTTTTGAATTAATGGAAACTTTTATGACTGCTTTTACTACCTCATCATCACTTAATTGACACTTCAGCCAGCTTTTCCCCTTCCCCTAAATCTAATATAAAAATCTAATATAAAATCTTTATAGTTTCCATACTTCCATACTTGTTTTCATGCTCAAATTCTGAATGAATAATATTCACAATGTAATATTCTTAGTTCATCCCAGTCACCTTGACTTCTGTCACTCCCTCATAGACGCTGGCTCAGTTCTGAAGGTGGTAAGCATCACTCAAGAGAACTGGTCGACAGAAGAAGTGGTGCTTGAAGAACTGCAAGTTTTCCAGGTTTGTGCAGAAGTATACACAAATTCACTCAAACACACAGCCCTCACACTTTTTCAGTTTTAACTACTCTTTAATCCATGATGCTCACTTTTCTCTCCCCTGTAGGACAGCTGACTTTAGTCGTGCTTCTGAACAACACTGATGGATTTCTCTGACCCCTTAAATCAGCAGTTCATGTAACTCAAGTGTGTTGCTGTTTTCATTAAGCTGCTGGTTTGTTTCTTATTCTTCTTACAGACTTCCACTCCCATCCTCAGCATAGAGATGTCTTCAAAACAGGTTGGGCTTTATTCTCATTTGTTCTGTTCCTGTCCTGTCTTGCTCTCTGTCACCTGCATTCACAGCGGTCTGTCAGACGCAGAAGACATCCTGTTTTCTAACCTCATGTCATTCATTATCAGTCGTTTTGCTCTTCTCTATCTTCACTTTTTTCTCTTGGCGTTCTGTCCCACTTCTGCCTCATTATGTTCGGGGTCAGTGGTGTCAGTAGACACTTCAGTCCCAATCACAGCTTCCATTAATCTCTGAAGTGTTTGACCTTTGTGTGTGTGGGTGTGTGCGTGTGTGTGTGTGCATGCGAGCTAGCGTTTTTTGTTTTTTTGTGGTTGTGTTAAGTTGGGTTGAGAAATCTGAACTTGTGATGAGTTGAAGTGGATCCTCTGATTAATGTTTGTGCCAACTTTTCTGCATAGAGGAATCTTAAAATCACTCTTCAAGAGTTTGATATTTTTGAATAAATCCTCCAGTTCAAGTACTTTGAATCTCATCAATGAATTCATGAATCTATTAAAAACAGTGAAATCCCCTCTTTTCTATCTTTATTCTCACTTTAAATATTCCCCCGTTAATGTATATAATTAATTCAAAGTAAACCTGACATTGACTCTGATCTCTATGTCTACCTACCCTTAAGCCGTCTATGGTGTTTGTTTTACTTTAGCAACAGCTCTACGTGGGTTCAAGTGAAGGTCTCGCCCAGGTTTCACTCAGTAGATGTCACCTGTATGGACAAGCCTGTGCTGAATGCTGCCTTGCACGAGACCCCTACTGCGCCTGGGATGGACATACATGCTCGAGATACATCCCTGCATCCAAAAGGTATGTTACACTAACCCTCACTCAGACCTCAAGCTGTGCTCATGTCAGTCTGTGGATGCACTTGTGTTACTAACCAAACCATTCAACCACTCTAGTTTTGCAAAATTGTTATATACCATACTAAATTCATGCAGAAACCATTTAAATACATGTAGTTGTGATACTACGTAGAGATTTACATTAAAGCTCCTGTGAGGAACTCCTGGGCTTTGTAAGTTTTGGCACTCTCTGTTGATAAGGCAGCCTTTGCTTATCTTCTCCTCTACATGCTTAAGTAGAATCTTAAACATTAGACAAAAACTCTCTATTTGTGCACTTTTACCAGTCAAATATATAAGTTATTGTGAATTATTATGCAGAAATGGTAAAATTCAGGGCTGTTTCTTCAGCTGTTCGGCCAACATCCTCCCTCACTGCCTGACAAAGACATAAACAATTACAATATAAGAAATTGACATGTTGCTAACAGTCCTGCTTGCGTTCGTTAAACATAAGACGGCATCAAAATGAATTTCAGGCTGTTTTATGAATATCAAAAAACTCCTCACATGATCTTTAATCGAAAAGCGGCTGTGGAATGGGATTATTTACCGTGATGAATTCAAAAGCTCTGAATAAAACTTTGAGTAACCACGAGAAAGTAAAGAAAGCGTTTTTCTTTAAACTGCCGTGACCCCCTTTTGTGTGTGTGTGTGTGTGTGTGTGTGTGTGTGTGTGTGTGTGTGTGTGTGTGTGTGTGTCAGATGGTTTTCATAGTTCTGACCATGTTTATCTTCGGTTCTTTGAGCAGTTTTCCTTGCCTGGGGGTACGCTCAGTTTAAGCATTGATTAGAAATGTACAACCTCTGCTGATTAATGTTACTGTCGTCCCTCTCCTCTCAAGTGCAGACCTTGAGGTGCAAAAGCATGTTTGTGCATACTTTATGTATATCGGAGTATTTTGTGCCGTAGTTTGTAAGAATTTCTGCTCTGCAGAGTGTTTACCCGACAGTTAGAGGTCACACTGCCACATTGTTGTCCAGTGGGGATGCTGTTATGGTTTGTGGAATAAAGGAGGCTCTTTGAAAGCTGATCTTCTCGGTGTCAGTGAGTGTAGGCTGCAGATGTCCCATCATGTAGGACTGACAGAAGGCGGAGGAGGTAAATCAATACAAACTGATGGAGCCCAAGTGAGCAACACCAGCTAGCGGCTGATTCAACTTTTTTTAAAACCGTAAACAAAACAGTTAGGACGTTTCCTCAAGAGAGAGGCAAGTGTCAACAGTTAGATTCAACATTCGTCAGAATGGCTGAAGAAGCTCAGTGTTTAACCTTTAGGTTTAGTAAGTGTCAAACAGAGAAATACACCGAGGGTTACCTTTAATCAGAGGTCATAATAAATCACGGTCAGTGGTTGTGAAATACTGTTGCTTGGAGGTAGCAGTCAGCTTTTCTTTCTCATGTTCACTAACATTCCTTTTTATGTGCAGATTTGACTCTAAAACATCCTCCTGTTTGGCTGTGAGCATCTCCCTATGTTTTTTTTTTAATAATGAATTTGTATGTAGGTTTTTTTTTAATCTCCCCAAAACATTCTTCATCAATAAAAAAAAGTTTAAAATTAGATTGTAACACAAAGAACATTTTTGGGCACCATGTGCTTTTCATATAGTGATTACCTAGTAAAGGTTAACATTGATTTGGTTACATTTAACTTGCAAATTTAGGTATCTTAAAATAAATAAGATGATAAGTTCTTGATCAAGTAAAAAGTTGAGTAAGATAATGTTGCCCCGGTTTTTAGGCATAGACTGTATATAAGATGGACAACGTGGTTCCGCCTTCCGCCTGTATACGGATTTGAAGCCAAAAAGCTCTCGGTAATTCCGGGTTTTTCTCCACTTCCTTGAAACCAGCACTGTGCAGTAGCGTTGTGCGCATTCGGCCGCGCAGTCGCTGAGAGTCCCTGTGATGACGCTCGGCTTAAACAGCGTATCCCCCCCGGGTGTGTTACGCAATCCCTGAACGCCCATAGGCTGTACCAGGTGTCAATCATAGAAAACATGAACCCCCTAATAACTTTTAAAAACGGAGCTGTACAGAAAAAAAAATGACTTGGGTACAAACCAGTCTTACAATAACTACATGTCAACATCACAAGAAGGGGGGAGAAAAATTTATGTTCTGTGTAATAAATTTCTAAAGTTTGTCCACAGTCCCATAAGCTTTGCTGGCGGAGGCGGGATTTATGACCTATACTGCAGCCCACCATCAGAGGGTGCTGTTCTCGGAGTGGCTTCACCTAGCGAGGAGGCAGACTCTGTCCATCTTATATACAGTCTATGTTTTTAGGTCCTTATGTCTGGCTGTTTTTGCACACTTGTGAAGTGATAGTTTTGTGAGTGCACTTTTAACAAGTCAGAAAAAATGTGGATTTCTCATATAAGCCGACAAGTTGTTTAACCCTTTCATGCACACATTATTGCAGCACAAAGTGACTTTTTATGTTTGTTCTTGTCTTAAAACAAGTGGAAAATCAGAACTTGTTGTCCTATACATTTTTTATTTCGGAGAGTTCGGTGGACAGCATACAAAATCACTATTAAAAGTAATTTATCAGAACCTAATTCTGGTCCACAAAATCATGTGATTAAAACTGTTTTTTTGCAAAGCCAATTAAGTAAAACAAGTAGGAACAGATGAGTGAAACAAACCCTGTTTATTCTCGATTTAAAAACTCATCATACTAGGAATTTCCCATTGGGACTATTAAAGGAATATCTTATCTTAACGCTTATCTTATTAATATAAAGCTGACAAAGTTTACAACTTTCCTACAAACAAACATCCCTGTCCTCAAACAGGCCCACATTAGGAGTTACTTAACATGCATGATGTTGAGAGATGAGGGAGTGAACCTCTTATACTTTGAAGGCTGACTTTTTACGGTTATCATTAAACAGCAAGTATTTACTTTTATGCCTCATATCTGTTTATGGTTTTGAAATGTTAAATAAAAATAACAAACAAACACCACATGGCATGAAACTGGTCTTGATTTGCTTTGTTTGTTTGTTGTCCAGGCGTGCAAGGAGACAGGACATCAAACATGGAGACCCTGCCAGTCAGTGCTGGGACACTGAGGACAGTATGTAAACTTTGTTCTCTGAAATAAGTTTCACATGCGTGTCAAGAATGTCTGTTTTTTATTGCATAGTGGAAAAAGGTCTAGAGAGTTCCTATTTAAACACTCTCTAATGGAAAACCGCATGCATGACACGCCTGTGTTTGAAGCAGAAAAGAGACTCTTTAATCAATAACAGTTCTGCTGTCTTTAGGTCTCATTGGGGGAAAGGCAGAAGAAAGAGTCCTTTTTGGGGTGCAGAGCAACTCTACCTTCCTTGAGTGCATCCCCAAATCTCAGCAGACCCGAATCCGCTGGTACAAACAGAGACCTGGATCTGAACGCAGAGAGGAGGTCAGTGAGTGCACTCATCGACACACAGCTCAACACACCTTTGTTTCTTAACTCAGTCTGAACCCTGATGATGTACCTTGTTTTTTCCTTGAGTTCACGGCCCCTGAGAGGTTACATTTTTACATAAGAAAGAAAAGGTCAGAAAACAGGGAAGTTAAGGATGCAAATACAGGTGTTTGCTTACTGTAACACTCACCTCTTACATAAGGACATCAAAGCATTCCAAATCTTCAGACTCCAACTTCACTTGGAGTCTGAGCCTTGAACCCACTGACAACTGTTGCTGCCACAAATCACATCACCGAAGGACTCGCTTATCTTGAAAAGTGTTTTGAGGTAAAGGAGCCTGTTTATAATGCTGCATACCAACATGTCATCCAGGGCCTGACTGGTTTATGTAAAAGTATTATATGAAGTTTATGTGTGTCCCTGGGTCTTTAAAATCTTCTGCAAATGGGGGAAATTACCGAAACCAGATTTTCCAGAAAGGACAGGGATAAGACATCGTAAACAGATCCTTGATTTTTCAACTGCTGCCTTTTTGCAGTTCTTGATATCGTCATTCCACTGAACTCAAGATGCACAAACAAACAATAACACAGGCCATTGACAAGTATTATAGTGTTTGACATTGGCTTCTTATCTTTGTTGGTTAAAATATAAATGACTAGTCATGTTTATTGTTTATTTATTCTTACTAATTCCTCTTTATTTTTGAATAATTGTAATTATCAAAGTGTTTTTATTATTTTTTTTATATTCAAACAATAAAAATCCACATCAAAACAAGACAGTAATCTTGTTTCAAAATATACATTTACAAATACAGGTCTAAACTACGGACAAAACAGTAACAAGACAGATTATACTCATACCAGAAATCAGCCATGGCATCTTGATTTTTTGTGACCTTGTAGATAACAAAAAGGGAAGGGAAACTGGTATCTCAGATGGTGAATTACTTGCAGTTTATTTTTTATTTCAGTGCAAGAATTTAAGTTTTTAGGAATGACTGTTGGTCATTAAAAATTCAGAGTAAGAAATGTGACAACCAACCCCGGTCTCCTCTACTTTTTGTTAAAAACTAATAAAAAAGGTTTTAGTTGAAAAGAAAGTTTCAGATTTCAGATTTATTGAGGTTATTGGCCCTTGAGATGCACCATCTCGTTTTCGAGGGGGGTCCCAGAGAATATTAGAGTACATAAACACATACTGCATAGATATATAGATACTTACATGCAGACATACACACATAGCTTGCTCAAAGTGATGGGTTAGTGAATTACAAAAAAAAAAAAGCCTCACAAAATTCTCCCTCTAAGATAATATCGATTTGACATTCTCAGTTTGAATATCTGTCAGCTGTGTAAAAGTAACACCAGATCTCATATATTTAATAAATTTTTTTAAGTTAATTGTCATTGATTGGCCACAAGCCACTGAACCCTGAGATCCTTGGAGACTGGGTGGGTGACACAAAAGGACACGCTGGGACAGGGAACTAATGGGTTTGTGTTTCAGGTGTTAAAAGAACTTATCGGTGATGACACTTGTCTCCTGAATGAGACAACAGAGACTTGCTTACTCAGCACCTCAACAAACCCCCTCCTCCCCCTGTCCAAACATAAAAAACTGCCCTCCTCCCATCACCCATCAGCCCTCTTTCTACTCTCTCTTTCTTCTTCTCAACTTCCCAAAACACTTATTTACGCCCACAACTGCTCCCCTGTCAACTCTCTCAGGGGTGAGTGTAAACACACTGACAGGTGCAGAGGTCACTAAGACCCATGTGTTCCTTTAAGGGGACATGCAGCAGTTTTCTTATGTGTGTGTGTGTTACAGCATGCTTATGTGCACGCTCCTTTATGATCTCCCACAGCAGAAATCATAACAGAGTGCTCCCTGGGGACAGCCATGTGTTTTGGGGTAATGAACACAATGGGGTGTTTGCAGTGTTTTTGTTTGAAGGCATGCAATGTTGTGTGACCTATTGTACCCCGGACAAAGTGATGAAGGAGTGAACGTAGGACTTCTGCTTTCCTCTTATGTGATAGAAACAGAGGGTAAAGAAATAAAACAAGGATTTTACCAAATTTAATGAGTAACAGCCATAAACACAAATGAATCACAACTTTATCCTGATTAAATTTGACTTTTTGACCTACTCAGCAGTGTCGTTCTGTCTCAATTCAAAGCTATAAAATAATCTTTTGTGGTGAAGGAATTTCTTGATATTTTCTGGAGCTTCACATTTAAAAGTTTGTTCAATTTGTTCCTTTTGTGCATATGATATGACAGCTCCCCCTTTTTCTCTGTCATTTATTTGTTAAAACTAGATTCTGATTTTGAAGCTTCTATGAAGTGCAAAAAGGGCATATAAGCTTTTGGGCAAAGACATCAAAGTTATGACGCTCAATGGTCAACCTTGTTTGGTGATAAGAGACCACAATTTTCACATTAATGACGTACAGTTGGAACCCTGGCATGATCTCAGTAAAGATGTGTCCCTCATGCACTGTTTGATGTGGTCTTTCCACCCATTTGATCAACGACAGAGATAAGTTTTACCGCAGTCATGTGAACTTCTGATATTGGTCAAGTGAGTTTGCTTGGTTTGATAGCAAGTGGCTGGATGAGGCCTTAAGGATTACATTTCATACAGAGGGATGCACCCAGATTTTTCAAAAATACTTGTGTTTATTAACATACCTGATTTGACATGGGATGTCTGTCAAATTTTTCTTCTGTTAACACGTCTTGAAGGTCTGTATAAGCCACAGGATAAGGTTGTAAGTTTTTGATGCACAAGGTAGAAAAATGGTTTAATAAATGTGACAGGAATGAAATCAGTTCTTTGTATCGTTCAGATTCATTAGAGTAAAAAAAATGACAAAGAGATGTTTTTGTTAAATATAGAAGAATCAGTCAGAATTGTAAAGCAGTGAGTCTAAAGCTTTATGAAGATTTCCGTCTCCCCTGTAGTGATGCAATAAATGCCTGTTAGTTCTCAATCTGTTGCCTCTTTCTCAAGTGGGTTTGTATCAAGCTCATGATTGATTGTTGTCTCAGCCGGACACTAGCCATGCTGCTCACAGTCAACACAAAGTGATGGAGGTCAACTGAATCACAACAAACTGGAGGTCAGCTTGGTCTGGTGATGGAGGCGATGAGTTGTGATGGGATTTTTCTCAGTGTCTCTGTATGACCCTTGTTGCTAGAAAGACATTGAAGGTGCTTTTCTGTAATGGATGCTGTTTGATTTTTTGAATTATTATTGTTGTTGGTAATTTTTTTATTCTGAAAAATACTTATTTAAAAACAAATTTAAAAAACTGATGTTAATATGTGTTAAAATTTAGTGACTAAGATTTCTGTCGATTTAGCGTTCTGGATTTGATAACGCAGGATTCCCCTTTTGCAAAATCAGGTGGTCCACCTTATCTCACAGCTGGACATGCGCTGATGTGTTAAGTGTCTAGCTCATATCAACCTCTCACCTCCTGTGCCCACTCTGCTTCCTCCTGTCTGTCATCCCCATTCCTCGCTTGTCCTTCGTCCACCCTCATTATCTCCACCTCCCTCTTTCCTCACCTAATTCCTACCTTCATGCTCCTCCATCAATCCACTTTGCCCCCTCATGCTTTTTCCTGTCGTCTCCACAGTTTCCCACACTCTCTATCCCCTCTTTACCTCTCTCCACACTTTCTGCCTCCTGATGGGTTTCGATCAAGGCACCCTCCACCAGCTGCTCGCAGCACCTGCAGTTCTCTACAACAAAACACTCATCGCACACATATCCCCTCCTCCTCCTCTTGTTCTCTTGTAGAAAGTCAGCTATTGCAGATGTGATGTGGGAGAGATTCCTCTGTCTTTCTCACAGCATGTTTGTGAGTGTGTTTGTCAGTGTGTCCATTTGGGTTTTCACCTCCCGGAGCGAGGAATTCTGGGATGTTCGAAAACTTGTAATAAGAAAAGAACGGATTGTGCTAAACTGCACCCATGGTGTCCATTAAAATCTAACACAGCCCTCTTTGGGAGATCCTTAACCTTATAATACTTTGTTTTAAAACCATTTGACCGTAAAAGGCTGTATTTCATTTAGTTGCTTCACATACAGGCACATTTGTGTACGCATACGAATATGCACTAAGTGTCCCTACAAACATACAACTCCTGGAAATATGATGTGAAATTCACATACAGAGAAACCCACAGGTACACAACTAAAGACAAGCCATCTGGGTGAGTTTATATGTGCTTGGCATTGCCTTTGTTTTGGAAAGCAAAAAAAGAGACAGCCTCAGCAGCACACAAATAACACAATAAAATGCTGGTTCAATTATTTAATTTTGCTTAGTGTCTCCCCAGATTTTACGATTTTAATGAAAATCTCATGTGTTTTGTCAGGTTAGTTAAGTGTGCCAGGAAATGAGAAACATGATAGGAGACAGACAAAAACTCCAAAGTGGACAAAGGTCGAGGTCCAAAGAGCCTGAGGCCTGTTGGTCTGCTTCTGGCTGGACAACACATCATCAGTGTCAGACCCAGAAACCACCACAGAACTACAGAGACCCACAACTATGTGCACACAAACACACAACAAATGCAGTTTTTTTTTTTTCTTTTAAATGAAACCACATAAACACACACACACACTGCTATTCATGCTTTTCTGCACAAAGTTAGGCTTGAACCTCCTCCTTTTTTATTTTGCACCTCTGGGGGGTCGGAGCCAGGCTGTGGGAGGTTTCCTTTTGAAGCGTCCTCACATGCACAGACACACGCTGGACACACATGCACACACGAGCAGGCTTTTCTTATGTCCTCTTAGCACAGCTGTGTTGTTTTAAGCTCTGACAGCAGCCACGCCACCTGATAAATCATGCTGAATGCTAAATGAAAAGAAGACACCGTAAATATTAGCACGCTACTCACACTTTTACGACAAGCGCATGCACGAACACACCTGAAACGTCCAATCTCTTGCCTGCGCTGACTAGCGACACTCATCATGCATTTAAAAGTCTCTCCTCACCACATCATGACTCTTCAGCCCCCACATTTCGGTGCACTCTCACCGCACCCACTACAATGTGTTTCCTGTTTCAGGGGTCATCGCTATGTTCAACTCACCCCGTATGAATGTGTGTAAACAGGGTGACACATACTGTGGTTTTCTGATTGTTCAGGGGTAAAAAAAAAAAAAACACAGGATTAAGCTTTGCAATAAAACCGTATATCCAAGAGAGTTGTGACTGTGGAAAATGTGATGAATAACAGAGGTTTTGATGGTTTTTGAATCATTTAAACTCTACACTCTACACATGTTGAAACTGATTCTTTAATTCGATGCCGTTTGAACATTTTTGGAACAGAGGAGAGCATTGTTTGGAATACTGAAAATGCAAAAGTTCTCCCATTCTTGTCTGATGTAGGAGTTGATCTTCTCAACAGTTTGGGGATTTCTTTGTTGATGCGTCACTGCAGGGAGGCCAGTTTAGTGTCCAAAGTTTTCTACTATGGATTCATGTATTAGAAATACATGCAGAATGTGGACTGTCTCCCCTAAAAAGGCATTGTCTGGATGGCAGCAGATGTTGTTCCAAATCTTATGTACTGCTTAGCATAAATTGACCTTCCCTGTGTACACTACTCATGCTATTGGCAGGTTTGCATCCACACGCCTTTGAGCTGTGAGCTGATGTCAAGCCAGGTATTCCTCCTTTTTAGAGAGGAAGAAATGGCATCTGTTATTTCCAAAAATGGATGTCAAATTTTGACCCATTATATCTTGACTGTTGTGCATCTTAAAGGGGCTTGGGCCCATAGAGGTTACTAGCCCTTCTGGACCATGTCTGTGAAAGGTTTTCTCTTTGTATGGTATGCTTTTAAGCTGCATATGTGAGCTGTGTTCATTGGCAATGGTATTTGGAATTGATCTTAAGCACATGCAGTGATTACCACTACAGAGTCGTGCCGTAATATGTAAATGTAAATGTAAGTGTTTTTTATTTATACAGCCCTTTACAACAGCACTTTTGGTGAACCAAAGTGCTTTATAAAAGAAAAGAAAAATGAATAAATCAAAACAATAAAAAGCAATGAATAAATAAGTATTCTATCTATCTATCTATCTATCTATCTATACACACATTTGACTTGTTGTCTTTGCATTCTCTTTGTTTAAATGTAGGGTTTAGATCGTTTAAAAACCATCATATTAATGCTTTTGAATCTTTATCTGACCATTTGATTTTCTTTGTATCATGTGCAAGCTCTTTTGGTGAACACACTTGAAGACATTTGTAATGAAACTGCTTGTATTTGTCTCCCAGGTCCGGTTGGATGATCGTGTCGTACACACTGACCGCGGACTCCTCATCCGCTCCCTTCACGCCTCCGATGCTGGTGTCTATGTTTGCGTGGCTCAAGAACACTCACACTTCACACACACTCTCCTTCGTCTCACTCTGCAACTGGTTTCACACGGACACCAGGATGAGAAGCCTAAACCCAGTGTAGACCCTGCGATGGAGCTGCGTCATGGAGCCGAGTCCCGGCAGCGTTACAAAGACTACTTGCGAGTGATGAGCGCTCCCTTCGGCTCTCTGGAGGAGTACTGTGATTCTCTGTGGCTGGAGAAGAGGCCGTCGAGAGCCCGAGGAAAAGGCCTGGGAGCGGGCAAGTGGAAACATATTCAGGAAATGAAGAAGAACAGGAACAGGAGACACCATGGGGAGAAGAGGGTCAAGTGGGAGAAACCAGGGAGGGTGGTGAGGACAGCAGAGCAGTGAGTGCAGCATTGAGGGTCTAAATCTCAGTATTTCTGGATGCAGAACTGCAAAATTGCAACGACAAATCAACACGTGAGTGAGCTGAGGTGAATGGGGTAAAACAGAGTGATGCTGAAATATTAAAACTTCAAAGTGAGGTATTTTTTGACCAGAAATTGTGGACCATTCTGCTCTCTGTTTGTATAATTCAAATTTTAATGTGTAAAACCATTGACATTTGACTTACGTACAGTGCTACTGAAGTTATGCCGATCAAATGAAGGACTGCAACATGACTGCTTTTTCCTACAGCCTTAGGTTGCACAGCTTTCCACCCCACAGAACACAGTGACGGTTACAATTGATATTAAAGTAAGCAGATAAAATGACGACATTTGGGCTTGAGCTTTTGCTTGTGGAGATGAAACTGCATTCAAGCTGAATTACTGTAAATATTTTTATAACGTGTACAGGAGATACAGCATGCTCAACATAGTCTTATTACTGATCTGTATAACTTTAATGATAACCATGTATAATGTTTGGACTAACAAAACAGCATATTTTTGTACAAATGTTTCACTTTTCCTATGTACTGGAAGTTTATTAGGTGTTTCATTTTGAAAAGTTGTGTAAATAAATCGGTCTTGGTGCCACCCTTTTCCCTGAATTGCATCCTTACCTTCTGTGAAGTAGGTGGGTGCATATATGAAAAAAAAAAAAAAAAAACATCTAACCCTAAAAAACTCTGACAAAAGGTTTCTCAGCTGTTTTTACAGTATTAGGTGTCCTTAAGGTTGGAGCTAGGGTTAGGGTTAGGTGTGGGGTTGGAGCTAGGGTTAGGGTTAGGGTTAGGGTTGGAGTTAGGGTTAGTGTTGGAGCTAGGGTTAGGGTTGGGCTTGGAGCTAGGATTTTTCTGAGTGCAATGAACCAACTCCCGAGTCTCTAGGACGTTCCTAAAAAAATTTGATTTTTTCCCATAGGAATGCATGGGTTAGGGTTAGGGTTAGGGTTGGAGCTAGGGTTAGGGTTAGGGTTGGAGTTAGGGTTAGTGTTGGAGCTAGGGTTAGGGTTGGGCTTGGAGCTAGGATTTTTCTGAGTGCAATGAACCAACTCCCGAGTCTCTAGGACGTTCCTAAAAAAAATTGATTTTTTCCCATAGGAATGCATGGGTTAGGGTTAGGGTTAGGGTTAGGGTTGGAGCTAGGGTTAGGGTTAGGGTTAGGGTTGGAGTTAGGGTTAGTGTTGGAGCTAGGGTTAGGGTTGAGCTTGGAGCTAGGATTTTTCTGAGTGCAATGAACCAACTCTTGAGTCTCTAGGACGTTCCTAAAAAAATTTGATTTTTTCCCATAGGAATGCATGGGTTAGGGTTAGGGTTAGGGTTGGAGCTAGGGTTAGGGTTAGGGTTAGGGTTGGAGTTAGGGTTAGTGTTGGAGCTAGGGTTAGGGTTGGGCTTGGAGCTAGGATTTTTCTGAGTGCAATGAACCAACTCCCGAGTCTCTAGGACGTTCCTAAAAAAATTTGATTTTTTCCCATAGGAATGCATGGGTTAGGGTTAGGGTTAGGGTTAGGGTTGGAGCTAGGGTTAGGGTTGGAGTTAGGGTTAGTGTTGGAGCTAGGGTTAGGGTTGGGCTTGGAGCTAGGATTTTTCTGAGTGCAATGAACCAACTCCCGAGTCTCTAGGACGTTCCTAAAAAAATTTGATTTTTTCCCATAGGAATGCATGGGTTAGGGTTAGGGTTAGGGTTGGAGCTAGGGTTAGGGTTAGGGTTAGGGTTGGAGTTAGGGTTAGTGTTGGAGCTAGGGTTAGGGTTGGGCTTGGAGCTAGGATTTTTCTGAGTGCAATGAACCAACTCCCGAGTCTCTAGGACGTTCCTAAAAAAAATTGATTTTTTCCCATAGGAATGCATGGGTTAGGGTTAGGGTTAGGGTTGGAGCTAGGGTTAGGGCTAGGGTTAGTGTTGGAGCTAGGGTTAGGGTTGGGCTTGGAGCTAGGATTTTTCTGAGTGCAATGAACCAACTCCCGAGTCTCTAGGACGTTCCTAAAAAAAATTGATTTTTTCCCATAGGAATGCATGGGTTAGGGTTAGGGTTAGGGTTGGAGCTAGGGTTAGGGCTAGGGTTAGTGTTGGAGCTAGGGTTAGGGTTGGGCTTGGAGCTAGGATTTTTCTGAGTGCAATGAACCAACTCCCGAGTCTCTAGGACGTTCCTAAAAAAATTTGATTTTTTCCCATAGGAATGCATGGGTTAGGGTTAGGGTTGGAGCTAGGGTTAGGGTTAGGGTTAGGGTTGGAGTTAGGGTTAGTGTTGGAGCTAGGGTTAGGGTTGGGCTTGGAGCTAGGATTTTTCTGAGTGCAATGAACCAACTCCCGAGTCTCTAGGACGTTCCTAAAAAAATTTGATTTTTTCCCATAGGAATGCATGGGTTAGGGTTAGGGTTAGGGTTGGAGCTAGGGTTAGGGCTAGGGTTAGGGTTGGAGCTAGGGTTAGGGTTGGGCTTGGAGCTAGGATTTTTCTGAGTGCAATGAACCAACTCCCGAGTCTCTAGGACGTTCCTAAAAAAAATTGATTTTTTCCCATAGGAATGCATGGGTTAGGGTTAGGGTTAGGGTTGGAGCTAGGGTTAGGGTTAGGGTTAGGGTTGGAGTTAGGGTTAGTGTTGGAGCTAGGGTTAGGGTTGGGCTTGGAGCTAGGATTTTTCTGAGTGCAATGAACCAACTCCCGAGTCTCTAGGACGTTCCTAAAAAAATTTGATTTTTTCCCATAGGAATGCATGGGTTAGGGTTAGGGTTAGGGTTGGAGCTAGGGTTAGGGTTAGGGTTAGGGTTGGAGTTAGGGTTAGTGTTGGAGCTAGGGTTAGGGTTGGGCTTGGAGCTAGGATTTTTCTGAGTGCAATGAACCAACTCCCGAGTCTCTAGGACGTTCCTAAAAAAATTTGATTTTTTCCCATAGGAATGCATGGGTTAGGGTTAGGGTTAGGGTTAGGGTTGGAGCTAGGGTTAGGGTTAGGGTTAGGGTTGGAGTTAGGGTTAGTGTTGGAGCTAGGGTTAGGGTTGGGCTTGGAGCTAGGATTTTTCTGAGTGCAATGAACCAACTCCCGAGTCTCTAGGACGTTCCTAAAAAAATTTGATTTTTTCCCATAGGAATGCATGGGTTAGGGTTAGGGTTAGGGTTGGAGCTAGGGTTAGGGTTAGGGTTAGGGTTGGAGTTAGGGTTAGTGTTGGAGCTAGGGTTAGGGTTGGGCTTGGAGCTAGGATTTTTCTGAGTGCAATGAACCAACTCCCGAGTCTCTAGGACGTTCCTAAAAAAATTTGATTTTTTCCCATAGGAATGCATGGGTTAGGGTTAGGGTTAGGGTTGGAGCTAGGGTTAGGGTTAGGGTTAGGGTTGGAGTTAGGGTTAGTGTTGGAGCTAGGGTTAGGGTTGGGCTTGGAGCTAGGATTTTTCTGAGTGGAATGAACCAACTCCCGAGTCTCTAGGACGTTCCTAAAAAAATTTGATTTTTTCCCATAGGAATGCATGGGTTAGGGTTAGGGTTAGGGTTGGAGCTAGGGTTAGGGTTAGGGTTAGGGTTGGAGTTAGGGTTAGTGTTGGAGCTAGGGTTAGGGTTGGGCTTGGAGCTAGGATTTTTCTGAGTGCACTGAACCAACTCCCGAGTCTCTAGGACATTCCTAAAAAAATTTGATTTTTTCCCATAGGAATGCATGGGTTAGGGTTATGGTTAGGGTTAGGGTTGGAGCTAGGGTTAGGGTTAGGGTTAGGGTTGGAGTTAGGGTTAGTGTTGGAGCTAGGGTTAGGGTTGGGCTTGGAGCTAGGATTTTTCTGAGTGCACTGAACCAACTCCCGAGTCTCTAGGACATTCCTAAAAAAATTTGATTTTTTCCCATAGGAATGCATGGGTTAGGGTTAGGGTTAGGGTTGGAGCTAGGGTTAGGGTTAGGGTTAGGGTTGGAGTTAGGGTTAGTGTTGGAGCTAGGGTTAGGGTTGGGCTTGGAGCTAGGATTTTTCTGAGTGCACTGAACCAACTCCCGAGTCTCTAGGACATTCCTAAAAAAATTTGATTTTTTCCCATAGGAATGCATGGGTTAGGGTTATGGTTAGGGTTAGGGTTGGAGCTAGGGTTAGGGTTAGGGTTAGGGTTGGAGTTAGGGTTAGTGTTGGAGCTAGGGTTAGGGTTGGGCTTGGAGCTAGGACTTTTCTGAGTGCAATGAACCAACTCCCGAGTCTCTAGGACGTTCCCTAAAAAAAATTGATTTTTTCCCATAGGAATGCATGGGTTAGGGTTAGGGTTAGGGTTGGGGCTAGGGTTAGGGTTAGGGTTAGGGTTGGAGTTAGGGTTAGTGTTGGAGCTAGGGTTAGGGTTGGGCTTGGAGCTAGGATTTTTCTGAGTGCACTGAACCAACTCCCGAGTCTCTAGGACATTCCTAAAAAAAATTGATTTTTTCCCATAGGAATGCATGGGTTAGGGTTATGGTTAGGGTTAGGGTTGGAGCTAGGGTTAGGGTTAGGGTTAGGGTTGGAGTTAGGGTTAGTGTTGGAGCTAGGGTTAGGGTTGGGCTTGGAGCTAGGATTTTTCTGAGTGCACTGAACCAACTCCTGAGTCTCTAGGACATTCCTAAAAAAATTTGATTTTTTCCCATAGGAATGCATGGGTTAGGGTTATGGTTAGGGTGAGGGTTGGAGCTAGGGTTAGGGTTAGGGTTAGGGTTGGAGTTAGGGTTAGTGTTGGAGCTAGGGTTAGGGTTGGGCTTGGAGCTAGGATTTTTCTGAGTGCACTGAACCAACTCCCGAGTCTCTAGGACATTCCTAAAAAATTTGATTTTTTCCCATAGGAATGCATGGGTTAGGGTTAGGGTTAGGGTTGGAGCTAGGGTTAGGGTTAGGGTTAGGGTTGGAGTTAGGGTTAGTGTTGGAGCTAGGGTTAGGGTTGGGCTTGGAGCTAGGATTTTTCTGAGTGCACTGAACCAACTCCCGAGTCTCTAGGACATTCCTAAAAAAATTTGATTTTTTTCCCATAGGAATGCATGGGTTAGGGTTATGGTTAGGGTTAGGGTTGGAGCTAGGGTTAGGGTTAGGGTTGGAGTTAGGGTTAGTGTTGGAGCTAGGGTTAGGGTTGGGCTTGGAGCTAGGATTTTTCTGAGTGCAATGAACCAACTCCCGAGTCTCTTGGACGTTCCTAAAAAAATTTGATTTTTTCCCATAGGAATGCATGGTTTAGGGTTAGGGTTAGGGTTGGAGCTAGGGTTAGGGTTAGGGTTAGGGTTGGAGTTAGGGTTAGTGTTGGAGCTCGGGTTAGGGTTGGGCTTGGAGCTAGGATTTTTCTGAGTGGAATGAACCAACTCCCGAGTCTCTAGGACGTTCCTAAAAAAATTTGATTTTTTCCCATAGGAATGCATGGGTTAGGGTTAGGGTTAGGGTTGGAGCTAGGGTTAGGGTTAGGGTTAGGGTTGGAGTTAGGGTTAGTGTTGGAGCTAGGGTTAGGGTTGGGCTTGGAGCTAGGACTTTTCTGAGTGCAATGAACCAACTCCCGAGTCTCTAGGACGTTCCCTAAAAAAAATTGATTTTTTCCCATAGGAATGCATGGGTTAGGGTTAGGGTTAGGGTTGGAGCTAGGGTTAGGGTTAGGGTTAGGGTTGGAGTTAGGGTTAGTGTTGGAGCTAGGGTTAGGGTTGGGCTTGGAGCTAGGATTTTTCTGAGTGCACTGAACCAACTCCCGAGTCTCTAGGACATTCCTAAAAAAATTTGATTTTTCCCATAGGAATGCATGGGTTAGGGTTATGGTTAGGGTTAGGGTTGGAGCTAGGGTTAGGGTTAGGGTTAGGGTTGGAGTTAGGGTTAGTGTTGGAGCTAGGGTTAGGGTTGGGCTTGGAGCTAGGATTTTTCTGAGTGCACTGAACCAACTCCCGAGTCTCTAGGACATTCCTAAAAAAATTTGATTTTTTCCCATAGGAATGCATGGGTTAGGGTTATGGTTAGGGTTAGGGTTGGAGCTAGGGTTAGGGTTAGGGTTAGGGTTGGAGTTAGGGTTAGTGTTGGAGCTAGGGTTAGGGTTGGGCTTGGAGCTAGGATTTTTCTGAGTGCACTGAACCAACTCCCGAGTCTCTAGGACGTTCCTAAAAAAATTTGATTTTTTCCCATAGGAATGCATGGGTTAGGGTTAGGGTTAGGGTTGGAGCTAGGGTTAGGGTTAGGGTTAGGGTTAGGGTTGGAGTTAGGGTTAGTGTTGGAGCTAGGGTTAGGGTTGGGCTTGGAGCTAGGATTTTTCTGAGTGCACTGAACCAACTCCCGAGTCTCTAGGACATTCCTAAAAAAATTTGATTTTTTCCCATAGGAATGCATGGGTTAGGGTTATGGTTAGGGTTAGGGTTGGAGCTAGGGTTAGGGTTAGGGTTAGGGTTGGAGTTAGGGTTAGTGTTGGAGCTAGGGTTAGGGTTGGGCTTGGAGCTAGGATTTTTCTGAGTGCACTGAACCAACTCCCGAGTCTCTAGGACATTCCTAAAAAAATTTGATTTTTTCCCATAGGAATGCATGGGTTAGGGTTAGGGTTAGGGTTGGAGCTAGGGTTAGGGTTAAGGTTAGGGTTGGAGTTAGGGTTAGTGTTGGAGCTAGGGTTAGGGTTGGGCTTGGAGCTAGGATTTTTCTGAGTGCACTGAACCAACTCCCGAGTCTCTAGGACATTCCTAAAAAAATTTGATTTTTTCCCATAGGAATGCATGGGTTAGGGTTATGGTTAGGGTTAGGGTTGGAGCTAGGGTTAGGGTTAGGGTTAGGGTTGGAGTTAGGGTTAGTGTTGGAGCTAGGGTTAGGGTTGGGCTTGGAGCTAGGACTTTTCTGAGTGCAATGAACCAACTCCCGAGTCTCTAGGACGTTCCCTAAAAAAATTTGATTTTTTCCCATAGGAATGCATGGGTTAGGGTTAGGGTTAGGGTTGGAGCTAGGGTTAGGGTTAGGGTTAGGGTTGGAGTTAGGGTTAGTGTTGGAGCTAGGGTTAGGGTTGGGCTTGGAGCTAGGATTTTTCTGAGTGCACTGAACCAACTCCCGAGTCTCTAGGACATTCCTAAAAAAATTTGATTTTTCCCATAGGAATGCATGGGTTAGGGTTATGGTTAGGGTTAGGGTTGGAGCTAGGGTTAGGGTTAGGGTTAGGGTTGGAGTTAGGGTTAGTGTTGGAGCTAGGGTTAGGGTTGGGCTTGGAGCTAGGATTTTTCTGAGTGCACTGAACCAACTCCCGAGTCTCTAGGACATTCCTAAAAAAATTTGATTTTTTCCCATAGGAATGCATGGGTTAGGGTTATGGTTAGGGTTAGGGTTGGAGCTAGGGTTAGGGTTAGGGTTAGGGTTGGAGTTAGGGTTAGTGTTGGAGCTAGGGTTAGGGTTGGGCTTGGAGCTAGGATTTTTCTGAGTACAATGAACCAACTCCCGAGTCTCTTGGACGTTCCTAAAAAAATTAGATTTTTTCCCATAGGAATGCATGGGTTAGGGTTATGGTTAGGGTTGGAGCTAGGGTTAGGGTTAGGGTTAGGGTTGGAGTTAGGGTTAGTGTTGGAGCTAGGGTTAGGGTTGGGCTTGGAGCTAGGATTTTTCTGAGTGCAATGAACCAACTCCCGAGTCTCTAGGACGTTCCTAAAAAAATTTGATTTTTTCCCATAGGAATGCATGGGTTAGGGTTAGGGTTAGGGTTGGAGCTAGGGTTAGGGTTAGGGTTAGGGTTGGAGTTAGGGTTAGTGTTGGAGCTAGGGTTAGGGTTGGGCTTGGAGCTAGGATTTTTCTGAGTGCACTGAACCAACTCCCGAGTCTCTAGGACATTCCTAAAAAAATTTGATTTTTTCCCATAGGAATGCATGGGTTAGGGTTATGGTTAGGGTTAGGGTTGGAGCTAGGGTTAGGGTTAGGGTTAGGGTTGGAGTTAGGGTTAGTGTTGGAGCTAGGGTTAGGGTTGGGCTTGGAGCTAGGATTTTTCTGAGTGCACTGAACCAACTCCCGAGTCTCTAGGACATTCCTAAAAAAAAATAATTTTTTTCCCATAGGAATGCATGGGTTAGGGTTATGGTTTGGGTTAGGGTTGGAGCTAGGGTTAGGGTTAGGGTTAGGGTTGGAGTTAGGGTTAGTGTTGGAGCTAGGGTTAGGGTTGGGCTTGGAGCTAGGATTTTTCTGAGTGCAATGAACCAACTCCCGAGTCTCTTGGACGTTCCTAAAAAAATTTGATTTTTTCCCATAGGAATGCATGGGTTAGGGTTAGGGTTAGGGTTGGAGCTAGGGTTAGGGTTAGGGTTAGGGTTGGAGTTAGGGTTAGTGTTGGAGCTAGGGTTAGGGTTGGGCTTGGAGCTAGGATTTTTCTGAGTGCAATGAACCAACTCCCGAGTCTCTAGGACGTTCCTAAAAAAATTTGATTTTTTCCCATAGGAATGCATGGGTTAGGGTTAGGGTTAGGGTTGGAGCTAGGGTTAGGGTTAGGGTTAGGGTTGGAGTTAGGGTTAGTGTTGGAGCTAGGGTTAGGGTTGGGCTTGGAGCTAGGATTTTTCTGAGTGCACTGAACCAACTCCCGAGTCTCTAGGACATTCCTAAAAAAATTGATTTTTTCCCATAGGAATGCATGGGTTAGGGTTATGGTTAGGGTTAGGGTTGGAGCTAGGGTTAGGGTTAGGGTTAGGGTTGGAGTTAGGGTTAGTGTTGGAGCTAGGGTTAGGGTTGGGCTTGGAGCTAGGACTTTTCTGAGTGCAATGAACCAACTCCCGAGTCTCTAGGACGTTCCCTAAAAAAAATTGATTTTTTCCCATAGGAATGCATGGGTTAGGGTTAGGGTTAGGGTTGGAGCTAGGGTTAGGGTTAGGGTTAGGGTTGGAGTTAGGGTTAGTGTTGGAGCTAGGGTTAGGGTTGGGCTTGGAGCTAGGATTTTTCTGAGTGCACTGAACCAACTCCTGAGTCTCTAGGACATTCCTAAAAAAATTTGATTTTTCCCATAGGAATGCATGGGTTAGGGTTATGGTTAGGGTTAGGGTTGGAGCTAGGGTTAGGGTTAGGGTTAGGGTTGGAGTTAGGGTTAGTGTTGGAGCTAGGGTTAGGGTTGGGCTTGGAGCTAGGATTTTTCTGAGTGCACTGAACCAACTCCCGAGTCTCTAGGACATTCCTAAAAAAATTTGATTTTTTCCCATAGGAATGCATGGGTTAGGGTTAGGGTTAGGGTTAGGGTTGGAGCTAGGGTTAGGGTTAGGGTTAGGGTTGGAGTTAGGGTTAGTGTTGGAGCTAGGGTTAGGGTTGGGCTTGGAGCTAGCATTTTTCTGAGTGCACTGAACCAACTCCCGAGTCTCTAGGACATTCCTAAAAAAATTGATTTTTTCCCATAGGAATGCATGGGTTAGGGTTATGGTTAGGGTTAGGGTTGGAGCTAGGGTTAGGGTTAGGGTTAGGGTTAGGGTTGGAGTTAGGGTTAGTGTTGGAGCTAGGGTTAGGGTTGGGCTTGGAGCTAGCATTTTTCTGAGTGCACTGAACCAACTCCCGAGTCTCTAGGACATTCCTAAAAAAATTTGATTTTTTTCCCATAGGAATGCATGGGTTAGGGTTAGGGTTAGGGTTGGAGCTAGGGTTAGGGTTAGGGTTAGGGTTGGAGTTAGGGTTAGTGTTGGAGCTAGGGTTAGGGTTGGGCTTGGAGCTAGGATTTTTCTGAGTGCACTGAACCAACTCCCGAGTCTCTAGGACATTCCTAAAAAAATTTGATTTTTTCCCATAGGAATGCATGGGTTAGGGTTAGGGTTGGAGCTAGGGTTAGGGTTAGGGTTAGGGTTGGAGTTAGGGTTAGTGTTGGAGCTAGGGTTAGGGTTGGGCTTGGAGCTAGGATTTTTCTGAGTGCACTGAACCAACTCCCGAGTCTCTAGGACATTCCTAAAAAAATTTGATTTTTTCCCATAGGAATGCATGGGTTAGGGTTATGGTTAGGGTTAGGGTTGGAGCTAGGGTTAGGGTTAGGGTTAGGGTTGGAGTTAGGGTTAGTGTTGGAGCTGGGGTTAGGGTTGGGCTTGGAGCTAGGACTTTTCTGAGTGCAATGAACCAACTCCCGAGTCTCTAGGACGTTCCCTAAAAAAAATTGATTTTTTCCCATAGGAATGCATGGGTTAGGGTTAGGGTTAGGGTTGGAGCTAGGGTTAGGGTTAGGGTTAGGGTTGGAGTTAGGGTTAGTGTTGGAGCTAGGGTTAGGGTTGGGCTTGGAGCTAGGATTTTTCTGAGTGCACTGAACCAACTCCCGAGTCTCTAGGACATTCCTAAAAAAATTTGATTTTTTCCCATAGGAATGCATGGGTTAGGGTTATGGTTAGGGTTAGGGTTGGAGCTAGGGTTAGGGTTAGGGTTAGGGTTGGAGTAAGGGTTAGTGTTGGAGCTAGGGTTAGGGTTGGGCTTGGAGCTAGGATTTTTCTGAGTGCACTGAACCAACTCCCGAGTCTCTAGGACATTCCTAAAAAAATTTGATTTTTTCCCATAGGAATGCATGGGTTAGGGTTATGGTTAGGGTTAGGGTTGGAGCTAGGGTTAGGGTTAGGGTTAGGGTTGGAGTTAGGGTTAGTGTTGGAGCTAGGGTTAGGGTTGGGCTTGGAGCTAGCATTTTTCTGAGTGCACTGAACCAACTCCCGAGTCTCTAGGACGTTCCTAAAAAAATTTGATTTTTTCCCATAGGAATGCATGGGTTAGGGTTATGGTTAGGGTTAGGGTTGGAGCTAGGGTTAGGGTTAGGGTTAGGGTTAGGGTTGGAGTTAGGGTTAGTGTTGGAGCTAGGGTTAGGGTTGGGCTTGGAGCTAGGATTTTTCTGAGTGCACTGAACCAACTCCCGAGTCTCTAGGACATTCCCTAAAAAAATTTGATTTTTTTCCCATAGGAATGCATGGGTTAGGGTTATGGTTAGGGTTAGGGTTGGAGCTAGGGTTAGGGTTAGGGTTAGGGTTGGAGTTAGGGTTAGTGTTGGAGCTAGGGTTAGGGTTGGGCTTGGAGCTAGGACTTTTCTGAGTGCAATGAACCAACTCCCGAGTCTCTAGGACGTTCCCTAAAAAAATTTGATTTTTTCCCATAGGAATGCATGGGTTAGGGTTAGGGTTAGGGTTGGAGCTAGGGTTAGGGTTAGGGTTAGGGTTGGAGTTAGGGTTAGTGTTGGAGCTAGGGTTAGGGTTGGGCTTGGAGCTAGGATTTTTCTGAGTGCACTGAACCAACTCCCGAGTCTCTAGGACATTCCTAAAAAAAATTGATTTTTTTCCCATAGGAATGCATGGGTTAGGGTTATGGTTTGGGTTAGGGTTGGAGCTAGGGTTAGGGTTAGGGTTAGGGTTGGAGTTAGGGTTAGTGTTGGAGCTAGGGTTAGGGTTGGGCTTGGAGCTAGGATTTTTCTGAGTGCAATGAACCAACTCCCGAGTCTCTAGGACGTTCCTAAAAAAATTTGATTTTTTCCCATAGGAATGCATGGGTTAGGGTTAGGGTTAGGGTTGGAGCTAGGGTTAGGGTTAGGGTTAGGGTTGGAGTTAGGGTTAGTGTTGGAGCTAGGGTTAGGGTTGGGCTTGGAGCTAGGATTTTTCTGAGTGCACTGAACCAACTCCCGAGTCTCTAGGACATTCCTAAAAAAATTGATTTTTTCCCATAGGAATGCATGGTTTAGGGTTTTGGTTAGGGTTAGGGTTGGAGCTAGGGTTAGGGTTAGGGTTAGGGTTGGAGTTAGGGTTAGTGTTGGAGCTAGGGTTAGGGTTGGGCTTGGAGCTAGGACTTTTCTGAGTGCAATGAACCAACTCCCGAGTCTCTAGGACGTTCCCTAAAAAAATTTGATTTTTTCCCATAGGAATGCATGGGTTAGGGTTAGGGTTAGGGTTGGAGCTAGGGTTAGGGTTAGGGTTAGGGTTGGAGTTAGGGTTAGTGTTGGAGCTAGGGTTAGGGTTGGGCTTGGAGCTAGGATTTTTCTGAGTGCACTGAACCAACTCCTGAGTCTCTAGGACATTCCTAAAAAAATTTGATTTTTTCCCATAGGAATGCATGGGTTAGGGTTATGGTTAGGGTTAGGGTTGGAGCTAGGGTTAGGGTTAGGGTTAGGGTTGGAGTTAGGGTTAGTGTTGGAGCTAGGGTTAGGGTTGGGCTTGGAGCTAGGATTTTTCTGAGTGCACTGAACCAACTCCCGAGTCTCTAGGACATTCCTAAAAAAATTTGATTTTTTTCCCATAGGAATGCATGGGTTAGGGTTATGGTTAGGGTTAGGGTTGGAGCTAGGGTTAGGGTTAGGGTTAGGGTTGGAGTTAGGGTTAGTGTTGGAGCTAGGGTTAGGGTTGGGCTTGGAGCTAGCATTTTTCTGAGTGCACTGAACCAACTCCCGAGTCTCTAGGACATTCCTAAAAAAATTTGATTTTTTCCCATAGGAATGCATGGGTTAGGGTTATGGTTAGGGTTAGGGTTGGAGCTAGGGTTAGGGTTAGGGTTAGGGTTAGGGTTGGAGTTAGGGTTAGTGTTGGAGCTAGGGTTAGGGTTGGGCTTGGAGCTAGCATTATTCTGAGTGCACTGAACCAACTCCCGAGTCTCTAGGACATTCCTAAAAAAATTTGATTTTTTCCCATAGGAATGCATGGGTTAGGGTTATGGTTAGGGTTAGGGTTGGAGCTAGGGTTAGGGTTAGGGTTAGGGTTGGAGTTAGGGTTAGTGTTGGAGCTAGGGTTAGGGTTGGGCTTGGAGCTAGGATTTTTCTGAGTGCACTGAACCAACTCCCGAGTCTCTAGGACATTCCTAAAAAAATTTGATTTTTTCCCATAGGAATGCATGGGTTAGGGTTAGGGTTGGGGTTGGAGCTAGGGTTAGGGTTAGGGTTAGGGTTGGAGTTAGGGTTAGTGTTGGAGCTAGGGTTAGGGTTGGGCTTGGAGCTAGGATTTTTCTGAGTGCAATGAACCAACTCCCGAGTCTCTTGGACGTTCCTAAAAAAATTTGATTTTTTCCCATAGGAATGCATGGGTTAGGGTTAGGGTTAGGGTTGGAGCTAGGGTTAGGGTTAGGGTTAGGGTTGGAGTTAGGGTTAGTGTTGGAGCTAGGGTTAGGGTTGGGCTTGGAGCTAGGATTTTTCTGAGTGCAATGAACCAACTCCCGAGTCTCTAGGACGTTCCCTAAAAAAATTTGATTTTTTCCCATAGGAATGCATGGGTTAGGGTTAGGGTTAGGGTTGGAGCTAGGGTTAGGGTTAGGGTTAGGGTTGGAGTTAGGGTTAGTGTTGGAGCTAGGGTTAGGGTTGGGGTTAGGGTTGGAGTTAGGGTTAGTGTTGGAGCTAGGGTTAGGGTTGGGCTTGGAGCTAGGACTTTTCTGAGTGCAATGAACCAACTCCCGAGTCTCTTGGACGTTCCTAAAAAAATTTGATTTTTTCCCATAGGAATGCATAGGGTTAGGGTTAGGGTTAGGGTTGGAGCTAGGGTTAGGGTTAGGGTTAGGGTTGGAGTTAGGGTTAGTGTTGGAGCTAGGGTTAGGGTTGGGCTTGGAGCTAGGATTTTTCTGAGTGCAATGAACCAACTCCCGAGTCTCTAGGACTTTCCTAAAAAAATTTGATTTTTTCCCATAGGAATGCATGGGTTAGGGTTAGGGTTAGGGTTGGAGCTAGGGTTAGGGCTAGGGTTAGGGTTGGAGTTAGGGTTAGTGTTGGAGCTAGGGTTAGGGTTGGGCTTGGAGCTAGGACTTTTCTGAGTGCAATGAACCAACTCCCGAGTCTCTAGGACGTTCCCTAAAAAAATTTGATTTTTTCCCATAGGAATGCATGGGTTAGGGTTAGGGTTAGGGTTGGAGCTAGGGTTAGGGTTAGGGTTAGGGTTGGAGTTAGGGTTAGTGTTGGAGCTAGGGTTAGGGTTGGGCTTGGAGCTAGGATTTTTCTGAGTGCACTGAACCAACTCCCGAGTCTCTAGGACATTCCTAAAAAAATTTGATTTTTTCCCATAGGAATGCATGGGTTAGGGTTATGGTTAGGGTTAGGGTTGGAGCTAGGGTTAGGGTTAGGGTTAGGGTTGGAGTTAGGGTTAGTGTTGGAGCTAGGGTTAGGGTTGGGCTTGGAGCTAGGATTTTTCTGAGTGCACTGAACCAACTCCCGAGTCTCTAGGACATTCCTAAAAAAATTGATTTTTTTCCCATAGGAATGCATGGGTTAGGGTTATGGTTAGGGTTAGGGTTGGAGCTAGGGTTAGGGTTAGGGTTAGGGTTGGAGTTAGGGTTAGTGTTGGAGCTAGGGTTAGGGTTGGGCTTGGAGCTAGGATTTTTCTGAGTGCAATGAACCAACTCCCGAGTCTCTTGGACGTCCTAAAAAAATTTGATTTTTTCCCATAGGAATGCATGGGTTAGGGTTAGGGTTAGGGTTGGAGCTAGGGTTAGGGTTAGGGTTAGGGTTGGAGTTAGGGTTAGTGTTGGAGCTAGGGTTAGGGTTGGGCTTGGAGCTAGGATTTTTCTGAGTGCAATGAACCAACTCCCGAGTCTCTAGGACGTTCCTAAAAAAATTTGATTTTTTCCCATAGGAATGCATGGGTTAGGGTTAGGGTTAGGGTTGGAGCTAGGGTTAGGGTTAGGGTTAGGGTTGGAGTTAGGGTTAGTGTTGGAGCTAGGGTTAGGGTTGGGCTTGGAGCTAGGACTTTTCTGAGTGCAATGAACCAACTCCCGAGTCTCTAGGACGTTCCCTAAAAAAATTTGATTTTTTCCCATAGGAATGCATGGGTTAGGGTTAGGGTTAGGGTTGGAGCTAGGGTTAGGGTTAGGGTTAGGGTTGGAGTTAGGGTTAGTGTTGGAGCTAGGGTTAGGGTTGGGCTTGGAGCTAGGATTTTTCTGAGTGCAATGAACCAACTCCCGAGTCTCTAGGACGTTCCTAAAAAAATTTGATTTTTTCCCATAGGAATGCATGGGTTAGGGTTAGGGTTAGGGTTGGAGCTAGGGTTAGGGTTAGGGTTAGGGTTGGAGTTAGGGTTAGTGTTGGAGCTAGGGTTAGTGTTGGGCTTGGAGCTAGGACTTTTCTGAGTGCAATGAACCAACTCCCGAGTCTCTAGGACGTTCCTAAAAAAATTTGATTTTTTCCCATAGGAATGCATGGGTTAGGGTTAGGGTTAGGGTTGGAGCTAGGGTTAGGGTTAGGGTTAGGGTTGGAGTTAGGGTTAGTGTTGGAGCTAGGGTTAGGGTTGGGCTTGGAGCTAGGATTTTTCTGAGTGCACTGAACCAACTCCCGAGTCTCTAGGACATTCCTAAAAAAATTTGATTTTTTTCCCATAGGAATGCATGGGTTAGGGTTATGGTTAGGGTTAGGGTTGGAGCTAGGGTTAGGGTTAGGGTTAGGGTTGGAGTTAGGGTTAGTGTTGGAGCTAGGGTTAGGGTTGGGCTTGGAGCTAGGATTTTTCTGAGTGCAATGAACCAACTCCCGAGTCTCTAGGACGTTCCTAAAAAAATTTGATTTTTTCCCATAGGAATGCATGGGTTAGGGTTAGGGTTAGGGTTGGAGCTAGGGTTAGGGTTAGGGTTAGGGTTGGAGTTAGGGTTAGTGTTGGAGCTAGGGTTAGGGTTGGGCTTGGAGCTAGGAATTTTCTGAGTGCAATGAACCAACTCCAGAGTCTCTAGGACGTTCCTAAAAAATTTGATTTTTTCCCATAGGAATGCATGGGTTAGGGTTAGGGTTAGGGTTAGGGTTGGAGCTAGGGTTAGGGTTAGGGTTAGGGTTGGAGTTAGGGTTAGTGTTGGAGCTAGGGTTAGGGTTGGGCTTGGAGCTAGGACTTTTCTGAGTGCAATGAACCAACTCCCGAGTCTCTAGGACGTTCCCTAAAAAAATTTGATTTTTTCCCATAGGAATGCATGGGTTAGGGTTAGGGTTAGGGTTGGAGCTAGGGTTAGGGTTAGGGTTAGGGTTGGAGTTAGGGTTAGTGTTGGAGCTAGGGTTAGGGTTGGGCTTGGAGCTAGGATTTTTCTGAGTGCACTGAACCAACTCCCGAGTCTCTAGGACATTCCTAAAAAAATTTGATTTTTTCCCATAGGAATGCATGGGTTAGGGTTATGGTTAGGGTTAGGGTTGGAGCTAGGGTTAGGGTTAGGGTTAGGGTTGGAGTTAGGGTTAGTGTTGGAGCTAGGGTTAGGGTTGGGCTTGGAGCTAGGATTTTTCTGAGTGCACTGAACCAACTCCCGAGTCTCTAGGACATTCCTAAAAAAATTGATTTTTTCCCATAGGAATGCATGGGTTAGGGTTATGGTTAGGGTTAGGGTTGGAGCTAGGGTTAGGGTTAGGGTTAGGGTTGGAGTTAGGGTTAGTGTTGGAGCTAGGGTTAGGGTTGGGCTTGGAGCTAGGATTTTCTGAGTGCAATGAACCAACTCCCGAGTCTCTAGGACGTTCCTAAAAAAATTTGATTTTTTCCCATAGGAATGCATGGGTTAGGGTTAGGGTTAGGGTTGGAGCTAGGGTTAGGGTTAGGGTTAGGGTTGGAGTTAGGGTTAGTGTTGGAGCTAGGGTTAGGGTTGGGCTTGGAGCTAGGATTTTTCTGAGTGCAATGAACCAACTCCCGAGTCTCTAGGACGTTCCTAAAAAAATTTGATTTTTTCCCATAGGAATGCATGGGTTAGGGTTAGGGTTAGGGTTGGAGCTAGGGTTAGGGTTAGGGTTAGGGTTGGAGTTAGGGTTAGTGTTGGAGCTAGGGTTAGGGTTGGGCTTGGAGCTAGGATTTTTCTGAGTGCACTGAACCAACTCCCGAGTCTCTAGGACATTCCTAAAAAAATTTGATTTTTTCCCATAGGAATGCATGGGTTAGGGTTATGGTTAGGGTTAGGGTTGGAGCTAGGGTTAGGGTTAGGGTTAGGGTTGGAGTTAGGGTTAGTGTTGGAGCTAGGGTTAGGGTTGGGCTTGGAGCTAGGATTTTTCTGAGTGCACTGAACCAACTCCCGAGTCTCTAGGACATTCCTAAAAAAATTTGATTTTTTCCCATAGGAATGCATGGGTTAGGGTTATGGTTAGGGTTAGGGTTGGAGCTAGGGTTAGGGTTGGAGCTAGGGTTAGGGTTAGGGTTAGGGTTGGAGTTAGGGTTAGTGTTGGAGCTAGGGTTAGGGTTGGGCTTGGAGCTAGGATTTTTCTGAGTACAATGAACCAACTCCCGAGTCTCTTGGACGTTCCTAAAAAAATTTGATTTTTTCCCATAGGAATGCATGGGTTAGGGTTAGGGTTAGGGTTAGGGTTGGAGCTAGGGTTAGGGTTAGGGTTAGGGTTGGAGTTAGGGTTAGTGTTGGAGCTAGGGTTAGGGTTGGGCTTGGAGCTAGGATTTTTCTGAGTGCACTGAACCAACTCCCGAGTCTCTAGGACATTCCTAAAAAAATTTGATTTTTTCCCATAGGAATGCATGGGTTAGGGTTATGGTTAGGGTTAGGGTTGGAGCTAGGGTTAGGGTTAGGGTTAGGGTTGGAGTTAGGGTTAGTGTTGGAGCTAGGGTTAGGGTTGGGCTTGGAGCTAGGATTTTTCTGAGTGCACTGAACCAACTCCCGAGTCTCTAGGACATTCCTAAAAAAATTTGATTTTTTTCCCATAGGAATGCATGGGTTAGGGTTATGTTAGGGTTAGGGTTGGAGCTAGGGTTAGGGTTAGGGTTAGGGTTGGAGTTAGGGTTAGTGTTGGAGCTAGGGTTAGGGTTGGGCTTGGAGCTAGGACTTTTCTGAGTGCAATGAACCAACTCCCGAGTCTCTTGGACGTTCCTAAAAAAATTTGATTTTTTCCCATAGGAATGCATGGGTTAGGGTTAGGGTTAGGGTTGGAGCTAGGGTTAGGGTTAGGGTTAGGGTTGGAGTTAGGGTTAGTGTTGGAGCTAGGGTTAGGGTTGGGCTTGGAGCTAGGATTTTTCTGAGTGCAATGAACCAACTCCCGAGTCTCTAGGACGTTCCTAAAAAAATTTGATTTTTTCCCATAGGAATGCATGGGTTAGGGTTAGGGTTAGGGTTGGAGCTAGGGTTAGGGTTAGGGTTAGGGTTGGAGTTAGGGTTAGTGTTGGAGCTAGGGTTAGGGTTGGGCTTGGAGCTAGGATTTTTCTGAGTGCACTGAACCAACTCCCGAGTCTCTAGGACATTCCTAAAAAAATTTGATTTTTTCCCATAGGAATGCATGGGTTAGGGTTAGGGTTAGGGTTGGAGCTAGGGTTAGGGTTAGGGTTAGGGTTGGAGTTAGGGTTAGTGTTGGAGCTAGGGTTAGGGTTGGGCTTGGAGCTAGGATTTTTCTGAGTGCACTGAACCAACTCCCGAGTCTCTAGGACATTCCTAAAAAAAATTGATTTTTTTCCCATAGGAATGCATGGGTTAGGGTTATGGTTAGGGTTAGGGTTGGAGCTAGGGTTAGGGTTAGGGTTAGGGTTGGAGTTAGGGTTAGTGTTGGAGCTAGGGTTAGGGTTGGGCTTGGAGCTAGGACTTTTCTGAGTGCAATGAACCAACTCCCGAGTCTCTTGGACGTTCCTAAAAAAATTTGATTTTTTCCCATAGGAATGCATGGGTTAGGGTTAGGGTTAGGGCTGGAGCTAGGGTTAGGGTTAGGGTTAGGGTTGGAGTTAGGGTTAGTGTTGGAGCTAGGGTTAGGGTTGGGCTTGGAGCTAGGATTTTTCTGAGTGCAATGAACCAACTCCCGAGTCTCTAGGACGTTCCTAAAAAAATTTGATTTTTTCCCATAGGAATGCATGGGTTAGGGTTAGGGTTAGGGTTGGAGCTAGGGTTAGGGTTAGGGTTAGGGTTGGAGTTAGGGTTAGTGTTGGAGCTAGGGTTAGGGTTGGGCTTGGAGCTAGGATTTTTCTGAGTGCACTGAACCAACTCCCGAGTCTCTAGGACATTCCTAAAAAAAATTTGATTTTTTCCCATAGGAATGCATGGGTTAGGGTTAGGGTTAGGGTTGGAGCTAGGGTTAGGGTTAGGGTTAGGGTTGGAGTTAGGGTTAGTGTTGGAGCTAGGGTTAGGGTTGGGCTTGGAGCTAGGACTTTTCTGAGTGCAATGAACCAACTCCCGAGTCTCTAGGACGTTCCCTAAAAAAATTTGATTTTTTCCCATAGGAATGCATGGGTTAGGGTTAGGGTTAGGGTTGGAGCTAGGGTTAGGGTTAGGGTTAGGGTTGGAGTTAGGGTTAGTGTTGGAGCTAGGGTTAGGGTTGGGCTTGGAGCTAGGATTTTTCTGAGTGCACTGAACCAACTCCCGAGTCTCTAGGACATTCCTAAAAAAATTTGATTTTTTCCCATAGGAATGCATGGGTTAGGGTTATTTAGGGTTAGGGTTGGAGCTAGGGTTAGGGTTAGGGTTAGGGTTGGAGTTAGGGTTAGTGTTGGAGCTAGGGTTAGGGTTGGGCTTGGAGCTAGGATTTTCTGAGTGCAATGAACCAACTCCAGTCTCTAGGACGTTCCCTAAAAAAAATTGATTTTTTCCCATAGGAATGCATGGGTTAGGGTTAGGGTTAGGGTTGGAGCTAGGGTTAGGGTTAGGGTTAGGGTTGGAGTTAGGGTTAGTGTTGGAGCTAGGGTTAGGGTTGGGCTTGGAGCTAGGATTTTTCTGAGTGCACTGAACCAACTCCCGAGTCTCTAGGACATTCCTAAAAAAATTTGATTTTTTCCCATAGGAATGCATGGGTTAGGGTTATGGTTAGGGTTAGGGTTGGAGCTAGGGTTAGGGTTAGGGTTAGGGTTGGAGTTAGGGTTAGTGTTGGAGCTAGGGTTAGGGTTGGGCTTGGAGCTAGGATTTTTCTGAGTGCACTGAACCAACTCCCGAGTCTCTAGGACATTCCTAAAAAAATTTGATTTTTTTCCCATAGGAATGCATGGGTTAGGGTTAGGGTTAGGGTTAGGGTTGGAGCTAGGGTTAGGGTTAGGGTTAGGGTTGGAGTTAGGGTTAGTGTTGGAGCTAGGGTTAGGGTTGGGCTTGGAGCTAGGACTTTTCTGAGTGCAATGAACCAACTCCCGAGTCTCTAGGACGTTCCCTAAAAAAATTTGATTTTTTCCCATAGGAATGCATGGGTTAGGGTTAGGGTTAGGGTTGGAGCTAGGGTTAGGGTTAGGGTTAGGGTTGGAGTTAGGGTTAGTGTTGGAGCTAGGGTTAGGGTTGGGCTTGGAGCTAGGATTTTTCTGAGTGCACTGAACCAACTCCCGAGTCTCTAGGACATTCCTAAAAAAATTTGATTTTTTCCCATAGGAATGCATGGGTTAGGGTTAGGTTAGGGTTAGGGTTGGAGCTAGGGTTAGGGTTAGGGTTAGGGTTGGAGTTAGGGTTAGTGTTGGAGCTAGGGTTAGGGTTGGGCTTGGAGCTAGGATTTTTCTGAGTGCACTGAACCAACTCCCGAGTCTCTAGGACATTCCTAAAAAAAATTGATTTTTTCCCATAGGAATGCATGGGTTAGGGTTAGGGTTAGGGTTGGAGCTAGGGTTAGGGTTAGGGTTAGGGTTGGAGTTAGGGTTAGTGTTGGAGCTAGGGTTAGGGTTGGGCTTGGAGCTAGGATTTTTCTGAGTGCACTGAACCAACTCCCGAGTCTCTAGGACATTCCTAAAAAAATTTGATTTTTTCCCATAGGAATGCATGGGTTAGGGTTATGGTTAGGGTTAGGGTTGGAGCTAGGGTTAGGGTTAGGGTTAGGGTTGGAGTTAGGGTTAGTGTTGGAGCTAGGGTTAGGGTTGGGCTTGGAGCTAGGATTTTTCTGAGTGCAATGAACCAACTCCCGAGTCTCTAGGACATTCCTAAAAAAATTTGATTTTTTTCCCATAGGAATGCATGGGTTAGGGTTATGGTTAGGGTTAGGGTTGGAGCTAGGGTTAGGGTTAGGGTTAGGGTTGGAGTTAGGGTTAGTGTTGGAGCTAGGGTTAGGGTTGGGCTTGGAGCTAGGATTTTTCTGAGTGCAATGAACCAACTCCCGAGTCTCTAGGACGTTCCTAAAAAAATTTGATTTTTTCCCATAGGAATGCATGGGTTAGGGTTAGGGTTAGGGTTGGAGCTAGGGTTAGGGTTAGGGATAGGGTTGGAGTTAGGGTTAGTGTTGGAGCTAGGGTTAGGGTTGGGCTTGGAGCTAGGATTTTTCTGAGTGCAATGAACCAACTCCCGAGTCTCTAGGACGTTCCTAAAAAAATTTGATTTTTTCCCATAGGAATGCATGGGTTAGGGTTAGGGTTAGGGTTGGAGCTAGGGTTAGGGTTAGGGTTAGGGTTGGAGTTAGGGTTAGTGTTGGAGCTAGGGTTAGTGTTGGGCTTGGAGCTAGGACTTTTCTGAGTGCAATGAACCAACTCCCGAGTCTCTAGGACGTTCCCTAAAAAAATTGATTTTTTCCCATAGGAATGCATGGGTTAGGGTTAGGGTTAGGGTTGGAGCTAGGGTTAGGGTTAGGGTTAGGGTTGGAGTTAGGGTTAGTGTTGGAGCTAGGGTTAGGGTTGGGCTTGGAGCTAGGATTTTTCTGAGTGCACTGAACCAACTCCCGAGTCTCTAGGACATTCCTAAAAAAATTTGATTTTTTCCCATAGGAATGCATGGGTTAGGGTTAGGGTTAGGGTTGGAGCTAGGGTTAGGGTTAGGGTTAGGGTTGGAGTTAGGGTTAGTGTTGGAGCTAGGGTTAGGGTTGGGCTTGGAGCTAGGACTTTTCTGAGTGCAATGAACCAACTCCCGAGTCTCTAGGACGTTCCTAAAAAAATTTGATTTTTTCCCATAGGAATGCATGGGTTAGGGTTAGGGTTAGGGTTGGAGCTAGGGTTAGGGTTAGGGTTAGGGTTGGAGTTAGGGTTAGTGTTGGAGCTAGGGTTAGGGTTGGGCTTGGAGCTAGGATTTTTCTGAGTGCACTGAACCAACTCCCGAGTCTCTAGGACATTCCTAAAAAAATTTGATTTTTTCCCATAGGAATGCATGGGTTAGGGTTATGGTTAGGGTTAGGGTTGGAGCTAGGGTTAGGGTTAGGGTTAGGGTTGGAGTTAGGGTTAGTGTTGGAGCTAGGGTTAGGGTTGGGCTTGGAGCTAGGACTTTTCTGAGTGCAATGAACCAACTCCCGAGTCTCTTGGACGTTCCTAAAAAAATTTGATTTTTTCCCATAGGAATGCATGGGTTAGGGTTAGGGTTAGGGTTGGAGCTAGGGTTAGGGTTAGGGTTAGGGTTGGAGTTAGGGTTAGTGTTGGAGCTAGGGTTAGGGTTGGGCTTGGAGCTAGGATTTTTCTGAGTGCAATGAACCAACTCCCGAGTCTCTAGGACGTTCCTAAAAAAATTTGATTTTTTCCCATAGGAATGCATGGGTTAGGGTTAGGGTTAGGGTTGGAGCTAGGGTTAGGGTTAGGGTTAGGGTTGGAGTTAGGGTTAGTGTTGGAGCTAGGGTTAGGGTTGGGCTTGGAGCTAGGATTTTTCTGAGTGCACTGAACCAACTCCCGAGTCTCTAGGACATTCCTAAAAAAATTTGATTTTTTCCCATAGGAATGCATGGGTTAGGGTTATGGTTAGGGTTAGGGTTGGAGCTAGGGTTAGGGTTAGGGTTAGGGTTGGAGTTAGGGTTAGTGTTGGAGCTAGGGTTAGGGTTGGGCTTGGAGCTAGGATTTTTCTGAGTGCACTGAACCAACTCCCGAGTCTCTAGGACATTCCTAAAAAAATTTGATTTTTTCCCATAGGAATGCATGGGTTAGGGTTAGGGGGTTAGGGTTGGAGCTAGGGTTAGGGTTAGGGTTAGGGTTGGAGTTAGGGTTAGTGTTGGAGCTAGGGTTAGGGTTGGGCTTGGAGCTAGGATTTTTCTGAGTGCAATGAACCAACTCCCGAGTCTCTAGGACGTTCCTAAAAAAATTTGATTTTTTCCCATAGGAATGCATGGGTTAGGGTTAGGGTTAGGGTTAGGGTTGGAGCTAGGGTTAGGGTTAGGGTTAGGGTTGGAGTTAGGGTTAGTGTTGGAGCTAGGGTTAGGGTTGGGCTTGGAGCTAGGATTTTTCTGAGTGCACTGAACCAACTCCCGAGTCTCTAGGACATTCCTAAAAAAATTTGATTTTTTCCCATAGGAATGCATGGGTTAGGGTTATGGTTAGGGTTAGGGTTGGAGCTAGGGTTAGGGTTAGGGTTAGGGTTGGAGTTAGGGTTAGTGTTGGAGCTAGGGTTAGGGTTGGGCTTGGAGCTAGGATTTTTCTGAGTGCACTGAACCAACTCCCGAGTCTCTAGGACATTCCTAAAAAAATTGATTTTTTTCCCATAGGAATGCATGGGTTAGGGTTATGGTTAGGGTTAGGGTTGGAGCTAGGGTTAGGGTTAGGGTTAGGGTTGGAGTTAGGGTTAGTGTTGGAGCTAGGGTTAGGGTTGGGCTTGGAGCTAGGATTTTCTGAGTGCAATGAACCAACTCCCGAGTCTCTAGGACGTTCCTAAAAAAATTTGATTTTTTCCCATAGGAATGCATGGGTTAGGGTTAGGGTTAGGGTTGGAGCTAGGGTTAGGGTTAGGGTTAGGGTTGGAGTTAGGGTTAGTGTTGGAGCTAGGGTTAGGGTTGGGCTTGGAGCTAGGATTTTTCTGAGTGCAATGAACCAACTCCCGAGTCTCTAGGACGTTCCTAAAAAAATTTGATTTTTTCCCATAGGAATGCATGGGTTAGGGTTAGGGTTAGGGTTGGAGCTAGGGTTAGGGTTAGGGTTAGGGTTGGAGTTAGGGTTAGTGTTGGAGCTAGGGTTAGGGTTGGGCTTGGAGCTAGGATTTTTCTGAGTGCACTGAACCAACTCCCGAGTCTCTAGGACATTCCTAAAAAAATTGATTTTTTCCCATAGGAATGCATGGGTTAGGGTTAGGGTTAGGGTTGGAGCTAGGGTTAGGGTTAGGGTTAGGGTTGGAGTTAGGGTTAGTGTTGGAGCTAGGGTTAGGGTTGGGCTTGGAGCTAGGATTTTTCTGAGTGCAATGAACCAACTCCCGAGTCTCTAGGACGTTCCTAAAAAAATTTGATTTTTTCCCATAGGAATGCATGGGTTAGGGTTAGGGTTAGGGTTGGAGCTAGGGTTAGGGTTAGGGTTAGGGTTGGAGTTAGGGTTAGTGTTGGAGCTAGGGTTAGGGTTGGGCTTGGAGCTAGGATTTTTCTGAGTGCACTGAACCAACTCCCGAGTCTCTAGGACATTCCTAAAAAAATTTGATTTTTCCCATAGGAATGCATGGGTTAGGGTTATTTAGGGTTAGGGTTGGAGCTAGGGTTAGGGTTAGGGTTAGGGTTGGAGTTAGGGTTAGTGTTGGAGCTAGGGTTAGGGTTGGGCTTGGAGCTAGGATTTTTCTGAGTGCAATGAACCAACTCCCGAGTCTCTAGGACGTTCCTAAAAAAATTGATTTTTTCCCATAGGAATGCATGGGTTAGGGTTAGGGTTAGGGTTGGAGCTAGGGTTAGGGTTAGGGTTAGGGTTGGATTTAGGGTTAGTTTTGGAGCTAGGGTTAGGGTTGGGCTTGGAGCTAGGATTTTTCTGAGTGCACTGAACCAACTCCCGAGTCTCTAGGACATTCCTAAAAAAAATTGATTTTTTCCCATAGGAATGCATGGTTTAGGGTTATGGTTAGGGTTAGGGTTGGAGCTAGGGTTAGGGTTAGGGTTAGGGTTGGAGTTAGGGTTAGTGTTGGAGCTAGGGTTAGGGTTGGGCTTGGAGCTAGGATTTTTCTGAGTGCACTGAACCAACTCCCGAGTCTCTAGGACATTCCTAAAAAAAATTGATTTTTTTCCCATAGGAATGCATGGGTTAGGGTTATGGTTAGGGTTAGGGTTGGAGCTAGGGTTAGGGTTAGGGTTAGGGTTGGAGTTAGGGTTAGTGTTGGAGCTAGGGTTAGGGTTGGGCTTGGAGCTAGGATTTTTCTGAGTGCAATGAACCAACTCCCGAGTCTCTTGGACGTACCTAAAAAAAATTGATTTTTTCCCATAGGAATGCATGGGTTAGGGTTAGGGTTAGGGTTGGAGCTAGGGTTAGGGTTAGGGATAGGGTTGGAGTTAGGGTTAGTGTTGGAGCTAGGGTTAGGGTTGGGCTTGGAGCTAGGATTTTTCTGAGTGCAATGAACCAACTCCCGAGTCTCTAGGACGTTCCTAAAAAAATTTGATTTTTTCCCATAGGAATGCATGGGTTAGGGTTAGGGTTAGGGTTGGAGCTAGGGTTACGGTTAGGGTTAGGGTTGGAGTTAGGGTTAGTGTTGGAGCTAGGGTTAGTGTTGGGCTTGGAGCTAGGACTTTTCTGAGTGCAATGAACCAACTCCCGAGTCTCTAGGACGTTCCCTAAAAAAAATTGATTTTTTCCCATAGGAATGCATGGGTTAGGGTTAGGGTTAGGGTTGGAGCTAGGGTTAGGGTTAGGGATAGGGTTGGAGTTAGGGTTAGTGTTGGAGCTAGGGTTAGGGTTGGGCTTGGAGCTAGGATTTTTCTGAGTGCAATGAACCAACTCCCGAGTCTCTAGGACGTTCCTAAAAAAATTTGATTTTTTCCCATAGGAATGCATGGGTTAGGGTTAGGGTTAGGGTTGGAGCTAGGGTTAGGGTTAGGGTTAGGGTTGGAGCTAGGGTTAGTGTTGGAGCTAGGGTTAGTGTTGGGCTTGGAGCTAGGACTTTTCTGAGTGCAATGAACCAACTCCCGAGTCTCTAGGACGTTCCCTAAAAAAAATTGATTTTTTCCCATAGGAATGCATGGGTTAGGGTTAGGGTTAGGGTTGGAGCTAGGGTTAGGGTTAGGGTTAGGGTTGGAGTTAGGGTTAGTGTTGGAGCTAGGGTTAGGGTTGGGCTTGGAGCTAGGATTTTTCTGAGTGCACTGAACCAACTCCCGAGTCTCTAGGACATTCCTAAAAAAATTGATTTTTTTCCCATAGGAATGCATGGGTTAGGGTTATGGTTAGGGTTAGGGTTGGAGCTAGGGTTAGGGTTAGGGTTAGGGTTGGAGTTAGGGTTAGTGTTGGAGCTAGGGTTAGGGTTGGGCTTGGAGCTAGGACTTTTCTGAGTGCAATGAACCAACTCCCGAGTCTCTTGGACGTTCCTAAAAAAATTTGATTTTTTCCCATAGGAATGCATGGGTTAGGGTTAGGGTTAGGGTTGGAGCTAGGGTTAGGGTTAGGGTTAGGGTTGGAGTTAGGGTTAGTGTTGGAGCTAGGGTTAGGGTTGGGCTTGGAGCTAGGATTTTTCTGAGTGCAATGAACCAACTCCAGAGTCTCTAGGACGTTCCTAAAAAAATTTGATTTTTTCCCATAGGAATGCATGGGTTAGGGTTAGGGTTAGGGTTAGGGTTGGAGCTAGGGTTAGGGTTAGGGTTAGGGTTGGAGTTAGGGTTAGTGTTGGAGCTAGGGTTAGGGTTGGGCTTGGAGCTAGGATTTTTCTGAGTGCACTGAACCAACTCCCGAGTCTCTAGGACATTCCTAAAAAAAATTGATTTTTTCCCATAGGAATGCATGGGTTAGGGTTATGGTTAGGGTTAGGGTTGGAGCTAGGGTTAGGGTTAGGGTTAGGGTTGGAGTTAGGGTTAGTGTTGGAGCTAGGGTTAGGGTTGGGCTTGGAGCTAGGACTTTTCTGAGTGCAATGAACCAACTCCCGAGTCTCTAGGACGTTCCCTAAAAAAAATAGATTTTTTCCCATAGGAATGCATGGGTTAGGGTTAGGGTTAGGGTTGGAGCTAGGGTTAGGGTTAGGGTTAGGGTTGGAGTTAGGGTTAGTTTTGGAGCTAGGGTTAGGGTTGGGCTTGGAGCTAGGATTTTTCTGAGTGCACTGAACCAACTCCCGAGTCTCTAGGACATTCCTAAAAAAATTTGATTTTTTCCCATAGGAATGCATGGGTTAGGGTTATGGTTAGGGTTAGGGTTGGAGCTAGGGTTAGGGTTAGGGTTAAGGTTGGAGATAGGGTTAGTGTTGGAGCTAGTGTTAGGGTTGGGCTTGGAGCTAGGATTTTTCTGAGTGCACTGAACCAACTCCCGAGTCTCTAGGACATTCCTAAAAAAAATTGATTTTTTTCCCATAGGAATGCATGGGTTAGGGTTATGGTTAGGGTTAGGGTTGGAGCTAGGGTTAGGGTTAGGGTTAGGGTTGGAGTTAGGGTTAGTGTTGGAGCTAGGGTTAGGGTTGGGCTTGGAGCTAGGACTTTTCTGAGTGCAATGAACCAACTCCCGAGTCTCTTGGACGTTCCTAAAAAAATTTGATTTTTTCCCATAGGAATGCATGGGTTAGGGTTAGGGTTAGGGTTGGAGCTAGGGTTAGGGTTAGGGTTAGGGTTGGAGTTAGGGTTAGTGTTGGAGCTAGGGTTAGGGTTGGGCTTGGAGCTAGGATTTTTCTGAGTGCAATGAACCAACTCCAGAGTCTCTAGGACGTTCCTAAAAAAATTTGATTTTTTCCCATAGGAATGCATGGGTTAGGGTTAGGGTTAGGGTTGGAGCTAGGGTTAGGGTTAGGGTTAGGGTTGGAGTTAGGGTTAGTGTTGGAGCTAGGGTTAGGGTTGGGCTTGGAGCTAGGATTTTTCTGAGTGCACTGAACCAACTCCCGAGTCTCTAGGACATTCCTAAAAAAATTTGATTTTTTCCCATAGGAATGCATGGGTTAGGGTTATGGTTAGGGTTAGGGTTGGAGCTAGGGTTAGGGTTAGGGTTAGGGTTGGAGTTAGGGTTAGTGTTGGAGCTAGGGTTAGGGTTGGGCTTGGAGCTAGGATTTTTCTGAGTGCACTGAACCAACTCCCGAGTCTCTAGGACATTCCTAATAAAATTTGATTTTTTCCCATAGGAATGCATGGGTTAGGGTTATGGTTAGGGTTAGGGTTGGAGCTAGGGTTAGGGTTAGGGTTAGGGTTGGAGTTAGGGTTAGTGTTGGAGCTAGGGTTAGGGTTGGGCTTGGAGCTAGGATTTTTCTGAGTACAATGAACCAACTCCCGAGTCTCTTGGACGTTCCTAAAAAAATTTGATTTTTTCCCATAGGAATGCATGGGTTAGGGTTAGGGTTAGGGTTAGGGTTGGAGCTAGGGTTAGGGTTAGGGTTAGGGTTGGAGTTAGGGTTAGTGTTGGAGCTAGGGTTAGGGTTGGGCTTGGAGCTAGGATTTTTCTGAGTGCACTGAACCAACTCCCGAGTCTCTAGGACATTCCTAAAAAAATTTGATTTTTTCCCATAGGAATGCATGGGTTAGGGTTATGGTTAGGGTTAGGGTTGGAGCTAGGGTTAGGGTTAGGGTTAGGGTTGGAGTTAGGGTTAGTGTTGGAGCTAGGGTTAGGGTTGGGCTTGGAGCTAGGATTTTTCTGAGTGCACTGAACCAACTCCCGAGTCTCTATGACATTCCTAAAAAAAATTGATTTTTTTCCCATAGGAATGCATGGGTTAGGGTTATGGTTAGGGTTAGGGTTGGAGCTAGGGTTAGGGTTAGGGTTAGGGTTGGAGTTAGGGTTAGTGTTGGAGCTAGGGTTAGGGTTGGGCTTGGAGCTAGGATTTTTCTGAGTGCAATGAACCAACTCCCGAGTCTCTAGGACGTTCCTAAAAAAATTTGATTTTTTCCCATAGGAATGCATGGGTTAGGGTTAGGGTTAGGGTTGGAGCTAGGGTTAGGGTTAGGGTTAGGGTTGGAGTTAGGGTTAGTGTTGGAGCTAGGGTTAGGGTTGGGCTTGGAGCTAGGACTTTTCTGAGTGCAATGAACCAACTCCCGAGTCTCTTGGACGTTCCTAAAAAAATTTGATTTTTTCCCATAGGAATGCATGGGTTAGGGTTAGGGTTAGGGTTGGAGCTAGGGTTAGGGTTAGGGTTAGGGTTGGAGTTAGGGTTAGTGTTGGAGCTAGGGTTAGGGTTGGGCTTGGAGCTAGGATTTTTCTGAGTGCACTGAACCAACTCCCGAGTCTCTAGGACATTCCTAAAAAAATTTGATTTTTCCCATAGGAATGCATGGGTTAGGGTTATAATTAGGGTTAGGGTTGGAGCTAGGGTTAGGGTTAGGGTTAGGGTTGGAGTTAGGGTTAGTGTTGGAGCTAGGGTTAGGGTTGGGCTTGGAGCTAGGACTTTTCTGAGTGCAATGAACCAACTCCCGAGTCTCTAGGACGTTCCCTAAAAAAAATTGATTTTTTCCCATAGGAATGCATGGGTTAGGGTTAGGGTTAGGGTTGGAGCTAGGGTTAGGGTTAGGGTTAGGGTTGGATTTAGGGTTAGTTTTGGAGCTAGGGTTAGGGTTGGGCTTGGAGCTAGGATTTTTCTGAGTGCACTGAACCAACTCCCGAGTCTCTAGGACATTCCTAAAAAAAATTGATTTTTTCCCATAGGAATGCATGGTTTAGGGTTATGGTTAGGGTTAGGGTTGGAGCTAGGGTTAGGGTTAGGGTTAGGGTTGGAGTTAGGGTTAGTGTTGGAGCTAGGGTTAGGGTTGGGCTTGGAGCTAGGATTTTTCTGAGTGCACTGAACCAACTCCCGAGTCTCTAGGACATTCCTAAAAAAAATTGATTTTTTTCCCATAGGAATGCATGGGTTAGGGTTATGGTTAGGGTTAGGGTTGGAGCTAGGGTTAGGGTTAGGGTTAGGGTTGGAGTTAGGGTTAGTGTTGGAGCTAGGGTTAGGGTTGGGCTTGGAGCTAGGACTTTTCTGAGTGCAATGAACCAACTCCCGAGTCTCTTGGACGTTCCTAAAAAAATTTGATTTTTTCCCATAGGAATGCATGGGTTAGGGTTAGGGTTAGGGTTGGAGCTAGGGTTAGGGTTAGGGTTAGGGTTGGAGTTAGGGTTAGTGTTGGAGCTAGGGTTAGGGTTGGGCTTGGAGCTAGGATTTTTCTGAGTGCACTGAACCAACTCCCGAGTCTCTAGGACATTCCTAAAAAAAATTGATTTTTTTCCCATAGGAATGCATGGGTTAGGGTTATGGTTAGGGTTAGGGTTGGAGCTAGGGTTAGGGTTAGGGTTAGGGTTGGAGTTAGGGTTAGTGTTGGAGCTAGGGTTAGGGTTGGGCTTGGAGCTAGGACTTTTCTGAGTGCAATGAACCAACTCCCGAGTCTCTTGGACGTTCCTAAAAAAATTTGATTTTTTCCCATAGGAATGCATGGGTTAGGGTTAGGGTTAGGGTTGGAGCTAGGGTTAGGGTTAGGGTTAGGGTTGGAGTTAGGGTTAGTGTTGGAGCTAGGGTTAGGGTTGGGCTTGGAGCTAGGATTTTTCTGAGTGCAATGAACCAACTCCCGAGTCTCTAGGACGTTCCTAAAAAAATTTGATTTTTTTCCCATAGGAATGCATGGGTTAGGGTTAGGGTTAGGGTTGGAGCTAGGGTTAGGGTTAGGGTTAGGGTTGGAGTTAGGGTTAGTGTTGGAGCTAGGGTTAGGGTTGGGCTTGGAGCTAGGATTTTTCTGAGTGCACTGAACCAACTCCCGAGTCTCTAGGACATTCCTAAAAAAAATTGATTTTTTCCCATAGGAATGCATGGGTTAGGGTTAGGGTTAGGGTTGGAGCTAGGGTTAGGGTTAGGGTTAGGGTTGGAGTTAGGGTTAGTGTTGGAGCTAGGGTTAGGGTTGGGCTTGGAGCTAGGACTTTTCTGAGTGCAATGAACCAACTCCCGAGTCTCTAGGACGTTCCCTAAAAAAATTTGATTTTTTCCCATAGGAATGCATGGGTTAGGGTTAGGGTTAGGGTTGGAGCTAGGGTTAGGGTTAGGGTTAGGGTTGGAGTTAGGGTTAGTGTTGGAGCTAGGGTTAGGGTTGGGCTTGGAGCTAGGATTTTTCTGAGTGCACTGAACCAACTCCCGAGTCTCTAGGACATTCCTAAAAAAATTTGATTTTTCCCATAGGAATGCATGGGTTAGGGTTATAATTAGGGTTAGGGTTGGAGCTAGGGTTAGGGTTAGGGTTAGGGTTGGAGTTAGGGTTAGTGTTGGAGCTAGGGTTAGGGTTGGGCTTGGAGCTAGGATTTTTCTGAGTGCACTGAACCAACTCCCGAGTCTCTAGGACATTCCTAAAAAAATTTGATTTTTTCCCATAGGAATGCATGGGTTAGGGTTATGGTTAGGGTTAGGGTTGGAGCTAGGGTTAGGGTTAGGGTTGGAGTTAGGGTTAGTGTTGGAGCTAGGGTTAGGGTTGGGCTTGGAGCTAGGATTTTTCTGAGTGCACTGAACCAACTCCCGAGTCTCTAGGACATTCCTAAAAAAATTTGATTTTTCCCATAGGAATGCATGGGTTAGGGTTATAATTAGGGTTAGGGTTGGAGCTAGGGTTAGGGTTAGGGTTAGGGTTGGAGTTAGGGTTAGTGTTGGAGCTAGGGTTAGGGTTGGGCTTGGAGCTAGGATTTTTCTGAGTGCACTGAACCAACTCCCGAGTCTCTAGGACATTCCTAAAAAAATTTGATTTTTTCCCATAGGAATGCATGGGTTAGGGTTATGGTTAGGGTTAGGGTTGGAGCTAGGGTTAGGGTTAGGGTTGGAGTTAGGGTTAGTGTTGGAGCTAGGGTTAGGGTTGGGCTTGGAGCTAGGATTTTTCTGAGTGCACTGAACCAACTCCCGAGTCTCTAGGACGTTCCTAAAAAAATTTGATTTTTTCCCATAGGAATGCATGGGTTAGGGTTAGGGTTAGGGTTGGAGCTAGGGTTAGGGTTAGGGTTAGGGTTAGGGTTAGGGTTGGAGTTAGGGTTAGTGTTGGAGCTAGGGTTAGGGTTGGGCTTGGAGCCAGGATTTTTTTGAGTGCACTGAACCAACTCCCGAGTCTCTAGGACATTCCTAAAAAAATTTGATTTTTTCCCATAGGAATGCATGGGTTAGGGTTAGGGTTAGGGTTGGAGCTAGGGTTAGGGTTAGGGTTAGGGTTGGAGTTAGGGTTAGTGTTGGAGCTAGGGTTAGGGTTGGGCTTGGAACTAGGATTTTTCTGAGTGCACTGAACCAACTCCCGATTCTCTAGGACATTCCTAAAAAAATTTGATTTTTTCCCATAGGAATGCATGGGTTAGGGTTAGGGTTAGGGTTAGGGTTAGGGTTGGAGCTAGGGTTAGGGTTGGGCTTGGAGCTAGGATTTTTCTGAGTACAATGAACCAACTCCCGAGTCTCTTGGACGTTCCTAAAAAAATTTGATTTTTTACCATAGGAATGCATGGGTTAGGGTTAGGGTTAGGGTTGGAGCTAGGGTTAGGGTTAGGGTTAGGGTTGGAGTTAGGGTTAGTGTTGGAGCTAGGGTTAGGGTTGGGCTTGGAGCTAGGATTTTTCTGAGTGCAATGAACCAACTCCCGAGTCTCTAGGACGTTCCCTAAAAAAATTTGATTTTTTCCCATAGGAATGCATGGGTTAGGGTTAGGGTTAGGGTTGGAGCTAGGGTTAGGGTTAGGGTTAGGGTTGGAGTTAGGGTTAGTGTTGGAGCTAGGGTTAGGGTTGGGGTTAGGGTTGGAGTTAGGGTTAGTGTTGGAGCTAGGGTTAGGGTTGGGCTTGGAGCTAGGACTTTTCTGAGTGCAATGAACCAACTCCCGAGTCTCTTGGACGTTCCTAAAAAAATTTGATTTTTTCCCATAGGAATGCATGGGTTAGGGTTAGGGTTAGGGTTGGAGCTAGGGTTAGGGTTAGGGTTAGGGTTGGAGTTAGGGTTAGTGTTGGAGCTAGGGTTAGGGTTGGGCTTGGAGCTAGGATTTTTCTGAGTGCACTGAACCAACTCCCGAGTCTCTAGGACGTTCCTAAAAAAATTTGATTTTTTCCCATAGGAATGCATGGGTTAGGGTTAGGGTTAGGGTTGGAGCTAGGGTTAGGGTTAGGGTTAGGGTTGGAGTTAGGGTTAGTGTTGGAGCTAGGGTTAGGGTTGGGCTTGGAGCTAGGACTTTTCTGAGTGCAATGAACCAACTCCCGAGTCTCTAGGACGTTCCCTAAAAAAATTTGATTTTTTCCCATAGGAATGCATGGGTTAGGGTTAGGGTTAGGGTTGGAGCTAGGGTTAGGGTTAGGGTTAGGGTTGGAGTTAGGGTTAGTGTTGGAGCTAGGGTTAGGGTTGGGCTTGGAGCTAGGATTTTTCTGAGTGCACTGAACCAACTCCCGAGTCTCTAGGACATTCCTAAAAAAATTAGATTTTTTCCCATAGGAATGCATGGGTTAGGGTTATGGTTAGGGTTAGGGTTGGAGCTAGGGTTAGGGTTAGGGTTAGGGTTGGAGTTAGGGTTAGTGTTGGAGCTAGGGTTAGGGTTGGGCTTGGAGCTAGGATTTTTCTGAGTGCACTGAACCAACTCCCGAGTCTCTAGGACATTCCTAAAAAAAATTGATTTTTTCCCATAGGAATGCATGGGTTAGGGTTATGGTTAGGGTTAGGGTTGGAGCTAGGGTTAGGGTTAGGGTTAGGGTTGGAGTTAGGGTTAGTGTTGGAGCTAGGGTTAGGGTTGGGCTTGGAGCTAGGACTTTTCTGAGTGCAATGAACCAACTCCCGAGTCTCTTGGACGTTCCTAAAAAAATTAGATTTTTTCCCATAGGAATGCATGGGTTAGGGTTAGGGTTAGGGTTGGAGCTAGGGTTAGGGTTAGGGTTAGGGTTGGAGTTAGGGTTAGTGTTGGAGCTAGGGTTAGGGTTGGGCTTGGAGCTAGGATTTTTCTGAGTGCAATGAACCAACTCCCGAGTCTCTAGGACGTTCCTAAAAAAATTTGATTTTTTCCCATAGGAATGCATGGGTTAGGGTTAGGGTTAGGGTTGGAGCTAGGGTTAGGGTTAGGGTTAGGGTTGGAGTTAGGGTTAGTGTTGGAGCTAGGGTTAGGGTTGGGCTTGGAGCTAGGATTTTTCTGAGTGCACTGAACCAACTCCCGAGTCTCTAGGACATTCCTAAAAAAATTTGATTTTTTCCCATAGGAATGCATGGGTTAGGGTTATGGTTAGGGTTAGGGTTGGAGCTAGGGTTAGGGTTAGGGTTAGGGTTGGAGTTAGGGTTAGTGTTGGAGCTAGGGTTAGGGTTGGGCTTGGAGCTAGGATTTTTCTGAGTACAATGAACCAACTCCCGAGTCTCTTGGACGTTCCTAAACAAATTTGATTTTTTCCCATAGGAATGCATGGGTTAGGGTTAGGGTTAGGGTTGGAGCTAGGGTTAGGGTTAGGGTTAGGGTTGGAGTTAGGGTTAGTGTTGGAGCTAGGGTTAGGGTTGGGCTTGGAGCTAGGATTTTTCTGAGTGCACTGAACCAACTCCCGAGTCTCTAGGACATTCCTAAAAAAATTTGATTTTTTCCCATAGGAATGCATGGGTTAGGGTTATGGTTAGGGTTAGGGTTGCAGCTAGGGTTAGGGTTAGGGTTAGGGTTGGAGTTAGGGTTAGTGTTGGAGCTAGGGTTAGGGTTGGGCTTGGAGCTAGGATTTTTCTGAGTGCACTGAACCAACTCCCGAGTCTCTAGGACATTCCTAAAAAAAATTGATTTTTTTCCCATAGGAATGCATGGGTTAGGGTTATGGTTAGGGTTAGGGTTGGAGCTAGGGTTAGGGTTAGGGTTAGGGTTGGAGTTAGGGTTAGTGTTGGAGCTAGGGTTAGGGTTGGGCTTGGAGCTAGGACTTTTCTGAGTGCAATGAACCAACTCCCGAGTCTCTTGGACGTTCCTAAAAAAATTTGATTTTTTCCCATAGGAATGCATGGGTTAGGGTTAGGGTTAGGGTTGGAGCTAGGGTTAGGGTTAGGGTTAGGGTTGGAGTTAGGGTTAGTGTTGGATCTAGGGTTAGGGTTGGGCTTGGAGCTAGGACTTTTCTGAGTGCAATGAACCAACTCCCGAGTCTCTTGGACGTTCCCTAAAAAAAATTGATTTTTTCCCATAGGAATGCATGGGTTAGGGTTAGGGTTAGGGTTGGAGCTAGGGTTAGGGTTAGGGTAAGGGTTGGAGTTAGGGTTAGTGTTGGAGCTAGGGTTAGGGTTGGGCTTGGAGCTAGGATTTTTCTGAGTGCACTGAACCAACTCCCGAGTCTCTAGGACATTCCTAAAAAAATTTGATTTTTTCCCATAGGAATGCATGGGTTAGGGTTATGGTTAGGGTTAGGGTTGGAGCTAGGGTTAGGGTTAGGGTTAGGGTTGGAGTTAGGGTTAGTGTTGGAGCTAGGGTTAGGGTTGGGCTTGGAGCTAGGATTTTTCTGAGTGCACTGAACCAACTCCCGAGTCTCTAGGACATTCCTAAAAAAATTTGATTTTTTTCCCATAGGAATGCATGGGTTAGGGTTATGGTTAGGGTTAGGGTTGGAGCTAGGGTTAGGGTTAGGGTTAGGGTTGGAGTTAGGGTTAGTGTTGGAGCTAGGGTTAGGGTTGGGCTTGGAGCTAGGATTTTTCTGAGTGCAATGAACCAACTCCCGAGTCTCTAGGACGTTCCTAAAAAAATTTGATTTTTTCCCATAGGAATGCATGGGTTAGGGTTAGGGTTAGGGTTGGAGCTAGGGTTAGGGTTAGGGTTAGGGTTGGAGTTAGGGTTAGTGTTGGAGCTAGGGTTAGGGTTGGGCTTGGAGCTAGGATTTTTCTGAGTGCACTGAACCAACTCCCGAGTCTCTAGGACATTCCTAAAAAAATTTGATTTTTTCCCATAGGAATGCATGGGTTAGGGTTATGGTTAGGGTTAGGGTTGGAGCTAGGGTTAGGGTTAGGCTTAGGGTTGGAGTTAGGGTTAGTGTTGGAGCTAGGGTTAGGGTTGGGCTTGGAGCTAGGATTTTTCTGAGTGCACTGAACCAACTCCCGAGTCTCTAGGACATTCCTAAAAAAATTTGATTTTTTCCCATAGGAATGCATGGGTTAGGGTTATGGTTAGGGTTAGGGTTGGAGCTAGGGTTAGGGTTAGGGTTAGGGTTGGAGTTAGGGTTAGTGTTGGAGCTAGGGTTAGGGTTGGGCTTGGAGCTAGGACTTTTCTGAGTGCAATGAACCAACTCCCGAGTCTCTTGGACGTTCCTAAAAAAATTTGATTTTTTCCCATAGGAATGCATGGGTTAGGGTTAGGGTTAGGGTTGGAGCTAGGGTTAGGGTTAGGGTTAGGGTTGGAGTTAGGGTTAGTGTTGGAGCTAGGGTTAGGGTTGGGCTTGGAGCTAGGACTTTTCTGAGTGCAATGAACCAACTCCCGAGTCTCTTGGACGTTCCCTAAAAAAAATTGATTTTTTCCCATAGGAATGCATGGGTTAGGGTTAGGGTTAGGGTTGGAGCTAGGGTTAGGGTTAGGGTTAGGGTTGGAGTTAGGGTTAGTGTTGGAGCTAGGGTTAGGGTTGGGCTTGGAGCTAGGATTTTTCTGAGTGCACTGAACCAACTCCCGAGTCTCTAGGACATTCCTAAAAAAAATTGATTTTTTTCCCATAGGAATGCATGGGTTAGGGTTATGGTTAGGGTTAGGGTTGGAGCTAGGGTTAGGGTTAGGGTTAGGGTTGGAGTTAGGGTTAGTGTTGGAGCTAGGGTTAGGGTTGGGCTTGGAGCTAGGATTTTTCTGAGTGCAATGAACCAACTCCCGAGTCTCTTGGACGTTCCTAAAAAAATTTGATTTTTTCCCATAGGAATGCATGGGTTAGGGTTAGGGTTAGGGTTGGAGCTAGGGTTAGGGTTAGGGTTAGGGTTGGAGTTAGGGTTAGTGTTGGAGCTAGGGTTAGGGTTGGGCTTGGAGCTAGGATTTTTCTGAGTGCAATGAACCAACTCCCGAGTCTCTAGGACGTTCCTAAAAAAATTTGATTTTTTCCCATAGGAATGCATGGGTTAGGGTTAGGGTTAGGGTTGGAGCTAGGGTTAGGGTTAGGGTTAGGGTTGGAGTTAGGGTTAGTGTTGGAGCTAGGGTTAGGGTTGGGCTTGGAGCTAGGATTTTTCTGAGTGCACTGAACCAACTCCCGAGTCTCTAGGACATTCCTAAAAAAATTTGATTTTTTCCGATAGGAATGCATGGGTTAGGGTTATGGTTAGGGTTAGGGTTGGAGCTAGGGTTAGGGTTAGGCTTAGGGTTGGAGTTAGGGTTAGTGTTGGAGCTAGGGTTAGGGTTGGGCTTGGAGCTAGGATTTTTCTGAGTGCACTGAACCAACTCCCGAGTCTCTAGGACATTCCTAAAAAAAATTGATTTTTTTCCCATAGGAATGCATGGGTTAGGGTTATGGTTAGGGTTAGGGTTGGAGCTAGGGTTAGGGTTAGGGTTAGGGTTGGAGTTAGGGTTAGTGTTGGAGCTAGGGTTAGGGTTGGGCTTGGAGCTAGGACTTTTCTGAGTGCAATGAACCAACTCCCGAGTCTCTTGGACGTTCCTAAAAAAATTTGATTTTTTCCCATAGGAATGCATGGGTTAGGGTTAGGGTTAGGGTTGGAGCTAGGGTTAGGGTTAGGGTTAGGGGGTTGGAGTTAGGGTTAGTGTTGGAGCTAGGGTTAGGGTTGGGCTTGGAGCTAGGATTTTTCTGAGTGCAATGAACCAACTCCCGAGTCTCTAGGACGTTCCTAAAAAAATTTGATTTTTTCCCATAGGAATGCATGGGTTAGGGTTAGGGTTAGGGTTGGAGCTAGGGTTAGGGTTAGGGTTAGGGTTGGAGTTAGGGTTAGTGTTGGAGCTAGGGTTAGGGTTGGGCTTGGAGCTAGGATTTTTCTGAGTGCACTGAACCAACTCCCGAGTCTCTAGGACATTCCTAAAAAAATTGATTTTTTCCCATAGGAATGCATGGGTTAGGGTTATGGTTAGGGTTAGGGTTGGAGCTAGGGTTAGGGTTAGGGTTAGGGTTGGAGTTAGGGTTAGTGTTGGAGCTAGGGTTAGGGTTGGGCTTGGAGCTAGGATTTTTCTGAGTGCACTGAACCAACTCCCGAGTCTCTTGGACATTCCTAAAAAAATTTGATTTTTTTCCCATAGGAATCCATGGGTTAGGGTTATGGTTAGGGTTAGGGTTGGAGCTAGGGTTAGGGTTAGGGTTAGGGTTGGAGTTAGGGTTAGTGTTGGAGCTAGGGTTAGGGTTGGGCTTGGAGCTAGGATTTTTCTGAGTGCAATGAACCAACTCCCGAGTCTCTAGGACGTTCCTAAAAAAATTTGATTTTTTCCCATAGGAATGCATGGGTTAGGGTTAGGGTTAGGGTTGGAGCTAGGGTTAGGGTTAGGGTTAGGGTTGAAGTTAGGGTTAGTGTTGGAGCTAGGGTTAGGGTTGGGCTTGGAGCTAGGATTTTTCTGAGTGCACTGAACCAACTCCCGAGTCTCTAGGACATTCCTAAAAAAATTTGATTTTTTCCCATAGGAATGCATGGGTTAGGGTTATGGTTAGGGTTAGGGTTGGAGCTAGGGTTAGGGTTAGGGTTAGGGTTGGAGTTAGGGTTAGTGTTGGAGCTAGGGTTAGGGTTGGGCTTGGAGCTAGGATTTTTCTGAGTGCACTGAACCAACTCCCGAGTCTCTAGGACATTCCTAAAAAAATTTAATTTTTTTCCCATAGGAATGCATGGGTTAGGGTTATGGTTAGGGTTAGGGTTGGAGCTAGGGTTAGGGTTAGGGTTAGGGTTGGAGTTAGGGTTAGTGTTGGAGCTAGGGTTAGGGTTGGGCTTGGAGCTAGGATTTTTCTGAGTACAATGAACCAACTCCCGAGTCTCTTGGACGTTCCTAAAAAAATTTGATTTTTTCCCATAGGAATGCATGGGTTAGGGTTAGGGTTAGGGTTGGAGCTAGGGTTAGGGTTAGGGTTAGGGTTGGAGTTAGGGTTAGTGTTGGAGCTAGGGTTAGGGTTGGGCTTGGAGCTAGGATTTTTCTGAGTGCACTGAACCAACTCCCGAGTCTCTAGGACATTCCTAAAAAAATTTGATTTTTTCCCATAGGAATGCATGGGTTAGGGTTATGGTTAGGGTTAGGGTTGGAGCTAGGGTTAGGGTTAGGCTTAGGGTTGGAGTTAGGGTTAGTGTTGGAGCTAGGGTTAGGGTTGGGCTTGGAGCTAGGATTTTTCTGAGTGCACTGAACCAACTCCCGAGTCTCTAGGACATTCCTAAAAAAAATTGATTTTTTTCCCATAGGAATGCATGGGTTAGGGTTATGGTTAGGGTTAGGGCTGGAGCTAGGGTTAGGGTTAGGGTTAGGGTTGGAGTTAGGGTTAGTGTTGGAGCTAGGGTTAGGGTTGGGCTTGGAGCTAGGACTTTTCTGAGTGCAATGAACCAACTCCCGAGTCTCTTGGACGTTCCTAAAAAAATTTGATTTTTTCCCATAGGAATGCATGGGTTAGGGTTAGGGTTAGGGTTGGAGCTAGGGTTAGGGTTAGGGTTAGGGTTGGAGTTAGGGTTAGTGTTGGAGCTAGGGTTAGGGTTGGGCTTGGAGCTAGGACTTTTCTGAGTGCAATGAACCAACTCCCGAGTCTCTTGGACGTTCCCTAAAAAAAATTGATTTTTTCCCATAGGAATGCATGGGTTAGGGTTAGGGTTAGGGTTGGAGCTAGGGTTAGGGTTAGGGTTAGGGTTGGAGTTAGGGTTAGTGTTGGAGCTAGGGTTAGGGTTGGGCTTGGAGCTAGGATTTTTCTGAGTGCAATGAACCAACTCCCGAGTCTCTAGGACGTTCCTAAAAAAATTTGATTTTTTCCCATAGGAATGCATGGGTTAGGGTTAGGGTTAGGGTTGGAGCTAGGGTTAGGGTTAGGGTTAGGGTTGGAGTTAGGGTTAGTGTTGGAGCTAGGGTTAGGGTTGGGCTTGGAGCTAGGATTTTTCTGAGTGCACTGAACCAACTCCCGAGTCTCTAGTACATTCCTAAAAAAATTTGTTTTTTTCCCATAGGAATGCATGGGTTAGGGTTATGGTTAGGGTTAGGGTTGGAGCTAGGGTTAGGGTTAGGGTTAGGGTTGGAGTTAGGGTTAGTGTTGGAGCTAGGGTTAGGGTTGGGCTTGGAGCTAGGACTTTTCTGAGTGCAATGAACCAACTCCCGAGTCTCTAGGACGTTCCTAAAAAAATTTGATTTTTTCCCATAGGAATGCATGGGTTAGGGTTAGGGTTAGGGTTGGAGCTAGGGTTAGGGTTAGGGTTAGGGTTGGAGTTAGGGTTAGTGTTGGAGCTAGGGTTAGGGTTGGGCTTGGAGCTAGGATTTTTCTGAGTGCACTGAACCAACTCCCGAGTCTCTAGGACATTCCTAAAAAAATTTGATTTTTTTCCCATAGGAATGCATGGGTTAGGGTTAGGGTTAGGGTTAGGGTTAGGGTTGGAGCTAGGGTTAGGGTTAGGGTTAGGGTTGGAGTTAGGGTTAGTGTTGGAGCTAGGGTTAGGGTTGGGCTTGGAGCTAGGATTTTTCTGAGTGCACTGAACCAACTCCCGAGTCTCTAGGACATTCCTAAAAAAATTTGATTTTTTCCAATAGGAATGCATGGTTTAGGGTTATGGTTAGGGTTAGGGTTGGAGCTAGGGTTAGGGTTAGGGTTAGGGTTGGAGTTAGGGTTAGTGTTGGAGCTAGGGTTAGGGTTGGGCTTGGAGCTAGGACTTTTCTGAGTGCAATGAACCAACTCCCGAGTCTCTAGGATGTTCCCTAAAAAAATTTGATTTTTTCCCATAGGAATGCATGGGTTAGGGTTATGGTTAGGGTTAGGGTTGGAGCTAGGGTTAGGGTTAGGGTTAGGGTTGGAGTTAGGGTTAGTGTTGGAGCTAGGGTTAGGGTTGGGCTTGGAGCTAGGATTTTTCCGAGTGCACTGAACCAACTCCCGAGTCTCTAGGACATTCCTAAAAAAATTTGATTTTTTCCCATAGGAATGCATGGGTTAGGGTTATGGTTAGGGTTAGGGTTGGAGCTAGGGTTAGGGTTAGGGTTAGGGTTGGAGTTAGGGTTAGTGTTGGAGCTAGGGTTAGGGTTGGGCTTGGAGCTAGGACTTTTCTGAGTGCAATGAACCAACTCCCGAGTCTCTAGGACGTTCCCTAAAAAAAATTGATTTTTTCCCATAGGAATGCATGGGTTAGGGTTAGGGTTAGTGTTGGAGCTAGGGTTAGGGTTGGGCTTGGAGCTAGGATTTTTCTGAGTGCACTGAACCAACTCCCGAGTCTCTAGGACATTCCTAAAAAAATTTGATTTTTTCCCATAGGAATGCATGGGTTAGGGTTAGGGTTAGGGTTGGAGCTAGGGTTAGGGTCAGGGTTAGGGTTGGAGTTAGGGTTAGTGTTGGAGCTAGGGTTAGGGTTGGGCTTGGAGCTAGGATTTTTCTGAGTGCACTGAACCAACTCCCGAGTCTCTAGGACATTCCTAAAAAAATTTGATTTTTTTTCCCATAGGAATGCATGGGTTAGGGTTATGGTTAGGGTTAGGGTTGGAGCTAGGGTTAGGGTTAGGGTTAGGGTTGGAGTTAGGGTTAGTGTTGGAGCTAGGGTTAGGGTTGGGCTTGGAGCTAGGATTTTTCTGAGTGCAATGAACCAACTCCCGAGTCTCTAGGACATTCCTAAAAAAATTTGATTTTTTCCCATAGGAATGCATGGTTTAGGGTTAGGGTTAGGGTTGGAGCTAGGGTTAGGGTTAGGGTTAGGGTTGGAGTTAGGGTTAGTGTTGGAGCTAGGGTTAGGGTTGGGCTTGGAGCTAGGATTTTTCTGAGTGGAATGAACCAACTCCCGAGTCTCTAGGACGTTCCTAAAAAAATTGATTTTTTCCCATAGGAATGCATGGGTTAGGGTTAGGGTTAGGGTTGGAGCTAGGGTTAGGGTTAGGGTTGGAGTTAGGGTTAGTGTTGGAGCTAGGGTTAGGGTTGGGCTTGGAGCTAGGATTTTTCTGAGTGCACTGAACCAACTCCCGAGTCTCTAGGACATTCCTAAAAAAATTTGATTTTTTCCCATAGGAATGCATGGTTTAGGGTTATGGTTAGGGTTAGGGTTGGAGCTAGGGTTAGGGTTAGGGTTAGGGTTGGAGTTAGGGTTAGTGTTGGAGCTAGGGTTAGGGTTGGGCTTGGAGCTAGGACTTTTCTGAGTGCAATGAACCAACTCCCGAGTCTCTAGGACGTTCCCTAAAAAAATTTAATTTTTTCCCATAGGAATGCATGGGTTAGGGTTAGGGTTAGGGTTGGAGCTAGGGTTAGGGTTAGGGTTAGGGTTGGAGTTAGGGTTAGTGTTGGAGCTAGGGTTAGGGTTGGGCTTGGAGCTAGGATTTTTCTGAGTGCACTGAACCAACTCCCGAGTCTCTAGGACATTCCTAAAAAAAATTGATTTTTTTCCCATAGGAATGCATGGGTTAGGGTTATGGTTAGGGTTAGGGTTGGAGCTAGGGTTAGGGTTAGGGTTAGGGTTGGAGTTAGGGTTAGTGTTGGAGCTAGGGTTAGGGTTGGGCTTGGAGCTAGGATTTTTCTGAGTGCAATGAACCAACTCCCGAGTCTCTTGGACGTTCCTAAAAAAATTGATTTTTTCCCATAGGAATGCATGGGTTAGGGTTAGGGTTAGGGTTGGAGCTAGGGTTAGGGTTAGGGTCAGGGTTGGAGTTAGGGTTAGTGTTGGAGCTAGGGTTAGGGTTGGGCTTGGAGCTAGGATTTTTCTGAGTGCAATGAACCAACTCCCGAGTCTCTTGGACGTTCCTAAAAAAATTTGATTTTTTCCCATAGGAATGCATGGGTTAGGGTTATGGTTAGGGTTGGAGCTAGGGTTAGGGTTAGGGTTAGGGTTGGAGTTAGGGTTAGTGTTGGAGCTAGGGTTAGGGTTGGGCTTGGAGCTAGGATTTTTCTGAGTGCACTGAACCAACTCCCGAGTCTCTAGGACATTCCTAAAAAAATTTGATTTTTTCCCATAGGAATGCATGGGTTAGGGTTATGGTTAGGGTTAGGGTTGGAGCTAGGGTTAGGGTTAGGGTTAGGGTTGGAGTTAGGGTTAGTGTTGGAGCTAGGGTTAGGGTTGGGCTTGGAGCTAGGACTTTTCTGAGTGCAATGAACCAACTCCCGAGTCTCTAGGACGTTCCCTAAAAAAATTGATTTTTTCCCATAGGAATGCATGGGTTAGGGTTAGGGTTAGGGTTGGAGCTAGGGTTAGGGTTAGGGTTAGGGTTGGAGTTAGGGTTAGTGTTGGAGCTAGGGTTAGGGTTGGGCTTGGAGCTAGGATTTTTCTGAGTGCACTGAACCAACTCCCGAGTCTCTAGGACATTCCTAAAAAAATTTGATTTTTTCCCATAGGAATGCATGGGTTAGGGTTATGGTTAGGGTTAGGGTTGGAGCTAGGGTTAGGGTTAGGGTTAGGGTTGGAGTTAGGGTTAGTGTTGGAGCTAGGGTTAGGGTTGGGCTTGGAGCTAGGATTTTTCTGAGTGCACTGAACCAACTCCCGAGTCTCTAGGACATTCCTAAAAAAATTTGATTTTTTTCCCATAGGAATGCATGGGTTAGGGTAATGGTTAGGGTTAGGGTTGGAGCTAGGGTTAGGGTTAGGGTTAGGGTTGGAGTTAGGGTTAGTGTTGGAGCTAGGGTTAGGGTTGGGCTTGGAGCTAGGATTTTTCTGAGTGCACTGAACCAACTCCCGAGTCTCTAGGACATTCCTAAAAAATTTTGATTTTTTCCCATAGGAATGCATGGGTTAGGGTTAGGGTTAGGGTTGGAGCTAGGGTTAGGGTTAGGGTTAGGTTTGGAGTTAGGGTTAGTGTTGGAGCTAGGGTTAGGGTTGGGCTTAGGGTTAGGGTTAGGGTTGGAGTTAGGGTTAGTGTTGGAGCTAGGGTTAGGGTTGGGCTTGGAGCTAGGATTTTTCTGAGTGCACTGAACCAACTCCCGAGTCTCTAGGACATTCCTAAAAAAATTTGATTTTTTCCCATAGGAATGCATGGGTTAGGGTTAGGGTTAGGGTTGGAGCTAGGGTTAGGGTTAGGGTTAGGGTTGGAGTTAGGGTTAGTGTTGGAGCTAGGGTTAGGGTTGGGCTTGGAGCTAGGATTTTTCTGAGTGCACTGAACCAACTCCCGAGTCTCTAGGACATTCCTAAAAAAATTTGATTTTTTCCCATAGGAATGCATGGGTTAGGGTTATGGTTAGGGTTAGTGTTGGAGCTAGGGTTAGGGTTGGGCTTGGAGCTAGGATTTTTCTGAGTGCAATGAACCAACTCCCGAGTCTCTTGGACGTTCCTAAAAAAATTTGATTTTTTCCCATAGGAATGCATGGGTTAGGGTTAGGGTTAGGGTTGGAGCTAGGGTTAGGGTTAGGGTTAGGGTTGGAGTTAGGGTTAGTGTTGGAGCTAGGGTTAGGGTTGGGCTTGGAGCTAGGATTTTTCTGAGTGCAATGAACCAACTCCTGAGTCTCTAGGACGTTCCTAAAAAAATTTGATTTTTTCCCATAGGAATGCATGGGTTAGGGTTAGGGTTAGGGTTGGAGCTAGGGTTTTTCCCATAGGAATGCATGGGTTAGGGTTAGGGTTAGGGTTGGAGCTAGGGTTAGGGTTAGGGTTAGGGTTGGAGTTAGGGTTAGTGTTGGAGCTAGGGTTAGGGTTGGGCTTGGAGCTAGGATTTTTCCGAGTGCAATGAACCAACTCCCGAGTCTCTAGGACGTTCCTAAAAAAATTTGATTTTTTCCCATAGGAATGCATGGGTTAGGGTTAGGGTTAGGGTTGGAGCTAGGGTTAGGGTTAGGGTTAGGGTTGGAGCTAGGGTTAGGGTTAGGGTTAGGGTTGGAGTTAGGGTTAGTGTTGGAGCTAGGGTTAGGGTTGGGCTTGGAGCTAGGATTTTTCTGAGTGCAATGAACCAACTCCCGAGTCTCTAGGACGTTCCTAAAAAAATTTGATTTTTCCCATAGGAATGCATGGGTTAGGGTTAGGGTTAGGGTTGGAGCTAGGGTTAGGGTTAGGGTTAGGGTTGGAGTTAGGGTTAGTGTTGGAGCTAGGGTTAGGGTTGGGCTTGGAGCTAGGATTTTTCTGAGTGCAATGAACCAACTCCCGAGTCTCTAGGACGTTCCTAAAAAAATTTGATTTTTTTCCCATAGGAATGCATGGGTTAGGGTTAGGGTTAGGGTTGGAGCTAGGGTTAGGGTTAGGGTTAGGGTTGGAGTTAGGGTTAGTGTTGGAGCTAGGGTTAGGGTTGGGCTTGGAGCTAGGATTTTTCTGAGTGCAATGAACCAACTCCCGAGTCTCTAGGACTTCCTAAAAAAATTTGATTTTTTCCCATAGGAATGCATGGGTTAGGGTTAGGGTTAGGGTTGGAGCTAGGGTTAGGGTTAGGGTTAGGGTTGGAGTTAGGGTTAGTGTTGGAGCTAGGGTTAGGGTTGGGCTTGGAGCTAGGATTTTTCTGAGTGCAATGAACCAACTCCCGAGTCTCTAGGACGTTCCTAAAAAAATTTGATTTTTTCCCATAGGAATGCATGGGTTAGGGTTAGGGTTAGGGTTAGGGTTGGAGCTAGGGTTAGGGTTAGGGTCAGGGTTGGAGTTAGGGTTAGTGTTGGAGCTAGGGTTAGGGTTGGGCTTGGAGCTAGGATTTTTCTGAGTGCAATGAACCAACTCCCGAGTCTCTAGGACGTTCCTAAAAAAAATTGTTTTTTTCCCATAGGAATGCATGGGTTAGGGTTAGGGTTAGGGTTGGAGCTAGGGTTAGGGTTAGGGTTAGGGTTGGAGTTAGGGTTAGTGTTGGAGCTAGGGTTAGGGTTGGGCTTGGAGCTAGGATTTTTCTGAGTGCAATGAACCAACTCCCGAGTCTCTAGGACGTTCCTAAAAAAATTGATTTTTTCCCATAGGAATGCATGGGTTAGGGTTAGGGTTAGGGTTGGAGCTAGGGTTAGGGTTAGGGTTAGAGTTAGGGTTAGTGTTGGAGCTAGAGTTAGGGTTGGGCTTGGAGCTAGGATTTTTCTGAGTGCAATGAACCAACTCCCGAGTCTCTAGGACGTTCCTAAAAAAATTTGATTCTTTCCCATAGGAATGCATGGGTTAGGGTTAGGGTTAGAGTTAGGGTTAGTGTTGGAGCTAGGGTTAGGGTTGGGCTTGGAGCTAGGATTTTTCTGAGTGCAATGAACCAACTCCCGAGTCTCTAGGACGTTCCTAAAAAAATTTGATTTTTTCCCATAGGAATGCATGGGTAAGGGTTAGGGTTAGGGTTGGAGCTAGGGTTAGGGTTAGGGTTAGGGTTGTAGTAAGGGTTAGTGTTGGAGCTAGGGTTAGGGTTGGGCTTGGAGCTAGGATTTTTCTGAGTGCAATGAACCAACTCCCGAGTCTCTAGGACGATCCTAAAAATTTTTGATTTCTTCCCATAGGAATGCATGGGTTAGGGTTAGGGTTAGGGTTGGAGCTAGGGTTAGGGTTAGGGTTAGGGTTGGAGTTAGGGTTAGTGTTGGAGCTAGGGTTAGGGTTGGGCTTGGAGCTAGGATTTTTCTGAGTGCACTGAACCAACTCCCGAGTCTCTAGGACATTCCTAAAAAAATTTGATTTTTTCCCATAGGAATGCATGGGTTAGGGTTAGGGTTAGGGTTAGGGTTGGAGCTAGGGTTAGGGTTAGGGTTAGGGTTGGAGTTAGGGTTAGTGTTGGAGCTAGGGTTAGGGTTGGGCTTGGAGCTAGGATTTTTCTGAGTGCACTGAACCAACTCCCGAGTCTCTAGGACATTCCTAAAAAAAATTGATTTTTTTCCCATAGGAATGCATGGGTTAGGGTTATGGTTAGGGTTAGGGTTGGAGCTAGGGTTAGGGTTAGGGTTAGGGTTGGAGTTAGGGTTAGTGTTGGAGCTAGGGTTAGGGTTGGGCTTGGAGCTAGGACTTTTCTGAGTGCAATGAACCAACTCCCGAGTCTCTTGGACGTTCCTAAAAAAATTTGATTTTTTCCCATAGGAATGCATGGGTTAGGGTTAGGGTTAGGGTTGGAGCTAGGGTTAGGGTTAGGGTTAGGGTTGGAGTTAGGGTTAGTGTTGGAGCTAGGGTTAGGGTTGGGCTTGGAGCTAGGATTTTTCTGAGTGCAATGAACCAACTCCCGAGTCTCTAGGACGTTCCTAAAAAAATTTGATTTTTTCCCATAGGAATGCATGGGTTAGGGTTAGGGTTAGGGTTGGAGCTAGGGTTAGGGTTAGGGTTAGGGTTGGAGTTAGGGTTAGTGTTGGAGCTAGGGTTAGGGTTGGGCTTGGAGCTAGGATTTTTCTGAATGCACTGAACCAACTCCCGAGTCTCTAGGACATTCCTAAAAAAAATTGATTTTTTCCCATAGGAATGCATGGGTTAGGGTTATGGTTAGGGTTAGGGTTGGAGCTAGGGTTAGGGTTAGGGTTAGGGTTGGAGTTAGGGTTAGTGTTGGAGCTAGGGTTAGGGTTGGGCTTGGAGCTAGGATTTTTCTGAGTGCACTGAACCAACTCCCGAGTCTCTAGGACATTCCTAAAAAAAATTTATTTTTTCCCATAGGAATGCATGGGTTAGGGTTAGGGTTAGGGTTGGAGCTAGGGTTAGGGTTAGGGTTAGGGTTGGAGTTAGGGTTAGTGTTGGAGCTAGGGTTAGGGTTGGGCTTGGAGCTAGGATTTTTCTGAGTGCACTGAACCAACTCCCGAGTCTCTAGGACATTCCTAAAAAAATTGATTTTTTTCCCATAGGAATGCATGGGTTAGGGTTATGGTTAGGGTTAGGGTTGGAGCTAGGGTTAGGGTTAGGGTTAGGGTTGGAGTTAGGGTTAGTGTTGGAGCTAGGGTTAGGGTTGGGCTTGGAGCTAGGATTTTTCTGAGTACAATGAACCAACTCCCGAGTCTCTTGGACGTTCCTAAAAAAATTTGATTTTTTCCCATAGGAATGCATGGGTTAGGGTTAGGGTTAGGGTTGGAGCTAGGGTTAGGGTTAGGGTTAGGGTTGGAGTTAGGGTTAGTGTTGGAGCTAGGGTTAGGGTTGGGCTTGGAGCTAGGATTTTTCTGAGTGCACTGAACCAACTCCCGAGTCTCTAGGACATTCCTAAAAAAATTTGATTTTTTCCCATAGGAATGCATGGGTTAGGGTTATGGTTAGGGTTAGGGTTGGAGCTAGGGTTAGGGTTAGGGTTAGGGTTGGAGTTAGGGTTAGTGTTGGAGCTAGGGTTAGGGTTGGGCTTGGAGCTAGGATTTTTCTGAGTGCACTGAACCAACTCCCGAGTCTCTAGGACATTCCTAAAAAAAATTGATTTTTTTCCCATAGGAATGCATGGGTTAGGGTTATGGTTAGGGTTAGGGTTGGAGCTAGGGTTAGGGTTAGGGTTAGGGTTAGGGTTAGAGTTAGGGTTAGTGTTGGAGCTAGGGTTAGGGTTGGGCTTGGAGCTAGGACTTTTCTGAGTGCAATGAACCAACTCCCGAGTCTCTTGGACGTTCCTAAAAAAATTTGATTTTTTCCCATAGGAATGCATGGGTTAGGGTTAGGGTTAGGGTTGGAGCTAGGGTTAGGGTTAGGGTTAGGGTTGGAGTTAGGGTTAGTGTTGGATCTAGGGTTAGGGTTGGGCTTGGAGCTAGGACTTTTCTGAGTGCAATGAACCAACTCCCGAGTCTCTTGGACGTTCCCTAAAAAAAATTGATTTTTTCCCATAGGAATGCATGGGTTAGGGTTAGGGTTAGGGTTGGAGCTAGGGTTAGGGTTAGGGTAAGGGTTGGAGTTAGGGTTAGTGTTGGAGCTAGGGTTAGGGTTGGGCTTGGAGCTAGGATTTTTCTGAGTGCAATGAACCAACTCCCGAGTCTCTAGGACGTTCCTAAAAAAAATTGATTTTTTCCCATAGGAATGCATGGGTTAGGGTTATGGTTAGGGTTAGGGTTGGAGCTAGGGTTAGGGTTAGGGTTAGGGTTGGAGTTAGGGTTAGTGTTGGAGCTAGGGTTAGGGTTGGGCTTGGAGCTAGGATTTTTCTGAGTGCACTGAACCAACTCCCGAGTCTCTAGGACATTCCTAAAAAAAATTGATTTTTTTCCCATAGGAATGCATGGGTTAGGGTTATGGTTAGGGTTAGGGTTGGAGCTAGGGTTAGGGTTAGGGTTAGGGTTGGAGTTAGGGTTAGTGTTGGAGCTAGGGTTAGGGTTGGGCTTGGAGCTAGGACTTTTCTGAGTGCAATGAACCAACTCCCGAGTCTCTTGGACGTTCCTAAAAAAATTTGATTTTTTCCCATAGGAATGCATGGGTTAGGGTTAGGGTTAGGGTTGGAGCTAGGGTTAGGGTTAGGGTTAGGGTTGGAGTTAGGGTTAGTGTTGGAGCTAGGGTTAGGGTTGGGCTTGGAGCTAGGATTTTTCTGAGTGCACTGAACCAACTCCCGAGTCTCTAGGACGTTCCTAAAAAAATTTGATTTTTTCCCATAGGAATGCATGGGTTAGGGTTAGGGTTAGGGTTGGAGCTAGGGTTAGGGTTAGGGTTAGGGTTGGAGTTAGGGTTAGTGTTGGAGCTAGGGTTAGGGTTGGGCTTGGAGCTAGGATTTTTCTGAGTGCACTGAACCAACTCCCGAGTCTCTAGGACATTCCTAAAAAAAATTGATTTTTTCCCATAGGAATGCATGGGTTAGGGTTATGGTTAGGGTTAGGGTTGGAGCTAGGGTTAGGGTTAGGGTTAGGGTTGGAGTTAGGGTTAGTGTTGGAGCTAGGGTTAGGGTTGGGCTTGGAGCTAGGATTTTTCTGAGTGCACTGAACCAACTCCCGAGTCTCTAGGACATTCCTAAAAAAATTTGATTTTTTTCCCATAGGAATGCATGGGTTAGGGTTATGGTTAGGGTTAGGGTTGGAGCTAGGGTTAGGGTTAGGGTTGGAGTTAGGGTTAGTGTTGGAGCTAGGGTTAGGGTTGGGCTTGGAGCTAGGATTTTTCTGAGTGCAATGAACCAACTCCCGAGTCTCTTGGACGTTCCTAAAAAAATTTTATTTTTTCCCATAGGAATGCATGGGTTAGGGTTAGGGTTAGGGTTGGAGCTAGGGTTAGGGTTAGGGTTAGGGTTGGAGTTAGGGTTAGTGTTGGAGCTAGGGTTAGGGTTGGGCTTGGAGCTAGGATTTTTCTGAGTGCAATGAACCAACTCCCGAGTCTCTAGGACGTTTCTAAAAAAATTTGATTTTTTCCCATAGGAATGCATGGGTTAGGGTTAGGGTTAGGGTTGGAGCTAGGGTTAGGGTTAGGGTTAGGGTTGGAGTTAGGGTTAGTGTTGGAGCTAGGGTTAGGGTTGGGCTTGGAGCTAGGATTTTTCTGAGTGCACTGAACCAACTCCCGAGTCTCTAGGACATTCCTAAAAAAATTTGATTTTTTCCCATAGGAATGCATGGGTTAGGGTTATGGTTAGGGTTAGGGTTGGAGCTAGGGTTAGGGTTAGGGTTGGAGTTAGGGTTAGTGTTGGAGCTAGGGTTAGGGTTGGGCTTGGAGCTAGGACTTTTCTGAGTGCAATGAACCAACTCCTGAGTCTCTTGGACGTTCCTAAAAAAATTTGATTTTTTCCCATAGGAATGCATGGGTTATGGTTAGGGTTAGGGTTGGAGCTAGGGTTAGGGTTAGGGTTAGGGTTGGAGTTAGGGTTAGTGTTGGAGCTAGGGTTAGGGTTGGGCTTGGAGCTAGGATTTTTCTGAGTGCAATGAACCAACTCCCGAGTCTCTAGGACGTTCCTAAAAAAATTTGATTTTTTCCCATAGGAATGCATGGGTTAGGGTTAGGGTTAGGGTTGGAGCTAGGGTTAGGGTTAGGGTTAGGGTTGGAGTTAGGGTTAGTGTTGGAGCTAGGGTTAGGGTTGGGCTTGGAGCTAGGATTTTTCTGAGTGCACTGAACCAACTCCCGAGTCTCTAGGACATTCCTAAAAAAATTTGATTTTTTCCCATAGGAATGCATGGGTTAGGGTTATGGTTAGGGTTAGGGTTGGAGCTAGGGTTAGGGTTAGGGTTAGGGTTGGAGTTAGGGTTAGTGTTGGAGCTAGGGTTAGGGTTGGGCTTGGAGCTAGGATTTTTCTGAGTGCACTGAACCAACTCCCGAGTCTCTAGGACATTCCTAAAAAAATTTAATTTTTTTCCCATAGGAATGCATGGGTTAGGGTTATGGTTAGGGTTAGGGTTGGAGCTAGGGTTAGGGTTAGGGTTAGGGTTGGAGTTAGGGTTAGTGTTGGAGCTAGGGTTAGGGTTGGGCTTGGAGCTAGGATTTTTCTGAGTACAATGAACCAACTCCCGAGTCTCTTGGACGTTCCTAAAAAAATTAGATTTTTTCCCATAGGAATGCATGGGTTAGGGTTAGGGTTAGGGTTGGAGCTAGGGTTAGGGTTAGGGTTAGGGTTGGAGTTAGGGTTAGTGTTGGAGCTAGGGTTAGGGTTGGGCTTGGAGTTAGGATTTTTCTGAGTGCACTGAACCAACTCCCGAGTCTCTAGGACATTCCTAAAAAAAATTGATTTTTTTCCCATAGGAATGCATGGGTTAGGGTTATGGTTAGGGTTAGGGTTGGAGCTAGGGTTAGGGTTAGGGTTAGGGTTGGAGTTAGGGTTAGTGTTGGAGCTAGGGTTAGGGTTGGGCTTGGAGCTAGGACTTTTCTGAGTGTAATGAACCAACTCCCGAGTCTCTTGGACGTTCCTAAAAAAATTTGATTTTTTCCCATAGGAATGCATGGGTTAGGGTTATGGTTAGGGTTGGAGCTAGGGTTAGGGTTAGGGTTGGAGTTAGGGTTAGTGTTGGAGCTAGGGTTAGGGTTGGGCTTGGAGCTAGGACTTTTCTGAGTGCAATGAACCAACTCCCGAGTCTCTTGGACGTTCCCTAAAAAAAATTGATTTTTTCCCATAGGAATGCATGGGTTAGGGTTAGGGTTAGGGTTGGAGCTGGGTTAGGGTTAGGGTTAGGGTTGGAGTTAGGGTTAGTGTTGGAGCTAGGGTTAGGGTTGGGCTTGGAGCTAGGATTTTTCTGAGTGCAATGAACCAACTCCCGAGTCTCTAGGACGTTCCTAAAAAAATTTGATTTTTTCCCATAGGAATGCATGGGTTAGGGTTAGGGTTAGGGTTGGAGCTAGGGTTAGGGTTAGGGTTAGGGTTGGAGTTAGGGTTAGTGTTGGAGCTAGGGTTAGGGTTGGGCTTGGAGCTAGGATTTTTCTGAGTGCACTGAACCAACTCCCGAGTCTCTAGGACATTCCTAAAAAAATTTGATTTTTTCCCATAGGAATGCATGGGTTAGGGTTATGGTTAGGGTTAGGGTTGGAGCTAGGGTTAGGGTTAGGGTTAGGGTTGGAGTTAGGGTTAGTGTTGGAGCTAGGGTTAGGGTTGGGCTTGGAGCTAGGACTTTTCTGAGTGCAATGAACCAACTCCCGAGTCTCTAGGACGTTCCTAAAAAAATTTGATTTTTTCCCATAGGAATGCATGGGTTAGGGTTAGGGTTAGGGTTGGAGCTAGGGTTAGGGTTAGGGTTAGGGTTGGAGTTAGGGTTAGTGTTGGAGCTAGGGTTAGGGTTGGGCTTGGAGCTAGGATTTTTCTGAGTGCACTGAACCAACTCCCGAGTCTCTAGGACATTCCTAAAAAAATTTGATTTTTTTCCCATAGGAATGCATGGGTTAGGGTTAGGGTTAGGGTTAGGGTTGGAGCTAGGGTTAGGGTTAGGGTTAGGGTTGGAGTTAGGGTTAGTGTTGGAGCTAGGGTTAGGGTTGGGCTTGGAGCTAGGATTTTTCTGAGTGCACTGAACCAACTCCCGAGTCTCTAGGACATTCCTAAAAAAATTTGATTTTTTCCAATAGGAATGCATGGTTTAGGGTTATGGTTAGGGTTAGGGTTGGAGCTAGGGTTAGGGTTAGGGTTAGGGTTGGAGTTAGGGTTAGTGTTGGAGCTAGGGTTAGGGTTGGGCTTGGAGCTAGGACTTTTCTGAGTGCAATGAACCAACTCCCGAGTCTCTGGGATGTTCCCTTAAAAAATTTGATTTTTTCCCATAGGAATGCATGGGTTAGGGTTATGGTTAGGGTTAGGGTTGGAGCTAGGGTTAGGGTTAGGGTTAGGGTTGGAGTTAGGGTTAGTGTTGGAGCTAGGGTTAGGGTTGGGCTTGGAGCTAGGATTTTTCCGAGTGCACTGAACCAACTCCCGAGTCTCTAGGACATTCCTAAAAAAATTTGATTTTTTCCCATAGGAATGCATGGGTTAGGGTTATGGTTAGGGTTAGGGTTGGAGCTAGGGTTAGGGTTAGGGTTAGGGTTGGAGTTAGGGTTAGTGTTGGAGCTAGGGTTAGGGTTGGGCTTGGAGCTAGGACTTTTCTGAGTGCAATGAACCAACTCCCGAGTCTCTAGGACGTTCCCTAAAAAAAATTGATTTTTTCCCATAGGAATGCATGGGTTAGGGTTAGGGTTAGGGTTGGAGCTAGGGTTAGGGTTGGGCTTGGAGCTAGGATTTTTCTGAGTGCACTGAACCAACTCCCGAGTCTCTAGGACATTCCTAAAAAAATTTGATTTTTTCCCATAGGAATGCATGGGTTAGGGTTAGGGTTAGGGTTGGAGCTAGGGTTAGGGTTAGGGTTAGGGTTGGAGTTAGGGTTAGTGTTGGAGCTAGGGTTAGGGTTGGGCTTGGAGCTAGGATTTTTCTGAGTGCACTGAACCAACTCCCGAGTCTCTAGGACATTCCTAAAAAAATTTGATTTTTTTTCCCATAGGAATGCATGGGTTAGGGTTATGGTTAGGGTTAGGGTTGGAGCTAGGGTTAGGGTTAGGGTTAGGGTTGGAGTTAGGGTTAGTGTTGGAGCTAGGGTTAGGGTTGGGCTTGGAGCTAGGATTTTTCTGAGTGCAATGAACCAACTCCCGAGTCTCTTGGACGTTCCTAAAAAAATTTGATTTTTTCCCATAGGAATGCATGGTTTAGGGTTAGGGTTAGGGTTGGAGCTAGGGTTAGGGTTAGGGTTAGGGTTGGAGTTAGGGTTAGTGTTGGAGCTAGGGTTAGGGTTGGGCTTGGAGCTAGGATTTTTCTGAGTGGAATGAACCAACTCCCGAGTCTCTAGGACGTTCCTAAAAAAATTTGATTTTTTCCCATAGGAATGCATGGGTTAGGGTTAGGGTTAGGGTTGGAGCTAGGGTTAGGGTTAGGGTTGGAGTTAGGGTTAGTGTTGGAGCTAGGGTTAGGGTTGGGCTTGGAGCTAGGATTTTTCTGAGTGCACTGAACCAACTCCCGAGTCTCTAGGACATTCCTAAAAAAATTTGATTTTTTCCCATAGGAATGCATGGTTTAGGGTTATGGTTAGGGTTAGGGTTGGAGCTAGGGTTAGGGTTAGGGTTAGGGTTGGAGTTAGGGTTAGTGTTGGAGCTAGGGTTAGGGTTGGGCTTGGAGCTAGGACTTTTCTGAGTGCAATGAACCAACTCCCGAGTCTCTAGGACGTTCCCTAAAAAAATTTAATTTTTTCCCATAGGAATGCATGGGTTAGGGTTAGGGTTAGGGTTGGAGCTAGGGTTAGGGTTAGGGTTAGGGTTGGAGTTAGGGTTAGTGTTGGAGCTAGGGTTAGGGTTGGGCTTGGAGCTAGGATTTTTCTGAGTGCACTGAACCAACTCCCGAGTCTCTAGGACATTCCTAAAAAAATTGATTTTTTTCCCATAGGAATGCATGGGTTAGGGTTATGGTTAGGGTTAGGGTTGGAGCTAGGGTTAGGGTTAGGGTTAGGGTTGGAGTTAGGGTTAGTGTTGGAGCTAGGGTTAGGGTTGGGCTTGGAGCTAGGATTTTTCTGAGTGCAATGAACCAACTCCCGAGTCTCTTGGACGTTCCTAAAAAAATTTGATTTTTTCCCATAGGAATGCATGGGTTAGGGTTAGGGTTAGGGTTGGAGCTAGGGTTAGGGTTAGGGTCAGGGTTGGAGTTAGGGTTAGTGTTGGAGCTAGGGTTAGGGTTGGGCTTGGAGCTAGGATTTTTCTGAGTGCAATGAACCAACTCCCGAGTCTCTAGGACGTTCCTAAAAAAATTTGATTTTTTCCCATAGGAATGCATGGGTTAGGGTTATGGTTAGGGTTGGAGCTAGGGTTAGGGTTAGGGTTAGGGTTGGAGTTAGGGTTAGTGTTGGAGCTAGGGTTAGGGTTGGGCTTGGAGCTAGGATTTTTCTGAGTGCACTGAACCAACTCCCGAGTCTCTAGGACATTCCTAAAAAAATTTGATTTTTTCCCATAGGAATGCATGGGTTAGGGTTATGGTTAGGGTTAGGGTTGGAGCTAGGGTTAGGGTTAGGGTTAGGGTTGGAGTTAGGGTTAGTGTTGGAGCTAGGGTTAGGGTTGGGCTTGGAGCTAGGACTTTTCTGAGTGCAATGAACCAACTCCCGAGTCTCTAGGACGTTCCCTAAAAAAATTGATTTTTTCCCATAGGAATGCATGGGTTAGGGTTAGGGTTAGGGTTGGAGCTAGGGTTAGGGTTAGAGTTAGGGTTGGAGTTAGGGTTAGTGTTGGAGCTAGGGTTAGGGTTGGGCTTGGAGCTAGGATTTTTCTGAGTGCACTGAACCAACTCCCGAGTCTCTAGGACATTCCTAAAAAAATTTGATTTTTTCCCATAGGAATGCATGGGTTAGGGTTATGGTTAGGGTTAGGGTTGGAGCTAGGGTTAGGGTTAGGGTTAGGGTTGGAGTTAGGGTTAGTGTTGGAGCTAGGGTTAGGGTTGGGCTTGGAGCTAGGATTTTTCTGAGTGCACTGAACCAACTCCCGAGTCTCTAGGACATTCCTAAAAAAATTTGATTTTTTCCCATAGGAATGCATGGGTTAGGGTAATGGTTAGGGTTAGGGTTGGAGCTAGGGTTAGGGTTAGGGTTGGAGTTAGGGTTAGTGTTGGAGCTAGGGTTAGGGTTGGGCTTGGAGCTAGGATTTTTCTGAGTGCACTGAACCAACTCCCGAGTCTCTAGGACATTCCTAAAAAAATTTGATTTTTTCCCATAGGAATGCATGGGTTAGGGTTAGGGTTAGGGTTGGAGCTAGGGTTAGGGTTAGGGTTAGGTTTGGAGTTAGGGTTAGTGTTGGAGCTAGGGTTAGGGTTGGGCTTAGGGTTAGGGTTAGGGTTGGAGTTAGGGTTAGTGTTGGAGCTAGGGTTAGGGTTGGGCTTGGAGCTAGGATTTTTCTGAGTGCACTGAACCAACTCCCGAGTCTCTAGGACATTCCTAAAAAAATTTGATTTTTTCCCATAGGAATGCATGGGTTAGGGTTAGGGTTGGAGCTAGGGTTAGGGTTAGGGTTAGGGTTGGAGTTAGGGTTAGTGTTGGAGCTAGGGTTAGGGTTGGGCTTGGAGCTAGGATTTTTCTGAGTGCACTGAACCAACTCCCGAGTCTCTAGGACATTCCTAAAAAAATTTGATTTTTTTCCCATAGGAATGCATGGGTTAGGGTTATGGTTAGGGTTAGGGTTGGAGCTAGGGGTTAGGGTTAGGGTTAGGGTTGGAGTTAGGGTTAGTGTTGGAGCTAGGGTTAGGGTTGGGCTTGGAGCTAGGATTTTTCTGAGTGCAATGAACCAACTCCCGAGTCTCTTGGACGTTCCTAAAAAAATTTGATTTTTTCCCATAGGAATGCATGGGTTAGGGTTAGGGTTAGGGTTGGAGCTAGGGTTAGGGTTAGGGTTAGGGTTGGAGTTAGGGTTAGTGTTGGAGCTAGGGTTAGGGTTGGGCTTGGAGCTAGGATTTTTCTGAGTGCAATGAACCAACTCCCGAGTCTCTAGGACGTTCCTAAAAAAATTTGATTTTTTCCCATAGGAATGCATGGGTTAGGGTTAGGGTTAGGGTTGGAGCTAGGGTTTTTCCCATAGGAATGCATGGGTTAGGGTTAGGGTTAGGGTTGGAGCTAGGGTTAGGGTTAGGGTTAGGGTTGGAGTTAGGGTTAGTGTTGGAGCTAGGGTTAGGGTTGGGCTTGGAGCTAGGATTTTTCCGAGTGCAATGAACCAACTCCCGAGTCTCTAGGACGTTCCTAAAAAAATTTGATTTTTTCCCATAGGAATGCATGGGTTAGGGTTAGGGTTAGGGTTGGAGCTAGGGTTAGGGTTAGGGTTAGGGTTGTAGCTATGGGTTAGGGTTAGGGTTAGGGTTGGAGTTAGGGTTAGTGTTGGAGCTAGGGTTAGGGTTGGGCTTGGAGCTAGGATTTTTCTGAGTGCAATGAACCAACTCCCGAGTCTCTAGGACGTTCCTTAAAAAATTTGATTTTTCCCATAGGAATGCATGGGTTAGGGTTAGGGTTAGGGTTGGAGCTAGGGTTAGGGTTAGTGTTAGGGTTGGAGTTAGGGTTAGTGTTGGAGCTAGGGTTAGGGTTGGGCTTGGAGCTAGGATTTTTCTGAGTGCAATGAACCAACTCCCGAGTCTCTAGGACGTTCCTAAAAAAATTTGTTTTTTTCCCATAGGAATGCATGGGTTAGGGTTAGGGTTAGGGTTGGAGCTAGGGTTAGGGTTAGGGTTAGGGTTGGAGTTAGGGTTAGTGTTGGAGCTAGGGTTAGGGTTGGGCTTGGAACTAGGATTTTTCTGAGTGCAATGAACCAACTCCCGAGTCTCTAGGATGTTCCTAAAAAAATTTGATTTTTTCCCATAGGAATGCATGGGTTAGGGTTAGGGTTAGGGTTGGAGCTAGGGTTAGGGTTAGGGTTAGGGTTGGAGTTAGGGTTAGTGTTGGAGCTAGGGTTAGGGTTGGGCTTGGAGCTAGGATTTTTCTGAGTGCAATGAACCAACTCCCGAGTCTCTAGGACGTTCCTAAAAAAATTTGATTTTTTCCCATAGGAATGCATGGGTTAGGGTTAGGGTTAGGGTTAGGGTTGGAGCTAGGGTTAGGGTTAGGGTCAGGGTTGGAGTTAGGGTTAGTGTTGGAGCTAGGGTTAGGGTTGGGCTTGGAGCTAGGATTTTTCTGAGTGCAATGAACCAACTCCCGAGTCTCTAGGACGTTCCTAAAAAAATTGTTTTTTTCCCATAGGAATGCATGGGTTAGGGTTAGGGTTAGGGTTGGAGCTAGGGTTAGGGTTAGGGTTAGGGTTGGAGTTAGGGTTAGTGTTGGAGCTAGGGTTAGGGTTGGGCTTGGAGCTAGGATTTTTCTGAGTGCAATGAACCAACTCCCGAGTCTCTAGGACGTTCCTAAAAAAATTGATTTTTTCCCATAGGAATGCATGGGTTAGGGTTAGGGTTAGGGTTGGAGCTAGGGTTAGGGTTAGGGTTAGAGTTAGGGTTAGTGTTGGAGCTAGAGTTAGGGTTGGGCTTGGAGCTAGGATTTTTCTGAGTGCAATGAACCAACTCCCGAGTCTCTAGGACGTTCCTAAAAAAATTTGATTCTTTCCCATAGGAATGCATGGGTTAGGGTTAGGGTTAGGGTTGGAGCTAGGGTTAGGGTTAGGGTTAGAGTTAGGGTTAGTGTTGGAGCTAGGGTTAGGGTTGGGCTTGGAGCTAGGATTTTTCTGAGTGCAATGAACCAACTCCCGAGTCTCTAGGACGTTCCTAAAAAAATTTGATTTTTTCCCATAGGAATGCATGGGTAAGGGTTAGGGTTAGGGTTGGAGCTAGGGTTAGGGTTAGGGTTAGGGTTGGAGTAAGGGTTAGTGTTGGAGCTAGGGTTAGGGTTGGGCTTGGAGCTAGGATTTTTCTGAGTGCAATGAACCAACTCCCGAGTCTCTAGGACGATCCTAAAAATGTTTGATTTCTTCCCATAGGAATGCATGGGTTAGGGTTAGGGTTAGGGTTGGAGCTAGGGTTAGGGTTAGGGTTAGGGTTAGGGTTGGAGTTAGGGTTAGTGTTGGAGCTAGGGTTAGGGTTGGGCTTGGAGCTAGGATTTTTCTGAGTGCAATGAACCAACTCCCGAGTCTCTAGGACGTTCCTAAAAAATTTGATTTTTTCCCATAGGAATGCATGGGTTAGGGTTAGGGTTAGGGTTGGAGCTAGGGTTAGGGTTAGGGTTAGGGTTGGAGTTAGGGTTAGTGTTGGAGCTAGGGTTAGGGTTGGGCTTGGAGCTAGGATTTTTCTGAGTGCAATGAACCAACTCCCGAGTCTCTAGGACGTTCCTAAAAAAATTTGATTTTTTCCCATAGGAATGCATGGGTTAGGGTTAGGGTTAGGGTTGGAGCTAGGGTTAGGGTTAGGGTTAGGGTTAGGGTTGGAGTTAGGGTTAGTGTTGGAGCTAGGGTTAGGGTTGGGCTTGGAGCTAGGATTTTTCTGAGTGCAATGAACCAACTCCCGAGTCTCTAGGATGTTCCTAAAAAAATTTGATTTTTTCCCATAGGAATGCATGGGTTAGGGTTAGGGTTAGGGTTGGAGCTAGGGTTAGGGTTAGGGTTAGGGTTGGAGTTAGGGTTAGTGTTGGAGCTAGGGTTAGGGTTGGGCTTGGAGCTAGGATTTTTCTGAGTGCACTGAACCAACTCCCGAGTCTCTAGGACATTCCTAAAAAAATTTGATTTTTTCCCATAGGAATGCATGGGTTAGGGTTATGGTTAGGGTTAGGGTTGGAGCTAGGGTTAGGGTTAGGGTTAGGGTTGGAGTTAGGGTTAGTGTTGGAGCTAGGGTTAGGGTTGGGCTTGGAGCTAGGATTTTTCTGAGTGCACTGAACCAACTCCCGAGTCTCTAGGACATTCCTAAAAAAAATTGATTTTTTCCCATAGGAATGCATTGGTTAGGGTTAGGGTTAGGGTTGGAGCTAGGGTTAGGGTTAGGGTTAGGTTTGGAGTTAGGGTTAGTGTTGGAGCTAGGGTTAGGGTTGGGCTTGGAGCTAGGATTTTTCTGAGTGCACTGAACCAACTCCCGAGTCTCTAGGACATTCCTAAAAAAATTTGATTTTTTTCCCATAGGAAGGCATGGGTTAGGGTTATGGTTAGGGTTAGGGTTGGAGCTAGGGTTAGGGTTAGGGTTAGGGTTGGAGTTAGGGTTAGTGTTGGAGCTAGGGTTAGGGTTGGGCTTGGAGCTAGGACTTTTCTGAGTGCAATGAACCAACTCCCGAGTCTCTAGGACGTTCCCTAAAAAAATTGATTTTTTCCCATAGGAATGCATGGGTTAGGGTTAGGGTTAGGGTTGGAGCTAGGGTTAGGGTTAGGGTTAGGGTTAGGGTTGGAGTTAGGGTTAGTGTTGGAGCTAGGGTTAGGGTTGGGCTTGGAGCTAGGATTTTTCTGAGTGCACTGAACCAACTCCCGAGTCTCTAGGACATTCCTAAAAAAATTAGATTTTTTCCCATAGGAATGCATGGGTTAGGGTTATGGTTAGGGTTAGGGTTGGAGCTAGGGTTAGGGTTGGAGTTAGGGTTAGTGTTGGAGCTAGGGTTAGGGTTGGGCTTGGAGCTAGGATTTTTCTGAGTGCACTGAACCAACTCCCGAGTCTCTAGGACATTCCTAAAAAAATTTGATTTTTTTCCCATAGGAATGCATGGGTTAGGGTTATGGTTAGGGTTAGGGTTGGAGCTAGGGTTAGGGTTAGGGTTAGGGTTGGAGTTAGGGTTAGTGTTGGAGCTAGGGTTAGGGTTGGGCTTGGAGCTAGGATTTTTCTGAGTGCACTGAACCAACTCCCGAGTCTCTAGGACGTTCCTAAAAAAAATTGATTTTTTCCCATAGGAATGCATGGGTTAGGGTTAGGGTTAGGGTTGGAGCTAGGGTTAGGGTTAGGGTTAGGGTTAGGGTTGGAGTTAGGGTTAGTGTTGGAGCTAGGGTTAGGGTTGGGCTTGGAGCTAGGATTTTTCTGAGTGCACTGAACCAACTCCCGAGTCTCTAGGACATTCCTAAAAAAATTTGATTTTTTCCCATAGGAATGCATGGGTTAGGGTTAGGGTTAGGGTTGGAGCTAGGGTTAGGGTTAGGGTTAGGGTTGGAGTTAGGGTTAGTGTTGGAGCTAGGGTTAGGGTTGGGCTTGGAGCTAGGATTTTTCTGAGTGCACTGAACCAACTCCCGAGTCTCTAGGACATTCCTAAAAAAATTGATTTTTTCCCATAGGAATGCATGGGTTAGGGTTAGGGTTAGGGTTGGAGCTAGGGTTAGGGTTAGGGTTAGGTTTGGAGTTAGGGTTAGTGTTGGAGCTAGGGTTAGGGTTGGGCTTAGGGTTAGGGTTAGGGTTGGAGTTAGGGTTAGTGTTGGAGCTAGGGTTAGGGTTGGGCTTGGAGCTAGGATTTTTCTGAGTGCACTGAACCAACTCCCGAGTCTCTAGGACATTCCTAAAAAAATTTGATTTTTTCCCATAGGAATGCATGGGTTAGGGTTAGGGTTAGGGTTGGAGCTAGGGTTAGGGTTAGGGTTAGGGTTGGAGTTAGGGTTAGTGTTGGAGCTAGGGTTAGGGTTGGGCTTGGAGCTAGGATTTTTCTGAGTGCACTGAACCAACTCCCGAGTCTCTAGGACATTCCTAAAAAAATTTGATTTTTTTCCCATAGGAATGCATGGGTTAGGGTTATGGTTAGGGTTAGGGTTGGAGCTAGGGTTAGGGTTAGGGTTAGGGTTGGAGTTAGGGTTAGTGTTGGAGCTAGGGTTAGGGTTGGGCTTGGAGCTAGGATTTTTCTGAGTGCAATGAACCAACTCCCGAGTCTCTTGGACGTTCCTAAAAAAATTTGATTTTTTCCCATAGGAATGCATGGGTTAGGGTTAGGGTTAGGGTTGGAGCTAGGGTTAGGGTTAGGGTTAGGGTTGGAGTTAGGGTTAGTGTTGGGGCTAGGGTTAGGGTTGGGCTTGGAGCTAGGATTTTTCTGAGTGCAATGAACCAACTCCTGAGTCTCTAGGACGTTCCTAAAAAAATTTGATTTTTTCCCATAGGAATGCATGGGTTAGGGTTAGGGTTAGGGTTGGAGCTAGGGTTTTTCCCATAGGAATGCATGGGTTAGGGTTAGGGTTAGGGTTGGAGCTAGGGTTAGGGTTAGGGTTAGGGTTGGAGTTAGGGTTAGTGTTGGAGCTAGGGTTAGGGTTGGGCTTGGAGCTAGGATTTTTCCGAGTGCAATGAACCAACTCCCGAGTCTCTAGGACGTTCCTAAAAAAATTTGATTTTTTCCCATAGGAATGCATGGGTTAGGGTTAGGGTTAGGGTTGGAGCTAGGGTTAGGGTTAGGGTTAGGGTTGGAGCTAGGGTTAGGGTTAGGGTTAGGGTTGGAGTTAGGGTTAGTGTTGGAGCTAGGGTTAGGGTTGGGCTTGGAGCTAGGATTTTTCTGAGTGCAATGAACCAACTCCCGAGTCTCTAGGACGTTCCTTAAAAAATTTGATTTTTCCCATAGGAATGCATGGGTTAGGGTTAGGGTTAGGGTTGGAGCTAGGGTTAGGGTTAGTGTTAGGGTTGGAGTTAGGGTTAGTGTTGGAGCTAGGGTTAGGGTTGGGCTTGGAGCTAGGATTTTTCTGAGTGCAATGAACCAACTCCCGAGTCTCTAGGACGTTCCTAAAAAAATTTGTTTTTTTCCCATAGGAATGCATGGGTTAGGGTTAGGGTTAGGGTTGGAGCTAGGGTTAGGGTTAGGGTTAGGGTTGGAGTTAGGGTTAGTGTTGGAGCTAGGGTTAGGGTTGGGCTTGGAACTAGGATTTTTCTGAGTGCAATGAACCAACTCCCGAGTCTCTAGGATGTTCCTAAAAAAATTTGATTTTTTCCCATAGGAATGCATGGGTTAGGGTTAGGGTTAGGGTTGGAGCTAGGGTTAGGGTTAGGGTTAGGGTTGGAGTTAGGGTTAGTGTTGGAGCTAGGGTTAGGGTTGGGCTTGGAGCTAGGATTTTTCTGAGTGCAATGAACCAACTCCCGAGTCTCTAGGACGTTCCTAAAAAAATTTGATTTTTTCCCATAGGAATGCATGGGTTAGGGTTAGGGTTAGGGTTAGGGTTGGAGCTAGGGTTAGGGTTAGGGTCAGGGTTGGAGTTAGGGTTAGTGTTGGAGCTAGGGTTAGGGTTGGGCTTGGAGCTAGGATTTTTCTGAGTGCAATGAACCAACTCCCGAGTCTCTAGGACGTTCCTAAAAAAAATTGTTTTTTTCCCATAGGAATGCATGGGTTAGGGTTAGGGTTAGGGTTGGAGCTAGGGTTAGGGTTAGGGTTAGGGTTGGAGTTAGGGTTAGTGTTGGAGCTAGGGTTAGGGTTGGGCTTGGAGCTAGGATTTTTCTGAGTGCAATGAACCAACTCCCGAGTCTCTAGGACGTTCCTAAAAAAATTGATTTTTTCCCATAGGAATGCATGGGTTAGGGTTAGGGTTAGGGTTGGAGCTAGGGTTAGGGTTAGGGTTAGAGTTAGGGTTAGTGTTGGAGCTAGAGTTAGGGTTGGGCTTGGAGCTAGGATTTTTCTGAGTGCAATGAACCAACTCCCGAGTCTCTAGGACGTTCCTAAAAAAATTTGATTCTTTCCCATAGGAATGCATGGGTTAGGGTTAGGGTTAGGGTTGGAGCTAGGGTTAGGGTTAGGGTTAGAGTTAGGGTTAGTGTTGGAGCTAGGGTTAGGGTTGGGCTTGGAGCTAGGATTTTTCTGAGTGCAATGAACCAACTCCCGAGTCTCTAGGACGTTCCTAAAAAAATTTGATTTTTTCCCATAGGAATGCATGGGTAAGGGTTAGGGTTAGGGTTGGAGCTAGGGTTAGGGTTAGGGTTAGGGTTGGAGTAAGGGTTAGTGTTGGAGCTAGGGTTAGGGTTGGGCTTGGAGCTAGGATTTTTCTGAGTGCAATGAACCAACTCCCGAGTCTCTAGGACGATCCTAAAAATTTTTGATTTCTTCCCATAGGAATGCATGGGTTAGGGTTAGGGTTAGGGTTGGAGCTAGGGTTAGGGTTAGGGTTAGGGTTAGGGTTGGAGTTAGGGTTAGTGTTGGAGCTAGGGTTAGGGTTGGGCTTGGAGCTAGGATTTTTCTGAGTGCAATGAACCAACTCCCGAGTCTCTAGGACGTTCCTAAAAAAATTTGATTTTTTCCCATAGGAATGCATGGGTTAGGGTTAGGGTTAGGGTTGGAGCTAGGGTTAGGGTTAGGGTTAGGGTTGGAGTTAGGGTTAGTGTTGGAGCTAGGGTTAGGGTTGGGCTTGGAGCTAGGATTTTTCTGAGTGCAATGAACCAACTCCCGAGTCTCTAGGACGTTCCTAAAAAAATTTGATTTTTTTCCCATAGGAATGCATGGGTTAGGGTTAGGGTTAGGGTTGGAGCTAGGGTTAGGGTTAGGGTTAGGGTTAGGGTTGGAGTTAGGGTTAGTGTTGGAGCTAGGGTTAGGGTTGGGCTTGGAGCTAGGATTTTTCTGAGTGCAATGAACCAACTCCCGAGTCTCTAGGATGTTCCTAAAAAAATTTGATTTTTTCCCATAGGAATGCATGGGTTAGGGTTAGGGTTAGGGTTGGAGCTAGGGTTAGGGTTAGGGTTAGGGTTAGGGTTGGAGTTAGGGTTAGTGTTGGAGCTAGGGTTAGGGTTGGGCTTGGAGCTAGGATTTTTCTGAGTGCACTGAACCAACTCCCGAGTCTCTAGGACATTCCTAAAAAAATTTGATTTTTTTCCCATAGGAATGCATGGGTTAGGGTTATGGTTAGGGTTAGGGTTGGAGCTAGGGTTAGGGTTAGGGTTAGGGTTGGAGTTAGGGTTAGTGTTGGAGCTAGGGTTAGGGTTGGGCTTGGAGCTAGGATTTTTCTGAGTGCACTGAACCAACTCCCGAGTCTCTAGGACATTCCTAAAAAAAATTGATTTTTTCCCATAGGAATGCATTGGTTAGGGTTAGGGTTAGGGTTGGAGCTAGGGTTAGGGTTAGGGTTAGGTTTGGAGTTAGGGTTAGTGTTGGAGCTAGGGTTAGGGTTGGGCTTGGAGCTAGGATTTTTCTGAGTGCACTGAACCAACTCCCGAGTCTCTAGGACATTCCTAAAAAAATTTGATTTTTTTCCCATAGGAATGCATGGGTTAGGGTTATGGTTAGGGTTAGGGTTGGAGCTAGGGTTAGGGTTAGGGTTAGGGTTGGAGTTAGGGTTAGTGTTGGAGCTAGGGTTAGGGTTGGGCTTGGAGCTAGGATTTTTCTGAGTGCAATGAACCAACTCCCGAGTCTCTTGGACGTTCCTAAAAAAATTTGATTTTTTCCCATAGGAATGCATGGGTTAGGGTTAGGGTTAGGGTTGGAGCTAGGGTTAGGGTTAGGGTTAGGGTTGGAGTTAGGGTTAGTGTTGGAGCTAGGGTTAGGGTTGGGCTTGGAGCTAGGATTTTTCTGAGTGCAATGAACCAACTCCCGAGTCTCTAGGACGTTCCTAAAAAAATTTGATTTTTTCCCATAGGAATGCATGGGTTAGGGTTATGGTTAGGGTTGGAGCTAGGGTTAGGGTTAGGGTTAGGGTTGGAGTTAGGGTTAGTGTTGGAGCTAGGGTTAGGGTCTGGCTTGGAGCTAGGATTTTTCTGAGTGCACTGAACCAACTCCCGAGTCTCTAGGACATTCCTAAAAAAATTAGATTTTTTCCCATAGGAATGCATGGGTTAGGGTTATGGTTAGGGTTAGGGTTGGAGCTAGGGTTAGGGTTAGGGTTAGGGTTGGAGTTAGGGTTAGTGTTGGAGCTAGGGTTAGGGTTGGGCTTGGAGCTAGGACTTTTCTGAGTGCAATGAACCAACTCCCGAGTCTCTAGGACGTTCCCTAAAAAAATTGATTTTTTCCCATAGGAATGCATGGGTTAGGGTTAGGGTTAGGGTTGGAGCTAGGGTTAGGGTTAGGGTTAGGGTTAGGGTTGGAGTTAGGGTTAGTGTTGGAGCTAGGGTTAGGGTTGGGCTTGGAGCTAGGATTTTTCTGAGTGCACTGAACCAACTCCCGAGTCTCTAGGACATTCCTAAAAAAATTAGATTTTTTCCCATAGGACTACATGGGTTAGGGTTATGGTTAGGGTTAGGGTTGGAGCTAGGGTTAGGGTTGGAGTTAGGGTTAGTGTTGGAGCTAGGGTTAGGGTTGGGCTTGGAGCTAGGATTTTTCTGAGTGCACTGAACCAACTCCCGAGTCTCTAGGACATTCCTAAAAAAATTTGATTTTTTTCCCATAGGAATGCATGGGTTAGGGTTATGGTTAGGGTTAGGGTTGGAGCTAGGGTTAGGGTTAGGGTTAGGGTTGGAGTTAGGGTTAGTGTTGGAGCTAGGGTTAGGGTTGGGCTTGGAGCTAGGATTTTTCTGAGTGCACTGAACCAACTCCCGAGTCTCTAGGACGTTCCTAAAAAATTGATTTTTTCCCATAGGAATGCATGGGTTAGGGTTAGGGTTAGGGTTGGAGCTAGGGTTAGGGTTAGGGTTAGGGTTAGGGTTGGAGTTAGGGTCAGTGTTGGAGCTAGGGTTAGGGTTGGGCTTGGAGCTAGGATTTTTCTGAGTGCACTGAACCAACTCCCGAGTCTCTAGGACATTCCTAAAAAAATTTGATTTTTTCCCATAGGAATGCATGGGTTAGGGTTAGGGTTAGGGTTGGAGCTAGGGTTAGGGTTAGGGTTAGGGTTGGAGTTAGGGTTAGTGTTGGAGCTAGGGTTAGGGTTGGGCTTGGAGCTAGGATTTTTCTGAGTGCACTGAACCAACTCCCGAGTCTCTAGGACATTCCTAAAAAAATTTGATTTTTTTCCCATAGGAATGCATGGGTTAGGGTTATGGTTAGGGTTAGGGTTGGAGCTAGGGTTAGGGTTAGGGTTAGGGTTGGAGTTAGGGTTAGTGTTGGAGCTAGGGTTAGGGTTGGGCTTGGAGCTAGGATTTTTCTGAGTGCAATGAACCAACTCCCGAGTCTCTTGGACGTTCCTAAAAAAATTTGATTTTTTCCCATAGGAATGCATGGGTTAGGGTTAGGGTTAGGGTTGGAGCTAGGGTTAGGGTTAGGGTTAGGGTTGGAGTTAGGGTTAGTGTTGGAGCCATGGTTAGGGTTGGGCTTGGAGCTAGGATTTTTCTGAGTGCAATGAACCAACTCCCGAGTCTCTTGGACGTTCCTAAAAAAATTTGATTTTTTCCCATAGGAATGCATGGGTTAGGGTTAGGGTTAGGGTTGGAGCTAGGGTTAGGGTTAGGGTTAGGGTTGGAGTTAGGGTTAGTGTTGGAGCTAGGGTTAGGGTTGGGCTTGGAGCTAGGATTTTTCTGAGTGCAATGAACCAACTCCCGAGTCTCTAGGACGTTCCTAAAAAAATTTGATTTTTTCCCATAGGAATGCATGGGTTAGGGTTAGGGTTAGGGTTGGAGCTAGGGTTTTTCCCATAGGAATGCATGGGTTAGGGTTAGGGTTAGGGTTGGAGCTAGGGTTAAGGTTAGGGTTAGGGTTGGAGTTAGGGTTAGTGTTGGAGCTAGGGTTAGGGTTGGGCTTGGAGCTAGGATTTTTCCGAGAGCAATGAACCAACTCCCGAGTCTCTAGGACGTTCCTAAAAAAATTTGATTTTTTCCCATAGGAATGCATGGGTTAGGGTTAGGGTTAGGGTTGGAGCTAGGGTTAGGGTTAGGGTTAGGGTTGGAGCTAGGGTTAGGGTTAGGGTTAGGGTTGGAGTTAGGGTTAGTGTTGGAGCTAGGGTTAGGGTTGGGCTTGGAGCTAGGATTTTTCTGAGTGCAATGAACCAACTCCCGAGTCTCTAGGACGTTCCTAAAAAAATTTGATTTTTCCCATAGGAATGCATGGGTTAGGGTTAGGGTTAGGGTTGGAGCTAGGGTTAGGGTTAGGGTTAGGGTTGGAGTTAGGGTTAGTGTTGGAGCTAGGGTTAGGGTTGGGCTTGGAGCTAGGATTTTTCTGAGTGCAATGAACCAACTCCCGAGTCTCTAGGACGTTCCTAAAAAAATTTGATTTTTTCCCATAGGAATGCATGGGTTAGGGTTAGGGTTAGGGTTGGAGCTAGGGTTAGGGTTAGGGTTAGGGTTGGAGTTAGGGTTAGTGTTGGAGCTAGGGTTAGGGTTGGGCTTGGAGCTAGGATTTTTCTGAGTGCAATGAACCAACTCCCGAGTCTCTAGGATGTTCCTAAAAAAATTTGATTTTTTCCCATAGGAATGCATGGGTTAGGGTTAGGGTTAGGGTTGGAGCTAGGGTTAGGGTTAGGGTTAGGGTTGGAGTAAGGGTTCGTGTTGGAGCTAGGGTTAGGGTTGGGCTTGGAGCTAGGATTTTTCTGAGTGCAATGAACCAACTCCCGAGTCTCTAGGACGATCCTAAAAATTTTTGATTTTTTCCCATAGGAATGCATGGGTTAGGGTTAGGGTTAGGGTTGGAGCTAGGGTTAGGGTTAGGGTTAGGGTTAGGGTTAGGGTTGGAGTAAGGGTTAGTGTTGGAGCTAGGGTTAGGGTTGGGCTTGGAGCTAGGATTTTTCTGAGTGCAATGAACCAACTCCCGAGTCTCTAGGACGTTCCTAAAAAAATTTGATTTTTTCCCATAGGAATGCATGGGTTAGGGTTAGGGTTAGGGTTGGAGCTAGGGTTAGGGTTAGGGTTAGGGTTGGAGTTAGGGTTAGTGTTGGAGCTAGGGTTAGGGTTGGGCTTGGAGCTAGGATTTTTCTGAGTGCAATGAACCAACTCCCGAGTCTCTAGGACGTTCCTAAAAAAATTTGATTTTTTCCCATAGGAATGCATGGGTTAGGGTTAGGGTTAGGGTTGGAGCTAGGGTTAGGGTTAGGGTTAGGGTTAGGGTTAGGGTTAGGGTTGGAGTTAGGGTTAGTGTTGGAGCTAGGGTTAGGGTTGGGCTTGGAGCTAGGATTTTTCTGAGTGCAATGAACCAACTCCCGAGTCTCTAGGACGTTCCTAAAAAAAATTTGATTTTTTTCCCATAGGAATGCATGGGTCAGGGTTAGGGTTAGGGTTGGAGCTAGGGTTAGGGTTAGGGTCAGGGTTGGAGTTAGGGTTAGTGTTGGAGCTAGGGTTAGGGTTGGGCTTGGAGCTAGGATTTTTCTGAGTGCAATGAACCAACTCCCGAGTCTCTAGGACGTTCCTAAAAAAAATTGTTTTTTTCCCATAGGAATGCATGGGTTAGGGTTAGGGTTAGGGTTGGAGCTAGGGTTAGGGTTAGGGTTAGGGTTGGAGTTAGGGTTAGTGTTGGAGCTAGGGTTAGGGTTGGGCTTGGAGCTAGGATTTTTCTGAGTGCAATGAACCGACTCCCGAGTCTCTAGGACGTTCCTAAAAAAATTGATTTTTTCCCATAGGAATGCATGGGTTAGGGTTAGGGTTAGGGTTGGAGCTAGGGTTAGGGTTAGGGTTAGAGTTAGGGTTAGTGTTGGAGCTAGGGTTAGGGTTGGGCTTGGAGCTAGGATTTTTCTGAGTGCAATGAACCAACTCCCGAGTCTCTAGGACGTTCCTAAAAAAATTTGATTCTTTCCCATAGGAATGCATGGGTTAGGGTTAGGGTTAGGGTTGGAGCTAGGGTTAGGGTTAGGGTTAGAGTTAGGGTTAGTGTTGGAGCTAGGGTTAGGGTTGGGCTTGGAGCTAGGATTTTTCTGAGTGCAATGAACCAACTCCCGAGTCTCTAGGACGTTCCTAAAAAAATTTGATTTTTTCCCATAGGAATGCATGGGTAAGGGTTAGGGTTAGGGTTGGAGCTAGGGTTAGGGTTAGGGTTAGGGTTGGAGTAAGGGTTAGTGTTGGAGCTAGGGTTAGGGTTGGGCTTGGAGCTAGGATTTTTCTGAGTGCAATGAACCAACTCCCGAGTCTCTAGGACGATCCTAAAAATTTTTGATTTTTTCCCATAGGAATGCATGGGTTAGGGTTAGGGTTAGGGTTAGGGTTGGAGCTAGGGTTAGGGTTAGGGTTAGGGTTAGGGTTGGAGTTAGGGTTAGTGTTGGAGCTAGGGTTAGGGTTGGGCTTGGAGCTAGGATTTTTCTGAGTGCAATGAACCAACTCCCGAGTCTCTAGGACGTTCCTAAAAAAAATTTGATTTTTTTCCCATAGGAATGCATGGGTTAGGGTTAGGGTTAGGGTTGGAGCTAGGGTTAGGGTTAGGGTCAGGGTTGGAGTTAGGGTTAGTGTTGGAGCTAGGGTTAGGGTTGGGCTTGGAGCTAGGATTTTTCTGAGTGCAATGAACCAACTCCCGAGTCTCTAGGACGTTCCTAAAAAAATTTGATTTTTTCCCATAGGAATGCATGGGTTAGGGTTAGGGTTAGGGTTGGAGCTAGGGTTAGGGTTAGGGTTAGGGTTGGAGTTAGGGTTAGTGTTGGAGCTAGGGTTAGGGTTGGGCTTGGAGCTAGGATTTTTCTGAGTGCAATGAACCAACTCCCGAGTCTCTAGGACGTTCCTAAAAAAATTGATTTTTTCCCATAGGAATGCATGGGTTAGGGTTAGGGTTAGGGTTGGAGCTAGGGTTAGGGTTAGGGTTAGAGTTAGGGTTAGTGTTGGAGCTAGGGTTAGGGTTGGGCTTGGAGCTAGGATTTTTCTGAGTGCAATGAACCAACTCCCGAGTCTCTAGGACGTTCCTAAAAAAATTTGATTCTTTCCCATAGGAATGCATGGGTTAGGGTTAGGGTTAGGGTTGGAGCTGGTTAGGGTTAGGGTTAGAGTTAGGGTTAGTGTTGGAGCTAGGGTTAGGGTTGGGCTTGGAGCTAGGATTTTTCTGAGTGCAATGAACCAACTCCCGAGTCTCTAGGACGTTCCTAAAAAAATTTGATTTTTTCCCATAGGAATGCATGGGTAAGGGTTAGGGTTAGGGTTGGAGCTAGGGTTAGGGTTAGGGTTAGGGTTGGAGTAAGGGTTAGTGTTGGAGCTAGGGTTAGGGTTGGGCTTGGAGCTAGGATTTTTCTGAGTGCAATGAACCAACTCCCGAGTCTCTAGGACGATCCTAAAAATTTTTGATTTTTTCCCATAGGAATGCATGGGTTAGGGTTAGGGTTAGGGTTGGAGCTAGGGTTAGGGTTAGGGTTAGGGTTAGGGTTGGAGTTAGGGTTAGTGTTGGAGCTAGGGTTAGGGTTGGGCTTGGAGCTAGGATTTTTCTGAGTGCAATGAACCAACTCCCGAGTCTCTAGGACGTTCCTAAAAAAATTTGATTTTTTCCCATAGGAATGCATGGGTTAGGGTTAGGGTTAGGGTTGGAGCTAGGGTTAGGGTTAGGGTTAGGGTTGGAGTTAGGGTTAGTGTTGGAGCTAGGGTTAGGGTTGGGCTTGGAGCTAGGATTTTTCTGAGTGCAATGAACCAACTCCCGAGTCTCTAGGACGTTCCTAAAAAAATTTGATTTTTTCCCATAGGAATGCATGGGTTAGGGTTAGGGTTAGGGTTGGAGCTAGGGTTAGGGTTAGGGTTAGGGTTAGGGTTAGGGTTGGAGTTAGGGTTAGTGTTGGAGCTAGGGTTAGGGTTGGGCTTGGAGCTAGGATTTTTCTGAGTGCAATGAACCAACTCCCGAGTCTCTAGGACGTTCCTAAAAAAATTTGATTCTTTCCCATAGGAATGCATGGGTTAGGGTTAGGGTTAGGGTTGGAGCTAGGGTTAGGGTTAGGGTTAGAGTTAGGGTTAGTGTTGGAGCTAGGGTTAGGGTTGGGCTTGGAGCTAGGATTTTTCTGAGTGCAATGAACCAACTCCCGAGTCTCTAGGACGTTCCTAAAAAAATTTGATTTTTTCCCATAGGAATGCATGGGTAAGGGTTAGGGTTAGGGTTGGAGCTAGGGTTAGGGTTAGGGTTAGGGTTGGAGTAAGGGTTAGTGTTGGAGCTAGGGTTAGGGTTGGGCTTGGAGCTAGGATTTTTCTGAGTGCAATGAACCAACTCCCGAGTCTCTAGGACGATCCTAAAAATTTTTGATTTTTTCCCATAGGAATGCATGGGTTAGGGTTAGGGTTAGGGTTGGAGCTAGGGTTAGGGTTAGGGTTAGGGTTAGGGTTGGAGTTAGGGTTAGTGTTGGAGCTAGGGTTAGGGTTGGGCTTGGAGCTAGGATTTTTCTGAGTGCAATGAACCAACTCCCGAGTCTCTAGGACGTTCCTAAAAAAATTTGATTTTTTCCCATAGGAATGCATGGGTTAGGGTTAGGGTTAGGGTTGGAGCTAGGGTTAGGGTTAGGGTTAGGGTTGGAGTTAGGGTTAGTGTTGGAGCTAGGGTTAGGGTTGGGCTTGGAGCTAGGATTTTTCTGAGTGCAATGAACCAACTCCCGAGTCTCTAGGACGTTCCTAAAAAAATTTGATTTTTTCCCATAGGAATGCATGGGTTAGGGTTAGGGTTAGGGTTGGAGCTAGGGTTAGGGTTAGGGTTAGGGTTAGGGTTAGGGTTAGGGTTGGAGTTAGGGTTAGTGTTGGAGCTAGGGTTAGGGTTGGGCTTGGAGCTAGGATTTTTCTGAGTGCAATGAACCAACTCCCGAGTCTCTAGGACGTTCCTAAAAAAATTTGAATTTTTTCCCATAGGAATGCATGGGAAAAAAAAATTGAAAAATTTTTTAAGTGCCAACCCAATTTTTCACCTTCCAGAATTGTGTTAGGAGCACGTTTCAGGGCACGGGGAGTCTATAGAACCTAATTCTGGGGGAAGTTTTTTGAAAAGTTTACTTAGGGTTTGGGTTAGGGTTAGGGTATGAGCTAGGGTTAGGGTTAGGGTTAAGGTTGGAGCTAGGGTTAGGGTTAGGGTTAGGATTAGCGTGGAGCTAGGGTTAGGGTTAGGGTTAGGGTTAGGGTTAGGGTTAATAACATACTAAAATTTTACCAAAGTTGGACCACTAGAAAGGTTTCATTTTCAAGATGGCGTTCATGCTAGGTTGGAAGCCTGGGGAGACACATCAGGTGTTCATGTTTCGGTTCTTGAAATGTATGCTAAGTCGTGCATATTTAATGAGATATTGCCTCATTTACATATTCATACATAACATTTGACAAAACTTGTAAAACAACAAATAATTTTCTTAATGTAAGTCATAAACTTGGGACTTTTCAATGTGATATCTGTTAGTTAAAAATTTTACCCTATTCACCTGGGGTGTCTCTCCTGGGCTTCCAACCCATCATGGACGCCATCTTGAAAATGACACCTTTCTAGTGGTCAAACTTTGGCAAACTTTTAGTATGTTATTAAGAACATCTAATACTATCAAAAATGTTAGAATTTTTTTGGGGTCAAGTCATATTTGCACCTGACTATATAAATAAAGTTTGATTGATTGAGTGATTGATTTAACAGAATAGGCTATGTAGATATGGCGTTAGGGTTAGGGTTAGGGTTAGGACTATGGGGTTAGGGTTAAAATCACTGTCCAGCACTTTTTTAGGAGCACATTTCAGACCATTTGAAGCCAATTGGTACAAAAAAAAACAAGAAAAATGCCAAAAAAATTGTAAGTGTTAGGGTTACAGTGGGGTAACACAAGGGTATTGGGGTTATGGTTATGGGGTTATGGTTAAAATCATTGCCCAGGACCTTTCTAGGAGCACACTTTAGATCATTTGAAGTCAATTGGTTAGAAAAAATTAGTAAAAAAGTTAAAAAAAATTTAAGGGTTTGGGTTACTTTGAAGCAGCATTGGGGCAATGTTTGGGTATTGGGGTTAGGACGTTAGGGTTAAGGTTATGGGGTGAGGGTTATAATCACTGTCCAGGACTTTTTTAGGAGCACGTTTCTGACCATTTAGGGTCAATTGGTACAAAAAAAATTAGTAAAAATTTCAAAATTTTTCTGAGTGTTACGGTAATATTGGGGTAACATTGGACGCCATTTTCAAGATGGCGTCCAATGTTACCTCAACATATACAACTATAAAAAACAGCTGAGAAACATTTGTCAGAATTTTTGGGGGTAAAGTCATAACTGCACCTCACTAAAGAGATAAAATCTTATCTGCATGGAAATTATTACGGTAAGAGTGGTTCCAGGCTGTCGCAACCGAGCAGCAGACAGGTTGAGAGTGGGTTAGGGTTAGATCAGCTGAGCCTCTCCTGATATAGCATCACAAGTCCCTGCACACTGTACGCAGATGTCAGAATGATTCAGAGCCAGCTGGTCTGCTGTTTAGCATGTGTGATTATGTGTGTGTGCATGGGCAAGAAAGAGGAAAGTTAAAAGTTGTTGTCCTGAGGGGAAACCATGCAAAATATAAAAGCTTGTCACCAAACTCAAAAAAAAAGAAAAACAGATTTCCCAGATTGAGCTGGTAAAGCTGTGAGGTTATCGGCATAAATGGCATGAGCATGAAGGATTATGCAACTCCATGTAGGTGACCTGAAAAGCAGTTTACACTCGCACAACAAGGTCAGCAGCTCCATACACTGTGCAATGGGCATAAATGTGTCACATGCTAACGCTGAGATTTTAAAGAAATTCCTTAAAATCCTTTAAATTCAGATTCTATCTTCAAGGGGAGATGTGTTTTTTCCACCTTATAGCTCAATACAAGTCAGATTAGAGAAATGACCTTGCCTTACATTTTTGTCTTTTTGCACTTTGTATATATCTCTTCACACAAACAATATTCAGCTCTCCTTTTTTTATCTCTCCCCACAGTGATTTCTTCTTGTTTCTTGTAACAAAGGGGATAAATATTTCAGGCACTTCCTCCTTGTCTATAGTTTATTTATCAGTCAGCTGCATAGAACAAACTACATCTCCCCAAATGGGAAACAGCTAAGGGACGACAGGAAAGAGCTAGAACAGGTTTTAAGACGGAGTCTTGCTGCAAGTCTGCAAAGTGTGCAAGTGTGCTGTAAATTATAATCAAGCTATTTTTTTTACAGGGGAACCAGCACATATGTACAAAGGCCTCTGAAGATTAGTTTTCTCTGTCATGTACAGTATATATATGGCTTAATCGAACAGAGTCTGGCCAGAGCGTTTTGGAAGTTGAATAGCATGAATGTGGAAGCCATGTTGTGCCCAAAACCTTAAATGTGAAGGAAGGACGTAAAAAAAAAACAGCACATAATGACACATTTTTATTGATAATATACATTCTGTTGTACATAATCAATATGGCATGTTACTGACAAACTGGAAAGGATATTGCCCCCTTCTGTAGTGAAGGTAGACATGCCTTTATTGATAATTAGATTTTTTGGCCACAGCATAAGAACTGGTTCAAGGACAGTAATTCAATTAAATTGTCTAACCGAGCAGTGACTGTAGCTAGACTTACTTGTGCATGTAAAGGTAGTGAGAGGCCACTAAAAGCCCACTTAAACTCTGCCTTTTTTGCTTCTTGCTAAATTGAATGAAAGTTGGGTCAGTATTTTCAATGTGACGACCTCTATGGATGGGCTTTCAAACTCTGCTTCAGAAACCGATGGGTCAAGTGATATCAGGCTGTTTACTTTGTAGATGAGACTTTATCATCATTGTTATGGGATTTTGACCAATTAACATTAAATATTGAACATAGGCAATAACAGATTCTAGGAAAAGCTTGTTTCAGACTTTCATGTGAGCTTAAGGAGAAAAGGTCAAAAGAAAAGAACTCCATCATCAAGCGTTGCCTCTGGTTTAATTTTTGTCAGTATGAGAACAAATGATTGCTTTTTTAGTGTTTTCCAAGAATACTAATATTTACATGCTGCTTTGACATTTGACGTAACTGTCCTTTTCAACATAAAAGGTCCATTGTTGGCAGTTTCGCCTCCTCATGAGTAGCTCCTCACAATGCAGACTGTGGTTCTGCGTCAGGCACCTGGGACTCAACTGTGCTCAGAGATAACTTGACCTTTACATTTGGCTGGAGATGAACCAGTAAGTAGAGATGACTCCCGCCGATAAGGAGGCATACAGACACAGTGGGGGTAACACAGAGAAACAAATTTCATGGAGACAAATCAGATTTCGAGGAAGAAAGTGCTTAATTTGATGTGATTGGTGTAATGAGCAAGCAGGTCTGCTGAGGACCCCTGTAGGGTCTTGACTAGCTACCAAGACACAGACAAAGGCTAATATACACAGTAGACTCCTGTTTCTTCCTGTGTGCAGCGACCCACAATCAAACTTCAAGATCAGATTTAGAGCATTGGATTGGGGTCAGGCTCTCTGAGTAGGTTACCCAGGTTGGACTTTCTAACTTTTTGTGTCTGCTCTTGGTTTTAAGAGTGGTTTGTTTTTTAGTGTTTTTAATTTCCTCCGGTTTTATTTGTACCTAATAAATCCCTTAAAATGTATTTATATTTCTCAAGTGGTTTGTGTCACAGTAGACGACGCCAGAGCCTGGCTAGAGCTTTTTGTGTCAGCTTGGATGCATTATGAAGCTTTTGTTTTAGGATCAACTTTGAGCATGTTTTTAAATTCCAATTGAGACAAAATTCTGTTGTTTCATTTGATTCAAATGAGGCCTTAAATTTCAGGATTTGCCTCAATAGTTATTACAAAAAAGTGGAAGTATCACCACCCGCTGTTAGTTGGCACACACAAATCACCACACAGATTGCTTGAATAGCTGTTGACCCAAATCTGTCATTCTGTCTGCATCCATTATCTCAACACCCAAGAGCACATATTTGTGTGCCCAGGTGCAGAAGGTTACAGTAAGAGATGTTTCCCAATAAACACTGTCCCACAGCAAACTTTCTCAGCGCCGCGCCGCGATCAAGAAATCAAACAACCTGACAGGAAGAGTGAAGGCAGCAACAAAATGAGAAGAGAGCGGAATTGAGATGTCAGAGCGCAGAGGTGTTCCTGGCTCTATATTACAGGGTATTTACAGCTGTGCAGATGTGTGTTTGTCAGGCGTTGACAGTGAACGCCCGGACCTGAGATGGGAGCCGTCGGGCCAGGCAGTATTGATGGCTGCCTGGGGGTGTCAGAGGGCGAGAGGTATTTGCGTATGAGCTAGAAACAGTTGTTCCCTTGAAGTAATGACTACCTGTGTTTCTCAGCCTGATTTACAGACATACATAATCTCTCCTCACTCTAGGATTTGTGGCAGGACAGGCAGGATGCTGTAGATCCCCTAAACACACCCTGTGATGGATGTTTTCGTTTGTTGTTTAAGGATCTGCTTTAAATCGGCTTCACTTCAATGAGGTACCTCTTTGGTGACCTTTTCTTCTTCGTGTCTTTGAAGATGTTACTTAACTAGGATGTAACTTTCCTAAGCCCTCTGTGGGGTCATCACTGTTAATTGAATATTGAGTGTTGGTTGGTATTATGCTTCCATTCCTATTCACTTTCACAAAGATTTTGAACAGGCCCATGTTAAAGCTCCTTTTACTCCACAGAGACTTTGAAAAAAACTGTAAACCCTGTTTTAGTTTTTGTCTCGATGTCATATGTATACATGAAACAAGATGTTCCTGAAGTAAAGCAAATGTAGGCTTTCTTATGACGAAACTTCAAGACACAATTTGATCCAGTTAATATCCCAGCACAATGCTTCGATACAGTTACTTTGTTTAATGTTTATTATGTCCTGTCCTGACTGAAAGTTATGCAAGAGTAAAAGATTTTATGGTTTGTTGGCTTCAAAATTGCTGTCAACCTTCATGTTGTCTAACTAAAATCCAGTCTACCTGATTTAAACTGAAGAGAGCAACAGCCTATTTCCATCCTCACACTGCTTTTTTCCATGCCCCTGTTTAGGTTAGTCCCTTGGCGTGGTCATAAATGTGTTGTTTTCCTGGCAAAGGCGCAAAGCCCTGAGGAGAGTTGGAGAAAGTGAAACAAAATATGGAAGTGGAGACAGAGGTGGACTAAGTGTTGTGAATGATTAGCAACAGCCCATGTGGTTGCTCGTGGCTACTAGGCATTGTGGAAACCGAAATCCACAAGAGAGTCCCTTCAGCCATGGGGGTTAATAAGCCAAGTAAATATGGAAATCTTCCAGAACGTTGTAGGTCAGCAAGGATTTACAGCAAGCTTGATTTTGTAGGTCAATGCACTAACAGTCACACGTTTTCCAACAGCTTCAGGTTAGCACTACTTCTAAGCAGAGTGCCTTCATGATGTCATGACCCAACAATGACCCTCAAGGTTCACACCGAGGTGTGAAAATATAAAGGATTAAAAATGACTGAGTGGTTGTATCATTTCCTGTCATAATAATCTAATATAATCTAAAATAACCTAAAGATTTTTGATTTGTTAGTGTTGGAGTTTGGAAAAATCGCAAAGTGTTAGAAAACCAGGTGTTTGTCTGTTTCCCTTTGTATCAGTTTTCGGTGTTTTTACATTCCATCACTCAGAGAAAACTTGACTGAAGTTTATTAATGTAGTAAAGACATGGATATCCTGTTAAACTGTACAAATATTTCACAGACCCACTATCAAAATTATAATACTCGTCTCTCTGAAAACTTTAACTTAATTTGTTTGCAAAAATTCTGAGTTTCCACGAAAAGGTCTAAATAGAGACATGATCAACAGACATTAACACATCTTGTTTTCACAGCTAAATCAGTGATGGTTGAAAAGGATGGATTTTAAACACCATATCTCATTAGAATCCATTCTTACAATGTTCAAAAACAGTGAATTTTACCTCATAACTTATATTATAGTTCAAAATATTCCTGAGAGTAAAAGTTAATAAATTTATATGGCTGGTGAAGGTTGATAGTGTTGATATGTCTAGGTTGTATGATGTATTTCTTTGTTTTACGATTTGAACAGAACAAACATGAACAATTTAAAACCGATTATAAAAAATAATTATGAAGTCATATTTGTGAATAACTGAAATAAGTGGCCTCTGAAATGTCAGCGTGACTGCTGTTTGATTCATAATCCTCTGGAAATAACATTCTCAGGACTGTTGTAGGGAGTATGGATTGATTCAAATACAATGGATTCAGATTATAGAGTTAATTTAAAGCCCTTAATGAATTGACTTATCAGGTTGCAGGTGCATGAGGATAACGAATGTGATGTACAGCCTGTGTGTGCATCATAAGAGCAGACCACATTCCTATCTGTATGTGCTTTGGTTCGTGTGTGTGTGTGTGTGTGTGTGTCTCATATTGCTGCTGGCTTCCACTGATCCCTGGGGCAAACACAGTGTGGGTATCCATGAAATGGATACGGCTTTCACTACAGTTTGATGCCACACCTCATTGACCTTTAGCCTTTCAATCAGTTTTTCCAATTGGTCATATATATCGCTAATACATCTTTGCTCTGTCACACAGTGGCTTGGCTAATTTGATTTGGAAAATATTTGTATTGCAGATATCAGCTGTGAGGAGAAGAAGCTCTGGCTTTTCTCCAAAGTATTACTCCACTGATATTCATGTACGTAACAGGCACAAGAACTGTCACCCACTGATTTCCCAACAGCATTGGGGTTGGCATCCTGGTCACTCGCCTCCATATTGGTGTTCTTAAGCTGGAGATAAATATCTCTGAACCACATGGTGGCTGTAGAGGAGTGATGGACTGGTAGAAAACAGTGATGCCTTTTCAGAAAAGCCAACACGAGTCCTGACTCCAATACAAGTCGATTAATGTGTCAAAAATAATAATGAACACGCAAATAAGGTAAGTAGGTACAGGAAGAGTGACACTCCTGCTAAAATACCTTTAAGATAACACTAGATGTTGGATCAATGAAAAAAAAAAACATGATCGTTGACCTTTTGGTCAGTTAGTTGGTGCTATAAATTATTTAAAGAGTAAAAAAAGAAACAAAAAGAAACAAAAAGAAACGATAAATGATATCAACATGGCTAAATTCAGCTAGCAACATCCCCCTGTCACTCAAAATGATCACAGCCCCAATTAGGCACTTCACGAAATAATATTCAGGAAAATTTTATAGGGAGATTGAGACTCTTTATAAAGCTGTCAACATGATTGACCTGCAGGTGAGTTTTTGTATAAGCTCTGATAGGAATTTGGTTTTCCTTGATCAGCTTTATGTCCCAGCCTGATATGATGCCACTCAGCAACAAGTTTCGTTATACAACCTCTACTCCACCTTTTTTTGAGACCCGGGTGTCATTCATCTGACATAGATAATAAACCATCAGGATATCCACTCCTCTGTATTTTACAAACCAAATCTGTCCTGCTTTGTAACGATAAAATCATCACCATGAATGTGTGCCACTTTCAGCTTTTATCTGACAGATGCAGCGATGAAGTACAACACAGCAGAGCACTGAGATAAGGGGTTAGATGATATGGAGATGAAGAGTGAGAGGTTTTCATCATATTGATCTCACAGACTGAGTAGCATGCTTGCCAAGTGGTAAGGGTTATCAGATGTGAGGATGAGGAGAGGAAGAGGAAGGACAAATAAGTGCAGGAGAAAGAGGTGGGGCAGAAAAGTGGATACTTGAATGGAAATAGTATCAGTCTACAGTCTGATGACATGTGGTGGCATCTCCCGCTTCTTCAGTTGTACCACATCGTTGGAAACCATCAAGGACTTGGCAGCTGAAACCAAACACTCCTGCCCTCTGGCTAGACCCCCCTCGGCTTGACTCCAAGGTAAGACAGATTCCTTCTCTCTTTGATAAGCCCATTTGAATTGTATTATTGAAAATAGTTGAATTTATCTAGCAGTGGTCAGACTCTTGCTTGTTGGGGTCACTTGCTGATTGAGCTGAACAGTGTGTGCAGGACTACATATGGTGCAGCTTTGGGGGGATCTTTTTCCACTGCAGCCTGTTTCGTATTTCTGCCTGCTTTGACGCACCATGAAGTGCATTTCTTATTTTTTCATTTATATGGATAGACTGTAATTCTTTCCCTCTTTACTTTGCATATTGCAAAGAATTTAGCATGTCACTTTATAGGGGTAGGCTTGTTGCTGTAACAGCTTCAGTTAAATCCATTCAAATCTACCTTTTACTCCTGTAAATACAATGATGGCAGTGATGTTAATCTGGTCTTATCATCTTTAGGAAGAAAACAAACATGCTTTAGAGGATGTAATAGAGTGAAATGCTTGAGAAGTGTTATAGCTTTCTTGACACATTAACAAACACATTGGTGTAGGGGGTCATGTGTGCCTTTAAGATGGTTTGTTTATATCTGTGTGTGCACGCTCAGTATGTTCTAAGTATTTTCCAGAGGTGTGAATGGTGATGAGTTGCCAGCATTTGGAGATCAAAAGCTTAGTTGAAATGCTTGTCACTATATCAGCTGAAGCACGGTGGATTTCCACTGAAGACTTCGAGCAGTGAGCAAAAACTTCAGGAAACTCTATTCTTATGCCTCTAAAGAATAAAAAGGATTTTTTTTTTTTTGTCCTTTGAATCAAATTATAAGCGGAAAGGCAATGTTTAAAAGACATTTCTGCTTGTTTACTTGGTGTTTTACAAGATTCACACTGTCTGTTATGCAAACAGTCTGTTGTTTCTTTGCAATAACACATACAATGTGCTTCTCTGTTCTACTATGGAGGACTTCCAAATAGAGCTGTTTTATTAAAACCAAGGGGTGTTTGATTTGAGTCCCCAGGTGCCAAGAAAAAAATCACAACAGCGTTGCATAAGATATAATCTGGATGAAGTTAACTTCAAAATAAGGCAGTAAAAGGGGAAACTCCAGGCTGTATCAGACTATTAAACTCAGCAGGCAGATATGTGATGACCCTGAGTGCCACTAACACAAAGTATAAACAGTGTGCAATATCATCACCACTCTTCGATATATATAGATGGGCATTTGATGTGTCACATTTCTATTTACGATTGCTAACAAGATTCAGTGCTGACACTCTGCAAGAAACCACAGCATACTGCAGCAGTGCAGCATCACGGAGCACTGGCGTTCTCAGTATTTATCAATCTCAATTCATAAGATGAATGAAAGGGCCATGCTCATATTGAGTGAATTTCCTTTTCGGATTTAGGGCCATTCAGATGTCCCACTAATGAATGCCAGTCATCAGCAGAGAAACAGTCCAGTTAGTGGAGCCTATTGTGTACAGCTGCAAATGAAAAATGACATCTGAGGCTCTACATCCCGAACTCATCATTTAAAAACCGATGCCATGGCCTGATGATCACAGCAGGTCTTCACATAGCTTCCTTGTTTTTAAGATGATTTCTGTGAAGGATGATTCAGTGCTTTCATGAAGGAAGAGCTGCCTGTACTGTGATAAGACTCCGTCTGCGAGCATTTGTCTTAATGAGCTCATTCTACATTCATTTCTGCCTAATTACTTTTCTTAATCGTCAGCAGACACATGCTGCTCCATAATGATTTTTATTTATAGACGGAAAAAATGGACTATATTTTTAACATTTATGTTCCATTCCTCTTTTTCTTTGTCTTTTTGTCCTTCTTTCTTTCGTTCTTTATTTCTTTCCGTTTGCATTTTTTGGCTCTCTCTTTACGTGTCTTTCTCTCTTTCCTTCCTTCCTCCCCTTTTCCTTCCTTCTTTTCTTTATTGCCTTCTGTCCCTCCTTTCCTCTTTCTTCCTCTGGCTTTGGTAACCTTATACATATGGCTTTGTCTTTGATGTCTTTCCAAATCCATGTGTGAAGCGGTTGTCCTGTTGCTTCATGGCAGGCACATTCCTGTTCTCTAGAATGACCCCCCACCCCCACCCCCCACCACACACACATACACACACACACACACACACACACACACAC